TCTATATTTCTGATTACTCAGGATAGATTATCCTTTTTTCTTCATTTCTGTTTTTCATTTGATAATTCAAATGTTTTTTAGACTTCTTTTTTATTTCATCCATTTCTTTTTCCATTTTTTCTGAAAAATCATCTGATTTTTGAATATCTTTTGATTAATTTGAGAATCATTAATCAATAGCTTTTCATAAATAAGATTTTCTATCTTTTTCTATTCCTCCTCCTTTTAATTATAAAATTACATTTTTATTACTTCTTTTTCTTCAATTCTTTCAATTTCTTTGAACTGTTTTAATTTCCTTTTAAATTCTGTTTAGTTAGCTTTTTTTACATTATCTAATGAGATTTATTTGAATTAATTCAATTCATTTCTTATTTTTATTTATTAGTTTTATAATTTTTCAGATAACCCTTCTCTTTTTTTTTTTTGTAATTCTTTAATAAATGATTCTAAGTCCGTCACGAATTAATTTAAATAAAATTGAATTACTTCTTTTAATTATATTCTTTAGGATGGAACTTTCTACAGCATTGATTTAATAAAATGCTTTTCCTTTTCTTTAATACTATCATTTTGCTAAATTTATCTGTTAATCTCTTCTTATGAAATATTCACAATTTTGTAAAAAATTTCCTCTTACCTATTACCTAAGATTTAAAAATGTAATTACCTTAAAAGAATGTATCATTAGTCAACAACTCATACCAAATAGCTCCCAAAGACCATATATCAACAGATTTATCATAAGAATTATTTTAATTTCCAAACACCTCTGGAGCCATATAATATGGTGTTCCAACTTTACTGGTCTGAAACATATTTTCTTTATTTTCTTTGACTAATCCAAAATCTATCAGTTTAATAGTTATTTCATTCGTTGGACCTTTAACATAGACAAAATTTTCAGGTTTCACATCTCTATGAAACAATCCTAATTAATGAAGTTGTTCAAGACCCTCCATCATCTAAAATATTACTTATTAATTACTTAAATAAAACATAAATTTTTTTCTTCATAACTCAGATTTTAATATTGGGGAGTTTACATATATTAGTAAAACTCTCCATGGGCAAATTCCATAACAACAACTGGTAAACCATTCTGTCTTTCCTGTACTCCTATTATTCCTATAATATTCTTGAACTTATATCTCTAAATTGCTTATATGGCTTATAATTCATTTTTATTAATTGATTTGTATTCTTTGATAGCCACATTTTCATTAGTTTAAACATTCTACCCCTTAGAAACAATACCTTCTGATCCTTCACCTAATGGAGGTTTAAATTTCCTAAAAGTTTTTGCATCGATTGTAATTGTTTCAAACTACAGTTAAGCAAATTAAATAGCTTGCTAGTACGGATGCTTGAATTATATTGAAAATTGATTTGGTTTAAACTAAGCAACATTGATCATTGTTATTAATAATGATTTTATTAATACTTTTTATGAATCTTTTTAGCAAATTTATATGAAATGTATTTCTATTAGCATTAATTTAATTTTTTATATAAAATTAATTTATTATAGAATACATCAAGATAATCCATTTCTATAAATTTAATCAATCTTTATTTTCAAGAACTTATTGCAATAATAATATTTTAAAGATTTTGAGATTCTCGCTGCTTCCTAACTTATATATCTTATATTTTCTTTTAAATTTAAGTTAATTAACATACAACGAACTTAGATTTAATTCTTAAACTGATTTCAAGGTTGAACTCAAAATATTTATAACATCACTTATTTATGGGATTGATGAAATATTATAGCACTCTATTCATTATAGTGTAAAGTTTCTACAAAGCAGAATATTTATTTCATATATTTGATGCACTTATATATAATTTTTCCTTCATTGATTATAAATGAATCTTTCAGTTATTAAATCAGCTCATTATTAATCCTCTCTAAGTTCGATCATTTATAAACATCCCATAAGAATAGTCGCTTATTGAGATCAATAATTTACTAATCCATAAATGAATTTCGGTAGGATAATATTTAGAACTTGATTTTGTATACATCCTATATAACTATTGATCATTTTCTTATCTTAAATGGTTTATCCTGTAGGTTACACTTTAAACTAAATTACTAATCATTTATTGAATATTTAATTAATATTCAGCATTGATAATAAAAAAATATGTGAGTGTTTCAGAATGAAATAATAATGGTTACTACCCCTTCCGTCTTAACTCAATATCTGTGTTTCTAACTTATTTAGAACAATTCTCATCAGTTGATCAAACCATTCAAGTAAAATTAGAATTATTTAATTGATATTTCTTCCAATTATAAATAAACACATTGGAATTAATTATTATTATGGGATCCTTTCTTCATTTCAATTTCTCATAATGTTTTTAACCACTCCTAATCACAATCACTCTTATTTCTCACCTGAATATTAAAATTTATTTTAAATATTAATAGAATAACCCATACTTTTTATAGGATAATCATCAATTGCCTTCAGACTCATCATCCGAGGGTGTTTGCTAATTTTTGATTTAATCTGTGTAGTCTTCAATTTATTTGTTAATTTAGAGCACATTCTTTCTATTTCTTTCATATTACTTTTCTTTGTAACTTGTAACCAATAACTTGATGTCTCTCTCGATCGATGTGGTAATATTGGTGTCCTAATCATTTAAATATCATCTTACTTTAGTATTGGCTTTAGATTATAAGTTATCTTTGATGTTACTTACTGTACCCAATAGAGTTTCCTTATTTTCAAATAACTAGTTAATGATATAATTTTTAGTTTACTGTCTATAGATCCTCATCCCATTCACTTAAATCACTTCCTTATTACACAAATACTTAGTATCTATCATATTCTAATTTTGCTATATCTGTTAATTTAGTTCCGAATTCTCTAATGAAATCTCCAATCTTCTTAAATCCGTGATCTCCTGAGACATAATCAGACATATCTTTAGTTATAAACCCTAACTTTCCATCAAAATCTCCTAATGCTGCCTCTATATCCACCATCAATTGTAATTCTGTAGAGAGCAGATTATCCTTAAGTTTTTAGGTTTCTTTTTCTAAATCTTCCAATTTTAATTTCCAGCTATCCTCATTTCTTTCTTTTGCTCTAAATGCTAGTTTCTTTTGATGCTCAAATCTTTTGATAGTCAATATGGTTTCGTTTTCACTTTTAATTTCTCTTGCTCTAACTGCTTGTTCGAATTTCTATTAGAATTATAATTACGTTTACTTCAATTGATTATAATTTAGCAGTGTTCTTTTGAATAACATTCTTTTAAAGATTCTCCACTGTTTCTTTTATCTTTTCTTAGAATTTGTTTATTTCCTCTTCAACTCCTTTCATAGTTTTAACTTTTTCTAATTCCTCATCTTAAATTAATTCATCACTTAACTTTTCCACCAAATCCATTCTCGCGCTCTTTCTTTTAAATAATTCATCATTATTGTTTTTCTCCTCTTATTCTTAATTTTACATCTATTTTAAGAAGTCTTCCTAAGTAATAGCATCAGTTCTAAATTTTTCATCTGATTCTCTTATCTAATTTCTCTATGCTTCATCAATGAAACTATAATCCAAGTATCTAAGATTTGGTAATGAATTAATAATATGATTTTTATAATCTGGTTCTTTTGTAAATGGATTTCCTGCTACATTTAACACTTGTAAGTTCTTAAATTTCATTCCTTTTCCTTTACTAAAATATTGTGTTACAATTTCAAAGGAAGGTATTTTATTATTGCCAATGGATAAGACATTTAGAGATTTGCAATTGTCCAAACCTCCAACAGATGTCAATTAGTTATTAAACATTGACAAGTCTTTCAAATTGACTAGTTTATCCAATCCTTCTATCTCCTTAATCAAATTAAACGATAAATCAAGCCAATGCAAATTGACCAAATGATCCAAATTCTCGATCTTTTAAATAATGTTATTATCTAATTGTAACTTCTCCAATCTCTCCAATCCTTAAAGATTTTCAATCTTCCAGATATCTAAATTATTATAATCACTTACTCTTAAAAGACAAAGACATGACACGTAAAGAGTTTAACATAATTTAATCTCCCATAGTTATTTTATTCTCTGCATTGTAATCCTTCACTGATTTGCTAGATGTTATCTAATAATAATACATGATTAATATTTCATCAATAACTGTGGGCTCTATTGAGGCCTTATTGTTTCGCTTATCAATCTTTGGAAGATGAGCACTTTGAAAGTTTAGCATTTATATATAAAATATTATTTCAATTATTTAATATAAACTATCATTAAAGCTGATTCAAATTGTCAATGTGAAATAATATACATTCTTAATTTATAATCATTTGAAAATACTAAATAAAAATATTAACAAAAATGGCAATCATCATTTTCCCCATTTGGTTTGTTTCCAAGAATCAAAGTATTTAGTTATAAGCAAAATTTAACATAATAGAATATGATTCCAAAAAAGAATACGGATTTTGGAAATATCGATAAGATTTCTGAAAGTAGAAAACTATAGAGGAGAATGCAAGCAATCCTTAACGAATTGTTAAAATCTTTTTATTGAAAATTGCCTAGAGATTCTTGAATACTAAGTCTAAAAAAAATAAAATCTATAAATTGATGAAATGTGGTAAAATGAATGTTGTCGTAAATTAATAAATTTTATGATTAAATACTTGTTTGTTTTAATATTACTTTATTTGAGTTAGGCCAAGAGAATCAAGCAAACCTATCTAATTAGATCCCTTAGAGATTGGCATTACATATCAAAATTCGGAGCAGAAACGGGAGAGGTATTCTATTCGCTAACGTATAAAAATTAAATATTATTAGATTCCGATTCAAGAATGTAGAAGAGAATGATGAACGAACAATTCCAATATAATATGAATTATTTTTAGATGAAGAATGGCCTAATGCGATAGAGAAGGCCGAGTGCGATGTAAAAATACATAATAATAAATTAGAGAAGCAATGTGGCGAGAAGAAAGGAGACTATATAAGTCCCAGTTAACAGTGAGTTTGAATTTAAAGGAAGTTTAACGGCTAAAGTCAGAGCTCATCTATGGTATTTTGCATTTAGTGATTGTGAAAAAATATTAAGAAATTCATTTCCAGTTGAAAGCAAAGTTAAGTTAGATGTGGAATTGCACATAACAAATGTTGGAGGCACTGAATTTACATTAGAATAGTTTGGAATATTATAAATTATAGGGATTATAGCCTTAATTGATGTAATAATGTTAATTTACAACGGGAATCAAATATTAGAAAAATAAAGAAAGTATGAGGAATTTAGTTTGCCATTATTTTTATTGGTGATCACTTTATTATTGGAAACTTTTTCCTATTGTTTTTTAACTATTCATTTATGGATCTATAGTGAGAATGGGGCTGGATCATTATTATTATAGGTGTTGTCTGTTATTTTCTAGGTGGCATCACAATTTTCATTAACAATGATTTTGGTTATGCTGTCTTGGGGATGGCAAATAAACTTTAGTAAATTTGACAATTTTGAATTATTTATACCAATTTCAATATTGGTAGGGTTCTTCTAAATTATAATTGTTGGTGTAAGTTTTATAGATTATGATGCTTATTATAAAGATCATTAATATGAAGGATGGGTTGGATGGCTTGCTGCTTTAATTTACATAGGAGAATTCGTTTATTTTATGAATGGTCTAGTTGACACTTACAACAAATAGAATACAAAAATATAATAATTCATTTTATTATTGGGTTTGTACGGTGGAGTGTATTTCATCAGTTTCCCAGTTTTGTAGACTGTAAATTTAGTAAACAAATTATTTGATATTCTTAGTTTACGGCAAGATATGTGAGATATAAAGTAATGGAGATAGGAACTATGTTGTTTAGAACCTCTGCGATTTTATTGCTTACTAGACTGTTTACTTCAAAAAAATCGATCTTTGCATAGATTTCAATTGAGAATAAGAGTTTCTTGGACAGGAATAAGGATGAGTGAAGCAATGTATATCTGTTGATTTATTAATTTTATTATATTATAAAGATGAGTAAAGAGAAAAAGATCGAGTCATCCATGCTAACATTCTTTGTATAGGAGATGAACTAAGATTTTTGGGAGTAGACCTAAACTACTGAATTAGATGTATTGATTTACATTAATTTAAGTCATAAGAATTTCTGATTGAACATGAATTTGTTAGAGAGGCTAGGAAGGAAGTCAAAGTCAAAGTCAAACACACATTGCTTGTATTGGGAGAGGAGTATTTGTATAAGATCTCTCCAAAATAAAATTTAAAGAGAGTTCCTTTAAATATACTGCATTTTGACACAATTCCAAAATTACCAGAAGATCATCTTTTGCAACTCAATTCTGAAAATTAATTATAAGGATTCAAATTAACTTATGCAAGCAAGATACTTCAAGTATTCACTTCCCAATTCTGTTGTTTTTTTGTAATGGTAAGCTATTTTAAAACGAAAATGTCTGCTCTCTTCATTCCATGAAAAATATCACGTTGAGAAAATGATCGGCAAGGGCAGTTTCGCCAAAGTTTATTTGGCTACTTCAAATGGATAGTCATATGCTATAAAAGCATTTAGCAAGCAATTCATTAATGAACAACTGAAGGTACACTTTGATTTTTAAAGTAGGGCAAAGAAAGTCTACTTAACGAAATGCAAGTTATGAGAGCCATCAAACATCCTAATATTGTATAATTATTAGAAGTACATGAAACATAGAATTCAATCTATTTCGTTTTGGAATTAGTTGTTGGAGGGGAATTGCTCTAAAGAGTAAAGGAGAAAGGTAAATATTTGTGATTATTTTCAGGATTATTGAAATCTGATGATCTGATTAAAATTGCATTTAATTTACTAAGTGCTTTGGATCATTTGCACTAAAAGAAAATATTCCATAGAGATTTGAAACCTGAAAATTTGCTATTAAAAACTAAAGAGGATAATTACAACATTATGATTGCAGACTTTGGTTTAGCAGCCTTCTCTGATTAGGAGTTGATATTCAAAAGATGTGGAACTCCAGGTTTTGTTGCTCCAGAAATCTTACTCTATATTGATGGAGGACCAATTTATGATACTAAATGCGATATTTTCAGTGCTGGTGTCATCTTGTACATTTTAATTGTATTACCTATCAAAATTATAATTAGACTGGTAAATAACCATTTCCTGGATAAGATCAAAATGCCATTTCTAAGGCTACTAAAGCTTATTAAATTGATTTTGGATTGCCTGCCTTTTTGAAGACTCCACTTGAATTTTAAGATTTAGTAAAAAAGATGTTGTCGAACAAGATCAGTGATAGACCTACTGCATAAGATGTAAGTATTGTTATGTATTCTATCAAGTGCTTAAAACATAAACTATTTGCTAAAATATCTTAATAATTTAAGCAAGATTAATATGAATTGGAGGAATAACAATAATAGGTTTTGAACAATCTGGCCAGTTATGACTTGGAATATACAATTGGTTTAAAGAACAATACTCAAAAGTAAAATATAAATAAATTAGTTCGGAGGATTTAGTAGGATCGCAGCAATTGCAATGGCGAAAACCAGCATATAATGGTAATGTTTAGACTGTGGAAACCTTAACTAACTGTTCCACCGTTTCCATCAAATAAATTGATGCCTAATCCACTTCTTAGTCCTAATAATAAAAACAACCTTAATAATCTAAATTCAGTATTTTCAGTGCTAAGTTATCAAGATAAAATAGTTTTGATGGAGGAACTGGTATTAAATATAATTCTATGTAGATATGTTCAAAGATTGTGCATCTCCTGGTAGAAGTAAGATATCAAAAGAGAAGGATTTACATAAGATTGCATTGAAAAACTCTTTTCGATTTTACTAAAAACCATAATTGTAAGTGGAAGACAATCAAATCAACCAAGAACAATCAGAGGTAAGTGAATTGATTAAAAGACATAATTCTAGTGAATTGATAAAAATGAATCGTACTGATCATGAAATTTAATCTCCCTAAAAAAGTTGAATGATATAAAATTATAAAAAACTTATTTAATATTTAAATTCAATAATCTTACATGATGTTTTATCTATCCTTTAAGTTTAATTAGCCTTTTCCTTTCTCCTTCATTTCCTTCACACTTTTGATCCTCTACTTAACCTCCGCAACAGCCTTCTTCATACCATTCTCCTCAAAGGTTTTCAAACTCTTCTAAAAATAACTCAAAGCATCTCTAAATTCCTAGACTAACAACAATATTGTGCCTTTATTAATTTATATACATTAATATACCAAGAATCTTTTGAGTCTTTGCTACTTAAACACTTCCTTCTCCATATACTTTAACTTCTAGATCTTCAGTTTCATATAATTCACCCAGTGCTTCTTAATGTCTCTCTTATCTTAATTAGATGATGGCAATTTATCGTTTTATCTTAATAACCTTCTTGTCTTAGGCAGTATATAATTCAATATAGATCTATTTCACTTTCTATAGACAAGCAATTTGTTCATCAGTAGATTTAATCTTCTCGTAATAAGTTGATAACTATTAGTATAGTTCTGCTACATATTCAGTTTTATGATAATTAATTTCTACTAACATATCTATAGCACTTGTCTGACATTGAATTGCATCCTTCCAATTTTCTTGGCATGCAAATATTTTGGCTTTTTCAATATAAGAAATTGCACTCTATTCAGACTTATAACCGTATTTGGCTTCTGTAATAGCAAACACTTTAGTAATGCATTCTTCACTAGCATCGTAGTCTTTCAGGTTGCTATACATTATTAATGATGTGTAATTTACGTATGGCAATTAGACATCAGCGTCAATGTTTAAATTGAATGCTCAGTTTCATCTCCATAGATCTAACATTGGGTTTCATAGGCCTTTTTCAATAAATCCAAGGATTCTTCATAACTATTGATTTCTAGATAACATTTTCCAAGTAATGTGAGAATGATTGAATTGTAACTCTTGCTTTCTTATTCTTCATTATACAATTTGGCATTTTTCTTCAAAGCAAGAGTTAGATGATCAATCGCTTACTCATAACATTTATAATTTAGATATGCCTCGCCTATATTAGTATGTGCTTTCACTAATTTAAATTATCCTTTGCCATGTGTGAATACCAGAATCTTGGATATAAAGTGATAATAATGAATACCTTGGCCAATGCCAACTAGTGCATTCTGATATTCAATATTTGTTCTTCACTCTTATCTTTCGAATACTCATCCAACATCTTCATCTTTTCTTCCAAATCCTCAGATATCTTATCTTCAATTTATTTTTGTTGATCCGGTTAGTAATTACCATAATTCTTGTCTTATTAGTATTTATCCTTTTATGCTAGACAATTATCATAAATATTAATCTACAGTTATCAAATTGATTGGATTCCATCTAATCAACTTGATTAAATTAATCATAATCCTCTTCATTTTGATCTTAATCATCTTAGAAATTACCATCGTCATCATCATATCCTTCTTACATGTTTCTGTTATATCTCTTATATATTAAAAATAATAATCTAAATTAAACAAAACTTGAGTAGTAATATAATATATAACATTCTACTTAACTTACTCAATCTTAACATATCCTTTAAATCTATTAAATTAACAGTTCTAATCTAGACTATTGTTGTATTCAATATTATTACAATTGCATATTATATGTTAACGGATAATATACATTCAAGAATTATTATTATTTATGTATAATAATATTAAGACCTCTACTATAATTATTGTATAAATTTTGAACATAAACATAAACGAAGTTAAAGTGGTTTAATCATAAAATCCTGTCTATAGATTATGATGTAATTTAAATTTAATTTTGAAAGAGAAGAGATTTGAGAATTCATTTAGAAATAAATTTCGTAATTAAACTATTGCTTTTTGATTTAAAATTTGATTTATCTCAAAAGTTTAGGTCCTCCTATATAATTTTATGTTAATTAAACTACAGAACAAGTTGGCTATTTGATCAAAGGATCTAGAACTGTTGAGCATTAAAAATATATTTTGAAAATGATCTATACTTTGTAAAATACTCTTATTTCAATTTATTATAATATTTATTGTAAGTACAAGAAGAGAGAATAATGAATAGCTTAAGAAGTTAATAAAGAAAATGCGAGTGTCCACTTCTAAGTTACAAAGAATTCAGTCCCAGACTAAAGGGGCCCTTTTATTATAAAAGCTTGCATAGTGAATCAAAAAAGCTCCTCTCGCCGTTTGGGAGTTAAACAAAAATTACAGATCAAAAATTTGCGATTCATCTCAAACCCATTTTGATCCCAGATTTAATGGGTAGGAGTTAAATTCAATGTTTGAAAATAAGATGTCCACTTATTCAAAAGAGTCTTAGATCTTAAAGTTCAAACGAATAAGTATATGGAATTTATGGGAGCAAGTGGAAAAGGTTGATTTCTTAAGGGAAGTTTAGCGTGAAACAAATTCGACATTAAAAAATAATTTATAGATTCAAGATATATGTAAGAGCAGTTTAACTTATGCTAACATATTTTAAATTTAAAAGGGCTAGATAATCTAATATGAAAAGTAGCAAAAGATTATCAAAGGCCAGAATCTCTATAGTTAATATAAGAAAATAATCTGGTCAGTCAACTTTAATCCCCCTTATTTAGTAATATCAAGCAGAACTGTTATCAATGCAAAATCAAATATTGAATGTATCTACTTCAGATGTACATAGTCCACAATCTCTGTGCTTAAAACGAAAATAAAAAACACTTTCTTAAATAAGTTTCGATCATTTTCTTAAAAGACCCATCTAACAATTCATAAAAAATAAGAATCTTTCTTCAATTTCAGATCACAAATCAACTTAACCTACTAAAAGAACTTGCAAGACTGAATAAAGTCACAAAAGATTTGCAAGTATTAGATAATTGCATCGCAAACTTCAGTTGAGTTAGGCTTATTCAGCTTAATAATGATACTAGTATTAATGTTATATAAAACTTAATATCAATCAAAAGAATTCTAAGTACATTTTTTTCTGTAATTGATTTTATCGTGATTTTCCAAACAACTGTTCCAGATTAGCTGTTGCATTAACAAAAATGCTTCTCGGAGTTATTTTAGAGAGTTTCTTCAATTCCAACATATTAGCATTTTAATTAGCAATATTGAAAACCATAATATCAACTTAATTCTTCTCCAAAATTTATCTCAAGTGGAGTTCTTGTTTTTGACTCATTTTTCTGTTAACTAAAATATTGGATGATAATAATTACTCTCTGTAAAGATACAAATAAATTTATAACGAGATCTAAAATCATGTTGTTATTAGGATTTATCCTTATCAATTCTATTACAGTGATCATTTTCATTTCTAATAAATTTAAAATCCTCATCTTCAAATTCGGAATTAGACTCACTAGTTACATCCTAATGACAATCCTAACTAGGATAAGAATAATATATTTATTATACCTAAAATTCACGTGTTGACTCTTGTCATCTACATTTTCAATTACCATACTTTTTCCTTCATCTTCCTCAGCCACTGGGGGCAAATAAATTTTTTATTTAATATTCATTTCCTTAACTTTCTTTTTCTCATAGTCACTGTCATGAATGGTGATTTTATGTTCGAAGAAATTCTTAACAGCAAATTTTAAGGCTTAGAATAATTTTGATTTTCCTCCCGGAGCAGTAATAGCCATGAATAATTACTTAGTCAGTAAATCTTTATAGGTTCCTTTTGGTTATAATGGAAAAGCCTCGTGTAGTGAATTGTTGAATCCGTACATGCCAATCAAATCTTGGGGTTATAGAATGTTGAAGATTTTGGTGCATATGCTATGAGACAAGTTGATTTGCTCAACAGTCATTTCTTTTGAATAATCAATAATGAAAACGATTTCGTAGATGTTGATAGAAATTTAGTTTCTAAATTATTGGATGGGCAAAGGAGATATGCTAAATAGATTAAAGATTTTCTCTAAAACCATGAGACAGAAATCACGGACTTCAGGATCATAATATTCACCCAATTCTATTATTTATGTTAAGATCTCAGCACCAGTCTTGAAATTACCTTCGATTAATTCGTATATGGCTTATAGTTGCATAATCTTTGAAAGTAGGACTTCTTTGGGTACATTTTTGAACATGTCAACAAAGTTATAATCCTATTCGGCTTGATTTTACTCTTAATTAGTGTTTTCATTAAGTTTGTTGTAATACTCTAATGCCTTTTTTTCAGATATTTTGAAATTACTCAAATCTCCAATTTAGATATAACACAATGCCTTTTTAACATGGAGATTAATCAATCTTACTATATTGCTTTAAGTGAACTTTTAATCCTTCTCAGCTATGGCTTCAAAATCATTGAATAATTTAAGTGTTTCTGGAATGAAGATTTCATTTTGCATACAAATAGTGAACATGAACTATGCCAATTGAAATTGTCTATTTAACAATTTTGCCTTTGCTAGTTGTTTCTTCTTCATCAACTCTACAATCTTCTCTTCGATCATTTATAATTCTGTCATACCTCCGTTAGATTATCCAGAATCTCCTCTTACTCTTCCATCTTGATCTTGCCTATATTCCTCATCTTTATATCTTTCATCTTATTGAATAATGCTCTCTTTCAAATCCAATCTCTAACTGATGATACTACTTTAATTATATGAGTGACCTCCTTGATATTTGACCTTGTTATTTGATATATTTGGAGATAATTGAGGAGATATGTATGGTGAATTATCAGGATCTACTGAGTTGATGGGTTGTAATTGTTGCTTACTTTCTGCAAATGACATTCTGCCACTTACTCTCTTCTTCTTCTACATAGGTGTTTGAATAGAATTTGTTTATATCTATGTTATTCTGTTTTAGGTGCCAGTGTTGAGTAATGCTACATGGGGGATATTGGTTTTTTGTAACAATTGAGAAGTAGATTAGTTTTTATGATGTTAATCTAATGGTTTACTCATGAGGGATTATGAATTTCCTTTGTATTAACTTTCGACCCTTTTTGATTTGTTATCCTTCTTCTTCTTTACTTGTACACTTATCCAATTGATTTTCATTTACTCTTTGAATCTTTGAGCCAATACTTTCAATCTTTATTTGAAATTTTAATATAAATTTGGTTCCTGTAATGCTGACTACATCCCTAAACACCATTTTTTAAGTTCTTTGATTTCTATTAATTCTAATTTGGCTATGTAGATGGCTTCTTCCATTTCATTTATGGCTTCAAATACTCTGCCACCCTTCATGTGCAAGATCCCAATATTATTGGCACATATTCCAACTGCACTCATGTTTCCTATTTCTTTCTTGTAAAAGTCCTTTGCTTTACTTAATTCCATCAAAGCCAAGGCGTCTGAATGTTTAGAATTTGAATATTTTTGATTGGAATACTTGATTGTAGTTACAAATATATTCATAGTTTGAAATAAGGATTTAATCTCAAAGGAGTTAAAATAATCCTAATAATTAATCAATTCTTCTTCTTGATCCATGTTTTAAATGTCTATACTATTCATAAATTCAGTTAAAACCTTGATTGGCTATTCAAATGATAAACCAATTCGAGTGGCTGTATACCAAACAAATAGAAATATGACTAATTGATATTGATGGATATTTACCAACTGATAACACAATGATTACAATTAAAACAATGATCTCTAAGATCCTGACATTATTCAGGGATGTGCCTTCATAGAGTTCTTGAATTAGAGTTTGTTCCTCAAAGTAATGGACCAAAATGAAGGAAGGCATTGTGAAATTGTTTTCTTCAGGTTCAATGTACACATATCTTCTCCCATTTTCAGGGGCTGTAACTATAGACACCTTCTTTGTGGAATAGGTGTTGACCTTGGAAAATAAAAGATAAAACTTATTTTAACCAAACGAGTAAGTCAAGGATGTGGAATTTAGAGTTGCATTATACACTAATTCATTAGATTTATTGAGGATTTATGGTGCCAAATCTTCATTCAAAGTATTATAGGAAGATTAACTGAAATCTTTAGTTGTCACTATGTATTTAATAATGGATTCGGAAATAGCCATATTGCTGTAATCTGATGGGGCTAAGGTAGTGTATTACTAGTCAATGATGGCAGTAAACAACTAATGTTCACTTTCACCTTGACTTTCATGTTATTGGTAATGTCTTGTTATGAGATCCAAGAGATATAAATTTGAAATCTTTGCTGTCAGATAGCATTATCTAGCATCATCTTAAGAGATGATTTATGTCATCGTTAATGATGGACTTGAGGTGAATACATCATTATGATCATAATAAATTGTAAAATTCAATGTAGAGTCTAATATGAATTCTTCTTCTGGTAGCCAATCATAAGTATTAATGTCCTTCAACAAATTTTATTGCTATTTAGTGAACTATGGTATCCTAACGACCAAAGAGTCTGTGCAATGAACCATCAATGATGCATAGTTGATGGGTACCAGTGTTGAATCTGCCTCGCTCGATTTGGGTTCTAGTTGTAAGTCTTACGAGAGTGATCTTGTATTACTATTTATATATCATCACTTTTCAATACTTGATTATGATATCTGATAATATAAGTGATTAGGTGATCTTGTTCACCAAAAAGCTTAATCTGGGGTTTGATTACTGTAAGGTGTTGAAATTAGTGTAATTAGAGTGACTCCAGGCCACTGTGTAATCTTCTTCAGTTATTTCACCAGATGAAAACGAGAAGGGTGCAATTTACTTGGCATCCAAAGTCCTAAATAGGCTTGAAGTAATACCAGGATGAATAGTTTTAAAACTCGCCAAAACAATAATGTCTCAAATGTGCACTTACTCCAAATATTTAATTAAAATATGCTTAATATTGGATATAGATTTCCTATCATTCGGGTATTATTTACTTGTTATATGATATTCATTTCTATTTATAAGCCATTCAAATGTCGATTTATGTGAAATTCTAAGAGAGAATCCTAAAAACTAGGAATGCTCACAAAACCAAGCAATCCAACCTACAACACTGCTAACATTAGAATCAAAATTATAGGAATCAATATAACAAGTAAAATCTAATTTTTTAGTTCCATCACTCACCTATTAAAATTTAATGTAATATTAAATTATGGAAATCAAGATAAGATGTTAATTATACATGTAATATTAATTTAAATTACCTAAGTAGACAATCGAATCAAAAGAATTTGTTAATTTCTTAAAAATAATATGAATACCAATTATAAATCGAACTATTAAATTTAAATTCTCATCCAGAATTAGACGTCTTGACTACTATACAGATTTAATTAATTTCTTGTTCTAATAATTTATAATTTATTCAAACAAAATAAATGAAACTAAATCTTATATTCTCACTCTGATTCTCCAACTCAAAAAACTGGAAATTACTAAAAATCTGTTTGAATTCATTTTACTATCATTAAACTGAATATACAATTTGTAACAACTTCATAATGATCTAGATGTACATCCTGATGAGGAGATGGCAAATCTATATTATGAATATTGAAATTATAAGGATGCCTAAATATTAAGAAGTCTACCATTAAGAAAATGAATATTTTCTTTTTTTCAATATTATTTTATAGAAGCAATGAACAAGAGAACTCTCACTTTAAGATTAATTATGTTAAAATTTATATTCCTCCCTTTTAAAAGATAATATCAACAAATATATTTATTATAAAATAATACTCAATTATTCTTATTTTAATATCATCTAATTATTAATTATGATATAATTATGTAATTGACAATTAAAAAGTATTGCAATATTAATTTCTAAAATATCAGCCTCTGATGAGTTTATATTTGTAATTTATTGTATCAATTTTGTCGAATATAAGTGTTTGAACAAAATCACAGAAATTGTAAAAACTGACTATGTTCCAATTTGAATTATATTTAATCACATCCTGTATAGATTTATTGGATTGTTTTGAAGATGAATAATTTGAAACATGAGGGTTATATATTAATGAATAAAATATTTATTTAACAATAATACAATATTAATGTTTTCAAATACAAACTCATAATTCCAAAATCCTCAAACATCCTAATATGGCGGCTATAGTCAAACAGTTCCGATAAGTAAGTGATATGAATATAGTAGTAAATTAATCATAAGTGGGGAAACCTGTGTACCAGCCTCAATAGCCTTAGCCGATGGAAGTAGAAATGAAAATATACAGGGGATAGAATCAGGTTTCTGAGATGTAGGTTCATAATCCATAACCCATAAAATAAAATGCATCTTAAATTGTAGTGCAGAATCAGTTTCACGATTCGTCTTCGGTGAAATAAAATTAGAAAGTGTCTTATGTAATATATTTGAATTTAATATGGTTAGTTAATAGATTGGGTAATGTACTTTTTGCCAATAGGATTCATCATATTAATTTTGATTGTTATGTCATGCATGGTTGGTGCAAAGATAAAGCATTTTAATCCCGAGGGAGCACATAATACATTATCAACTTTGAAAGATAACTTATCGAAGAATCCAATTGAAGATTTAGTGGAAGGCAATGAAGTAGCATCACATACGACAATGATTGATTATTTCAGACACAAGGATATCGCATGTCCTGATGGTTATGAAATAGCACAAATAGGAAAATGGGATGGAGTTAAGTCTGGTTGTTTATGTGAAAATGGAGAGACCAGTCATTCTACCACATGTTTTTATAAGTCATCATGCAAAAGAGTGAAATCTCATGATTCTGTAGATCTCAAAATTTGGTAATAGAAGAGTTTCTGCATTAAAAAGTATGAAGACTGGCATCAACTAACTGGAGTCGCTTGTGATAATGGATATAAGTTATGCGGAAATATTTGTGTGCCTATGACAAGAAGATGTCCATTGTCCAATCTAGTGAAGGATAATAGTAGATCAAACGATGAACATGCTATTAAAATAGGCAGTGATCATTTCATTAAGAAATTTGAAGATTCTGAGCCAGTCGTAGATTTGTAATTGGTTCCTGGATTGGGTTAGAGTGAATCATCGCCTTGTTATAATCACGATTTGAATCCAAGGTTTTAATCAGAAAAATATTATCCTTTTGCAAAAAGAGCTGAGAAAGGGTGTGATCAGTATTTGGATCTTCAGAATCATAGAACTACTTTGAATACTTTTGAAATTCACAAAGTGTTTGAACAGAATGATTTAAATGATGTTCTGAATCAATTGCCATTTTATCAAAGTTACATGAGTAATGAAGATACCTATGCATTTGAATTAATCAAGAGAATTAAAATAAATTCGATTCAGGATTGTTAAAAACTAAAACCAAATCAAGTAGATAAGATTTCTTCAAGTAGCAAAAGTGTGTATCATGCTGAATAATACCTCTCTTTCATAATTTTATTGATTGCAGCAATGGCTCTATTTTTAGTGCCAATTCTATATCTAATTAGGAATAGAGTATGAATATTACATAAATATATATAGGTGTTTGAATGGAAGGATATGACAGAGTTCAGATAACCAAGATTTTTCTGTGGTAGTGCTGCTGTTATTGCTACTCTCTGTGTGGTGTTGGGAGCAATCTATTTGTATCATGTAGATGGGAATGTAATTTAATCAATTTTAATTTCAGGATGGATTAAAGGAACATAACCACGTGTTCTAGACATATTTAGAAAAGAGTTGCTTTTAAGATTAAGGATTGATATTGGTATGTATCAATTAATTAAATTATAGGCTGTTGATTAAGTTAATACTTTTGCAAAGAATGTGTATCACTCTACTTATAGTTATGTGATATTTGCGTTTTATGGAAGTATTTGCTATTTTGTGATATTGGCTCTGTTAATGATTTATTAATTCTGGTAACACAAGAGTAATTTTGAAAATCCTTGGTAGTACAGAATCTAGAAACAATATTATGAATTTTATTGAGACAAATTATAATTGTTTATTTATTAATATTGATTAATTATTATGGAGCAAAGCAAAAACATTTATCATCTCAAAAACACTATCAACAAAAATACTCATTACTTTCTCAAACCTAAAAATGCAGCCTTGAACTCTCTCTTGGATACTTATATCTTATAGGATTATGGTGGAATCAATGTTAGTTATCAATTACCAAAAATACGTAATCTATCATAACAATAAATACTCATGGATATCGAAAGTAAACGCAAGCTCTCTGTTCAAAATATTCAAAAATTGGGTTCCCAAAGGAATCTCAATCGGTTAGTTCGATCCTAAACTATCGATGAACCTGCATGTAGAAAAGCAACTGACATCATTGAATCTTGCGAAAAGATTATCACACTTCAAAAGAAGAAAGAAACAGAATTCAAAGTTAAGCAATCAAGAGAGGATGATGAATACAAAGCTATTCGTAAGGCTGACAAATTGCACAAGTTAATACAGGAACAAATATATTAATGCAACAAGGAAGATTTAGACAATGCAAATAAAAAGGCTATCTTATATATTAGGGAAAATACTGTCACTATTGATAAAGACAGATTTATACAAAAATGTAATAGGGAAAGATTTTAGTTATAATAATTTCGAGAAAGACCTCGAAAAGAGAAGGAACACAAACGATTCAGAACTAATTATCACTTATTAGATCTCTGATATGTTTTATTAATTTTGTAATTTAATTTATATGTTTTATTAATTTTTCTAATCCAAAAACAATCCATCACTCTCTCGTTTAAGTGCCATTAGAACAACTGAAAGAACCTATGATGCATTACAAGTATCTGCTAATGTTTGTAACAATCACGAAAGAATTGTGACAGAACCATCCACAAATGATTGCTACTTGGTAAAAAAATAAACATTTGGTTCGAGACATCAAAAGAATAAACTCAATATTCTTATAAACAATATTCAAAATACATTTAAAGAAGAAATCGAGAAAATCAAAGAAGAAGCCAAATTAAAATTGGTGGATCCATAAATACATATGTAATTATAGGTTTTTTTGATTCATTTAGTTAAGATATCCTCTCAAATAGCAAAGAAGACGTCGAACTTTTAATCTACAAATTAAAAAAGATATTGATTAACAAATCCAAGCGATCTTATTGTGTTGACATTATTTAAGAAATCAATCATTTCATAACCAAATTAAAAAATCTAGGTATCCATCATATTCACAATATTCCAAGATATCAAAATCCTTGTCACTCTCACACTTGCTAAAATTGCCAAATATTATAATCTCTTGTATTACTCTATTTCCCTTGCTAAAAATGCCAAAAGATTGTCAGACTCAGAAGCACTACTCAAATACAAACTTAAAGCATACAGCATTTTATCGTAATGTTTTCTTAAGCTAAGACTTAAATAAGCCAAAATATATATCACCAAATATTTGATGTGCAGTTGGAAACTAAAATTAGTCAATTCTGAATTCAAAGGCTATGAATAATTAGGGAAGTATTATTATTATGAAGGCAACATCAAAATGGCTTAATTGTTCCATGACAGAATGCTAAATGGCGAATCTTTGGTAATCCTATTATACTATTTAATCTAGAAATTTGATTCCTCTCTGAAAAGGCTAGCGATTTCTAAATTTGAGTAAGGATCGATAGGAAAGAGTAAGAAGGATAACCACATTATTGATGAAAATAATTTAGATATTTCCTCAGACGACGAACCTTTTGAAATAATCTTTAATTAAGATTCAAATGATGTTAAAATAAATACAAATAAAATAGTGGCCTCTTATAGAAAAAAAAATAGACTACTAAACTTTTCGATAAGACAATAGCCTTTATATAACAAAACAACTATCAAAAAAGCTTAGCAAGAAGTCAAAAATGCTAATCTTTTTATTAGGTATAATAATTAACAATAGTGATAGATCTCCCAAGTAATAGAATGTAAATTCGTTGTTTACAGAATAAGGTAATTTGGACTTATAAAAACTCAAAAGCCTCCCTCATTCTCATCTTAGATTAGGAGAACTTAAAACTCCTGTAATGTTAAATCATCTAAGTCCAAATAGATGTTTAGTCAATTACCAATCATTAGAATTGAATAAATCACCTCAATCTAATAGGAAGGCAGAAGAAGTTGATCTGCTTTTTGATGTCGGTGATGTTCATAAGATGTCCAAAATCCTTAACAAAATAATCACTATTCTTACTAAAATAGATGAATGGCTTTAAACGCAGAATGAATTAATATGATAATATGATTATATATTACATAAATAATTTAAAATATTAATAAGTCACTTACCTCTAATATGAGCAATAAAAAGTAAGACTAGCCCTTGGCAAATGCTTAGAATAGATAGAGAGGTGATTAAAAATAAATCTCGTTTTTTAAATCCAAACTGTCTGGATTGTCACCTTTGAATAAATTCAGCCCTTTCAAGGAATCAAGCACTTATTAGCTATTCAATAAGAATTATGCCTCTGTTGATTTCACATAACAAAAGTATCAAGTTAAAATTTCAAAGACAGCCCTTATTCAAATCAATTAAATAAAGATCTAAGCAAAAAGAACTGTCATCTTTTGATTCCTAGAGAAGTCCTCATAAATCTCCCAACACTAGCAATTAGTAATTTTATGTTGATTTTGTGAAGCTCCTCAAGACAAACTACTTAGAAGAAAGACTATACCTCAAGAATATAGTAAGTAAAGAGATAGGAATAGTAAGTGAATTATAGTAATTTTAGGAAAATACCATATGATTCACTGAAATCTTAGAACATCTACATAGAGAGTTAAAAATCCATATCTTAAGCATTGAAACAATATCAGAAGCCAGAAGATATGTAAAATTACATTCACAATTAGGAAATTGATTTTGGGATTAAAAAGCTTAATAAGAAAAGAGAAATAGGTGATCTTGAACGATGTGGACTAAGTGATCAAACAAACCGATAAATATCAATCCAAAATCACAGAAATAGTAAGTATTCCCCTTTACTTTAATAGACGAATGACCAGGAGGAGTTGAAGAAACAATATCAAAAAATGACTCAAGATGAACATTAAAGTATAGAGATATATGGGGAAACCATTTCTAAATACAACAAAGCCATATAATTATTACATGAATTATAAATTGATTACGATTCACTGTTACCAGAATTATGTATATACTTTTTGAAATTGTTGTTAGAGAATGATTAAACTGAAGAGTCCTTAAAAAATGTGTAATAAGAGGAGAACAAGGATGAAACAATATTACTTCAATAGTTTATCATAAAAAAACTAGTTAATAAAATAGAAGAATCCAAATCACTCAATCAATAACTAATTTCAAAGATCAAATAATGATATTGAAGGCATTTTCAATAGAGAGTTGTAAATATATATATCAATTTATTATAATTTCAATTATTTTCCCAATATTTTCTAATGCAACAATCCCAAACTATTCTCAACTACTTGAATGGAAATTATCTGCTCACCAGTAGTACTGAGAATCAAGTTGTCACTCTAGAATTTGATTCACAATATTACAGTCCTTGCTTTCACTTTTTACATTACTAATTATTTAATCACCTTAATAGTACAAGGTAATAAAATACTCTAGTATAGACCACTCCTAATTATAGATTTAGAGTTCAACTTCAGATCACTATGGAAGAATATATATTCTAGCATTGAATATTCTGAATAAAATGGATTTAAGAAATATGTGAATAATATGTATTTCATCAACAAGGAGGATTCTTTGAATGAAGTCTTAAAATAAATCGTGGCAGATAATATCAAAAGCCTAGAGGTTTTGATTTCAGGAGTAGAATTAACTGAAATATCAATTTTCAACATGATTAGAGAAATACTCAAATAACCATTTCGATCCTAGATTAGTGTATTGATTCCTAAAGAATTTAAACACAGAGAATTAAAAACTATTTAAAGTATTTCAAATTGTAGAATGATAATTGAATAATTGTTGGAGAGTGATGAGAAGATATAAAAGAGTGAGAAAGAATTCAAAATCTATAATTTAATGGTTACTATGGTTCTAAAAAAGTCTAATGGACATTCCTTCCTAAAGAATTATATTATAGATGGTAAGGAGTTGTTGAAAACTAAATTAAAAATTAATAAAATAAAAAAGGAAATTAAGAAAGACGACTAATTGGATGTTACTAAGAAAATAGGTGCAACTTTCAATTTGAATTTGAGTCAGGAGTAAAAGATGATGAAAAATGAGATTGACAATTAAATTAATCCTTACAAGGAAATCATTTCATAAGAAAATGTCCCGTTGATTTATTAAAATGAAGGAGATGAGAAGAGAATAATTTTGGACGATGAATAGGAGGATTTCGAAGAAGTGGAAGAGTATGAAGGATGAAATGATATTTCAAATAAATCTTATTAATTTATACTGTATAAAATGATTGTATACATAATTATAGTTAGAAAGATTGACATCTTTCAAAATTTCTACTCCTTAAAACAATTTATAACAATATTAAATTAAAAAGACTTTTAATCGTAAAATCTCGCCTATCATGAAAAAGACAACTCTAAATTATTCATGTACAAGTAATGAAGTCCATTAATATGTTGAACATAGATTTATTCTAAAAGTAAAACTAATTTGACAATGTCAATATTGGTATTTTCATTGACAAAGAAAACTCCTATGCTGGATTGCAAAAGAAGAAGAAGCTTCAAAATAGAGACACAACCAATCAAACCTAGCAAAAGACAGATTTAAGATCAAATAGTGCCTTATAGAAATCATCATCACTCTCTTAATTTTATCGACCTTCATCCTCAAATGATAAACATTCTTATTAACACTAGAATACATATGCATACTTAAAAGACATGAAAAACTAATCATGTACTTAGTAACTTTAGTAGAGTAGTTATTAGAAGCGTCACACTTCCTCTAAACAAGTCAAAGAACACAATTCTAAATAAGTCTAATACCCTTATAATATTTAATTGAGAGTAAATTCACTTGAGATTTATGAGGACAAGAAGCTTAAACTTAAATTGATGAAGAGTAGTTTAGAAAAACAACAAAATCTGAAATCAAAAGATTACTCAGAATTTAACAATTAATAAATTTAGGACATTAAGACAGAAAATTAAAAATACTAAGGATTATTGGCTAAATACTTTCAAATTAATTAACATAAAAGTGCTGATGAGAAGAAACAATCAAAAGATGTAAAACAAATTTATAATATGTATCCTTAAATCAAAGATATTAAACATTGCTATACAAATTCATTAAAATAAACTCAAGAAAAGAAGAGAGGGCAACTTTAGGAATTTGTAACTTAATTAAATGTAGACACCTTCAGAGATACATAAAAATTATAAATGAGTAATACTCTCATCAAATCTGATAGATAAAAATTGAATGATGTCAAATCAACCCACTTAAACAAAATTAGTGTGACTTAAGAAAATGAACCTGTAAAAACAAATCATCTTATCATACTTAGTTTCTATATTACATATCTTCAGTTATATCAGCATTAAACATCAAGGAATAAAATAAATATGACGAGAAAGTAAGGGATCACCTTGCCTAAACCTACTAAGTAAAATAGACTTTTATATCAAGGGGTTATTGTTTGCAGGTCAATTTGATTTGAATTTTGATGAGGATAAAATAGTAAGTCTTCCAAGATCGAATAATTTAAAAACTATTGTTTTTGATTTAGATGAAACATTAATTCATTGTAATGAAAATGCATAGATTCCTGGAGATGTCATCCTTCCTATTACATTTCCAAATGGTGAAACTGTTCAAGCTTCAATAAATATTAGACCTCATGCTTAGAAAGTGCTATAGACACTCTCTAAACATTTTGAGATCATCATCTTCACAGCTTCACATTCTAGTTATGCCAACATTGTGATTGATTATTTGGATCCCAAAAGATAATGGATATCTCATAGACTGTTCAGAGAAAATTGTGTATAGACACCTGAAGGGGCCTACGTTAAAGATTTAAGGTAATGGGATAAGTATTTTTAGAGTATTAGGAAATCGGAAATTATCGAATGTACTTTTAGTAGATAATGCTTCTTATTCTTTTGGTAAACAGATTGAGAATGGAGTACCAATCATCTCTTTTTACGATAATTATGATGATTAGGAGTTGTTACATTTATAAAACTATTTGTTGAGTTTTAGACACGAGAAGGATGTGAGAGATTTAAATTAAAGAATGTTAAAATTAAATTAATTTATCAATTATAAAGAGTTAAAGGAACTACTGTAAGGTTTATTTGAGATGTACATTTGATAGGTGTTATTGAGGATGTGATCATACATTGTTTATTTTATATAAATGGCTAGAAATGCACATTAATTATAATTTTATTATTTTCATAAAATTAGTTAACGAACATAAACAATTTAAAAATGATGAATGTTTCAAAATGTAGTAAATGTTCAAAGGTGCCAGATGATATCCTTATGTTGACATGTAGTCATGATTTATGTTTATTATGTGCAGCCAAATCATTTTCAATGCAGCAGCCTAAAAGAAGCAAAAAAGTAAAATACACTATTAATGATTGAATAGTTTTTTGTTTGTGACATTTGTTCATCTAATACAGAATTAGATGCCAATAGTGTTTATGAATTAGAAAAGCTACATTTAACCAATGCCATTTAGGATAGATCTAATCGTAAACCTGGTCAATAGTCCAAATCCAATTTATCAATTGAGAAATAAGTTAAACCTCGTTCACAGACTAGATAAGATAACAAAGAGAATGCTAAAGAGAAATCTGTTAAATACACTAATTAAACAATGGAAGCCAGAGTTTCTATACATCAATCTCAAAGGAAGATGAGTAAGCAACAGAGTGAAAATTCATTCATTTCACAGCCAAGAGGAATGTGTGCTGATCATCCTGAAGAGGAAGTGTCATACTTCTGTTTTGATTGCAATAGCAAATGTATTTGTCCAGAATGCATCATACATGGAATTCACAAGAATCACGAAGTTAAAACAATCAAGAAATCATATCCAATTGTGAGGAAATAATTAGAAGATCAATTGGAATAGAATAATCAATGTATAATACAAGTTGAAAATTACAGGCAAGACTTGGAAAAGAAGTAGATACAATAACAAGCAATTCAAGATCATTTGAAGTTACAAATAGCCCAAGAATTTTAGGTATAAATTACATCCAAATTTAGATTTTACATCAATTGTTGAATAATAAATAAAGTGAATTGCTTGAAAAAGTGGATAATTTACCTACAATTATGGAATAATAGGAAGGATATATAAATAGACTCAATGAAGTTGAAATCAAAGTCTAAAATTTTAATGAGAAAATTAATGACATGATAGATTCCAAGGATGAATGTGGATTACTCAATTATTATGGATCAATTTATGGTCAAACAACACCACAACTGCCACCACTTCCCAACATTAAGGAAGTGCAACTATCAAATTAAATATTTTCATAAATTAATGACGCTAAAAAGTTACTTGGAGGTATGGATATTGATTGTAATTAATGATATAACTCCATCAATTAAACTATTTCATAATCTTCCTTTCAAAATAGTTGGCCCCACTATCTCACCTATCCTATTAAGCAATTCTGTCTCATTGTATTATTTCAAATAAGCCAAAATGTCTGTTTCATCTAACAATTTGATTGGTAATCGCTTAACAATCTTCAACTCCTGTAATCCTTCGATCAAACATTATAAAATGAAATGTCTTTGCCAATCAATGTATTTCAGGCATGAAGATATCAAAACGATCATTTATTTTAATAGTTATTCATCTGGCGATAAAATGGAGATTTACTTAAAACACATAGTAATCCCAAGTAAAGTTTAAGATTGATGTTTACTGACAACCTTATCCTTCCCTCCTTGAGCTTCTAGACTTTTCTATAAATGAGTTTGTGCCTCTTCTGTGTTTGGCACAACTCCAACAAAATCTTAATAGGCTAATTCCTTATCCTTAACCACTTATACTTTCTATTGTAAATTCTTGATTAAATCAGTATGATCTTTGAACAATGCTAGTATTTTTGCACAAAACTCCTTGCATTCCAAAGGCACATCACTTAGATGGAATAAGCAATTGTCAACGATCTATTGTTGATATGGTAAAACTTCATTCATATGTAATCTGCTTATGTGATACATCAAACTAAACCCAGCCTATCTGACTATGGGATCAGTTTCAAATAAGGTGCAGTTTTGAGCTGCTTTCAATATTTCCTTATGTGGTAATACATTTGGTGTTTATTTCATGAACAAGGTTATTGTTTAAAGAGTTGATAAACCACTACTCCTTATTTAATAATATCGACTTGTTGTGCAATGATAATTATAAATGAGGCATTCTTTAAGGAATCTATCTCTGATAATTGTAATTAAACCCAAAATAGGAGGACCTCCAACTGAAGGAAAATGTTGCTAAGCAATATTGGCAGCAATTTCCATCAAATTATCAGTATGGCAATTGTTGAGTAAAGGTATCAAGAAGCAGTCTTTATTTTTGGGATTCAGAATTTAGTATTCCTTGAGTGCTTGCATTCTCACTTCAAGTGATTCATCCATCAATCCTTATTAAATGGTGGCAATAATAATGGCTTTGTATTCATTTCCTTCAAAGAATTGAAAGAGATTATGAACGAATTTCTAGGCGTATAGTCTAACATATTTATTCTAGTGTCTTGCTATCCTTTGAATGATTTCAATCACTTCGATAACTTTGTCCATATTGTATTTTTGCTCTAGGAATAATTCCATTACTCCCAATAAACCTTAGATGTAGTACTCCTTTCTGTTTGTGAAATAATATTTATTCATAAACATTGGTTCCATCACCTTAATTTTGTTTTGCATGTCTGGAAACTACTCTTTGAGCAAAGTTTATGCAAATTTAAAGCTTTGATTATACATAATGAAGGTATCATCCCAAATTATCACATTAATCAGCAAATCTAAAACTTGAGAGCTTAATTCTTTGAAGTTGTGTTTCTAAACTAATTTTGATATCACCGATATTGTTAGCTCTTAGACTCGATTGTCTTAATGTTGCAATAGTTTTAATAGTGAATTTTATAATACTTACAAGACTCTGTCTTCAGTATCTGCTATAAACTTAAATTCTGATAATTGATTACATTGAAAATTGTCATAGCATTTAATATTGTCTATTCGCTTTCGTAAAGGGACTTTGCCTTTTCAAATAGTTCCTCTCTAGACAGACTGCTTGTTCTCAAGTCTTCGACAAAAGAGTTGATATTAGTCAATTTATTGTCCATTTAATATAAATTAAAAAAGAAATAAAATAAAAATGTAATAAAGGTTTAGGTAAACAATGTTATTAGAAATTACAAAGATCTCCAATTGGTAAGATATTTTCACATTGAATTCTTAGTTTTAATTCTCATTAATTTTTGATGGGTTTCAATATTGGATTAGAGACTGATGGTTCATACTTTGTTTACTGCTGTTAATATACTGTGCTTTGAGTAGATAGACATATATATAATGATAAATTGGCAATTTTCAATGGTATACAGATAACTTAGTCACTGGGATTATATATAATAATGTTGTCTATTCTTAATGAATTGCTTATATTTTAAATGATATACCATCCTAATTCAGATGATATTTTACTACATCTATTGATCAATTTGATGAGACGGCATTTAGTTATGTTTAAACTTCTGTTTGATTTTAAACTATTAATAACGCCTCAAAAAATTCAGTTAATTATTTTTTTGTATACAATATATAGAACTAACATGAATACTTAAATAAATCATTTAGTATGTGAATATCCATATTTACTTCCGTAGTTAAACTGCACTTAAAATATGATAAGAAATAAAGCAAAAACTTAATGAAAACCAGCAGTTATATCACAAACTTAAGAAATTAAAAACCCAATGTAAAATCATACTTGTACTTAATAAATCTATATTGAATATTTGATCAAAATATGTTGTTTATATTAATTATAATATTAATTAATCATAATAATTATAATGAAGCTGTAAAACCGAATATATAAAATTTTAAATGCGAGGAAGAAAGCAAAACATTTTAAAAATATACTTATCTCACCTTGCTTATGTTAATATAAGGATTATAAATAATTCAACACATTATAGAATGAGTACTTAAATTAGAAATGTCCAAAAAAGTCATTATGATAAAATAGCACGTTAACAACGATTAAATTTAATGAAACTGTAGGTTTAATGGATTTAATCATATTTAAACATAAACATATATAGATCAAATTGTTGCGAATGAAGATCATTCAATAATGAGGTCTGTTTATACCTAGAATACCACTAATGGTTATTTTATTCTTATTTGCTGCAACTAGACCAATTCTTTTTTATCCTGGTTTTAAAATACCAACCACAAAATTGGCAATCATTTAACTGCTCTTATCGTTATCATCATTTGAACAGCAACTATCATCGAATTCGGAAGAATCTTGTTAACACCACGTCGTTAGATCAGTTGATTGTGAGTTTAGAATTATTTTGTTTTCCATTATGTTATTTATTTAATTTAAAATTGCTGATTCAATCCATATTTCAATTGATAAATAAACTTATTCGTGCAGTTTTACAGAATTATATTATTTAATGCGTCACATTAATTGAAAAATATAAAAACAATATTGAAACTAATATAAAAAGCATTATTGAAAAATATTTTATTAATAAATTATAAATGGGAAATACTCAATAAAAAGTATGTTCAGAGGAAGAACAATTAGCATAACAACAATAAATGTTGAAATCGAGAATGTTGTACAGGGTCATAAAAAGTCATAAGCGATTGCTTAAAAAATAGGCATTTTGTTTGGGAATCACATTTTTTCTGATTCTATTGGCATTGATGAATTCTGTGTTATTGTTGTTGTATGATGATGAAAATTGATTTTATTTATTGAATAATTCTTAAAACCATAAATTTAAAGATAGATTAGTTTAGCCTTTAATATAATCAATTTTTACCAATTAAATAATGATGATAATAGCACCAGAATTGATTTATCATGAAATCAACATGCCTTCCTTAACCTGAAATTTATATATATTTTTTAATAATATTTTTTATGAGTTCCAATGGTAGTGCATTGAAGGGATCAGGTAATTGTAAGTAACGAATGGAATAGCACCTCCTGATTTAGCAAAATAAGTGTTGGTCCAGAAATTGGCTCAACAAATAGTGAACCAGATAGTCTCAGATGATGTAATAGACGATAAAATTGAGGAGGAGGAAAATCACAACAAAGAGCCTACTTGCTGTCAAATGTTCTATGCTCCCTTCACATTGAAATACTATTAACCATTCTTCAACGATTTAACAACTAAAGTAATAGCATAAAAACTATGGGCATCCTTTTTCCCATTCAAAGCAACCTTCTTTGAAATTCAGGATGGAAAGGCAGATTTATATGGGCCAGTCTGGATTTATGCCACCTTAGTATTTGCAGTAGCTGCTGCAGGTAACATTTCTGGTTATCTGGCAACTCCAAGCAACATAGCATTCCATTACAATTTCGATTTCATACCAACGGCATCATCCTTACTGTTCGGAATAGCCTTTCTAGTACCATTTGCAATTTATATGGTTATGAAAATGCTGGGAGGCAGACATCTCCATTTAACATCAGTTATCTGTATATATGCCTATGCTTAAACATGCATAATACCTGTGTGTGTGGTATGCTCTATTCCGAATCCTTAATTGCAGTGGGGTGCATTGATCTACGCAATGATTAACTCATCTCTGTTCTTGATAGTCAATTATTGGGGGTATGTATATGAATGTGGCAATATCTTTTAGAGAGTTGGAGAAGAACATACAGGCGAAGAAACACATAGTTATTTGGTTGATTGCTGGATGCTAGGTGGTGTTACTGTTATTGTTCAAGATGTACTTTTTCTTGTATGTATACACAAATCCTTATACTGGATCAAGATTCGATTAACTCACAAAGATTGTAAATGAATATTGTAATTTAGGTTCATACGGATCACTTCTTTTTGCACCATCATCAATAACATTGAGAATATTAAATTATTTATAATATTATTATTTAACCGAATGTCTTCAAAAGATAAACAAAGTGTTAAGAGTGATAAGTCTAAGGACAAGAAGAAGAAATCTACTAAATTGGACAAGAAGGATTCCAAGATTCTACCTCCTCCTCCTGACAATGATCAATAACTACTTATTGCGAGAGTAATTAGTAGGAGTGGAGACAAGGAAAGCAAAAGCTTGGGTATTACGAATAATAAGCTTAGCCAATTGCGATGAGGATCCATAAATGTAGACATTCAACAATAATAATGGCAATTTCTAAACTAGCAATTATTCGTAGCAACATAATCAATATGAAAATTACCCTACTGTCAATAAGAATAATAATCAATTCAGAACCAATAAATTTATGACTGATCAAACTGCTTATCCATAACAATACCAAGACAATTTCTATTAAAAAAGTGCACAACAATATCAAGATCAATATTATTCACCCAGTTACACATAACCCTATTATCCAAATCAATAGTTTACATAATAAGCTACCTTCGATTATAGATAAGAAAGAATGAAGGATCAAGTTAACTAGAGTTTGATACCGAAAAGATCTGAAATTCTGGAATAAGTCTCAAAGGTTATTGCTATTAATGATAAATTAGATAGATAACAGAATAGATGAAATCAAATATCAATCCTAAAAAATAGAGAGCATTACCAGAGAAGAATGCGAGATGATCATCGATAAATTAAAGAGTGTTGAAACTCAGAAATTGCAAATGTTGTATCATGATAAGAATGAATTGCTTAGGTATGATCAATCATTTATCTCTAGAGACATCGATTAAATTGATGCTCTGCAATAGAGAATCTCATAGTTGTAAGATTTCAACTCTCAAAAGAACATAGACTTATTTGAAAACATAGAAAGATTGAGTAGGAAAAGGATCAAAAAATAGATTGAAATCTACCCAGATGATTTGCCTTAGGATTTGATTCAATTTAGATAATTGCAATAGTAAAATTAGATGCTCCAGAAATTGATGGATTTCAAGAATGAAGTCATTTGGAAACTCTTTAATGATTCCTAAATAGAAAGTAAGCGGATCAGAGAGGAATTGGAAAGACAAGCAAATCAAGAATTTCAAGAGTGGTACAACATTGTGGATCAATACTAACAAGAATTGAATAAGTACAAATTACAATGCACTTTTTGTGGAATAAACTTTGATTATTAATTGATTAATTCTGATTGCAACTCAAATCAACAGGATGTTTGTAAGATATTGATTAATTAAAAAGAAATCTAATTCGACTGCGAATAGAATCCGCCTGAATAATTCTTGGGTACTCGACGACACTTTTTTAGTAAAAGTAGGTAGATGTAATAATCGTAAATTTAAATGGAAGACAATAAAGTATGATAAAAATATATATATATATAAAGATCAATTTTTAAATTTGATTTCTCTGCAATCTAAAACAACATTTTCATCAAAACCTCCGAATATTCTATCTGTTTCTTGTTGTAAGGTTGTCTAATATACAGGCAATTGAGGTTCTCTCTAAGACCCAGCACTTTATGGTGTGACATAATGACCAGAAAATTGATCTTCATATAATTTAATGTCTGTAGTTCTTCGTTTGGAACTGAAACCATCATTTATAAAATCACTCTGCACTTGTTACCAACTACGTAATTTAGATATGATTAAAATACTATTGAGGATTGTTCTAAAGATTGCCATCTAATGTTATTTCGTCACTCTCTGTATAATCATCTTGTCTCCTTATTATCTTTTTAATCAGTAAGTTGGAGTATGATTACCAAGTTTTAAATAAGATTAAAACATTCAAATAATCATGAAGAATGTTGAAATTAGATTTGAACTATAAAGTATGCTGACTGATATTGCTTCTCTGTTGGGTTTTGTTTCTCCTATAATACAGTAATCGAATTTGCATCTCTTTATTGAACTATTTCATGTTTTGAATGGACTCCTAGGACCCATCTTTGAACACTTCATCATGATAACAACACCTGAACAGTTGATACAGTAACTGATTATATTGAATATATCCACAAGCATCACTACTTAATCATAAAAGCATTACCATCTCAAATTCAACTTCGATGCTAATTTGGCTGCGTCCCATAAATTGTCATCTTTGCCTCCTCCCAATGGTTATCCGATGTCAAGCAAAAAGCGACAAAGAAACTTGTAATGCATACTTTGACCATTGGTCTCAGCTGAATACTTACACCAAGCAGTTTTGATCTTATCGATTTCCTCGACATATGTTTGAATCATTGAATTCTGGACTTAGAAAAACTCTTCAAATTGTTCAATCAAACCTAAAATAAACAAATTCAAAAGAACATAATTTGAAAATAGCATAAATGTTATGAAATATAATTAATTGAAGTCTGAACCACAACAATCAGGGTTCTCTGGACATGATGGATTATGATGCATCGTATCTGTCATAATAGTCCTAAAATCATCACCTGATGCACATTTAAACAGTGCCAACAAGGCATATTCAAAATTAGTAAAATTAATGTAATCATCAATCACTGCACCTTCAATTATCTTACCGAATAATTGACATCCAATCAATGCATAAATTATCATAGTGATGATTAGAATGGATATGAGTTTGGCCAAAAATGGAAGAGCAAAACCCATCACTCTTATCAATCTTGATAAGTTTGTTAATCCTTGAAATATGACAAGCAGACGCAATTGTCTTGTCATAAAGGCTAACCTTATCATTTAATAATGTGGAGTGAACACATTCGATTGAAAATAATAGATAACCCAGTCATTCTCTAAATCTGCTATTAAGTCACAAAGGGATATCAGAATCAAGAATGTATAATACCTCCTCCAATTATTGTCAAAGTATCTATTTATACCCAATGACATAAACAACAGGGCAATCCATAAAGCATAAAACAATATGATGAATCTCTAAATGATATTTATTTATCTGATATACTCCACCTCCATGTCATATTAATATTGTAATTAACAGATCAAATCTATTAACAACATCAGAAACATAAACTTCTAAAATATGGAATTATTGACGATAAAAGAGGCAAATCTTCTTACTATCTTGGTGGGGGGAGTTGAAAAAACAGGAGTATCCTTAAGGATAATTGGAGCAATCTCTGTAAACTCTCTCTAGAATTTGGTGGCATCTTACATTTCAATCTTTTGTTGATTGAATCTCAATTTCGAAAAGAGTGTTCCCGTAAAGAAACTCAAAAAGAACATAGACCCTACAAAGCAAAATGAAATGAAGTAAGCATATGTTGATATATAAGTAGCAAAAGGAGATGGTCCGTATCTGCTTTGTCTGCTGTTTTCAGCAACTTACATGATTTCACCCCAACCATCAAAGGTGGATACTACAAACAATGTGGGCAATGCTATAGTGATATTGTCAAAGTTATGTTTAAAATTAATCCACTCTCTTTGAGATTCCTTGCATTCTCTTTCATTTACATAGAATTGCATTTTATCATCACAAAATCCAAACTGACTTTCATACAATATGATGCCAAACACTCCGAACATTATCCACACTGAAATCAAAGTCAATAATATCTTTAACATGTCTAATAATGATTAAGCCAAAGCAGCTCTTATCTTGTCTAACCATTTAATTCGGTACATCAACTTCATTGGTCTAAAATGGCCGAGAAACAAACAAATATTTACAATTGGGTTTTGTTTATAACTATCGATAAAGAACCCAAGCAAATAAATTAGGTCGATCAATTACCATGAATAGTTGATATGTGATCCCTTGTCCATACATAACCCTTTTGCTATTATACAAATTATATCTTCTAGGAACATAAACACATTTAAAATCATCAACAAAATATATGGGTATTAACTCTTCTCTTATTCATAATCATGGTATGTTCGAATAATCATTACAATAATTGATGAAATCAAGACCAAATTAGTAAACCAATAAAAAGCTTAGGATGAACAGAAATTGCAACAAATAATTCTAATTTTGCTGGTTTTTTCAAATAAGTAGAGTGATGTTTCACATTGAATATCTTGGAACAACTTAGGATTCGACTTCATTACTTACTTATTTAATTACTCTAATATAATTACATTATTATACTTAAAGATCGCAATAGACTTTCCATCAAATCAAGTTTTACTTTTGGTTATTCCTTCTCTTCCAACTCACAGATTTGAACTTATGAGAAATATTGTGATTTAATTCTCAAATTTCTCGTAGAATCCAGATCTGTATTTAATTGTTCCTCATCTCTTGCAGAAGTCATTTGATTCTCTAGCAGTTGCTTATCACCTTAATCTACTTCTTCCTTTTCATCTAGATATCTGCCAAATCCATCAAGCAAAATAGCTAAAACCAATCCATAAGTCAAATAATTCAAAATTATAACCATCGAAAACGAATAAGTGATAGCAGCAACAGTACTTATGCCTGTCCCTAAAACATACACTCCATACCAATCATCATTCGTCATAATATTGAATATAGTCATAATTGCTTTCATCAAATTATCGAAGGAATGTAATTAACCCAAAAAATCATCCTAATCAAACTTACTTGCATAAAGATCCATCCCAATCATTGCGTATATTGTGATAATGATGAACATAAATATAGTTAGATATATGTATTGCTTAAATGTTATTGATGCAATCTTACCTATCAATACAGCCATCTAATTGTATTTTAAGCATCTGTAAAATAGTATACATTTTGTTCCTCTTATCAATCTCAAATATTACTCAGTTAAATTCAAATAATCACTGAAACTAAATTCTATAAAACTTGCAATCATTATTATCGCCTATAACACATTTTCCTTACTTGAAAAGAAACGTTGCAATGGATATGTGAACATTTACAAACTGATTTCGACCAACAAAAAAACAGTTGAAATATCTTCGCATTTCGATATGATAATCGGATCTGCTATTCCATACAATGATAAGAATATGAAATTGATCAAGATTATCAAATCAAAAAATAATTAAGTGACCTAATTGTCTATTATTATTAAGGTGTATCTCCTCATAATCAATAGTTTCCCACCTATTGTCGGCATCCATATTAATCGATTGAAATTATTTAAACTATTAAAGATGTCTTCGAACATCTAAAATCGATCTGGATTCATTAGTAATACGTTGTTTCCTGACCAATTCTTTGTTTTGATTATCTTCTGCTCTCTCTCTTTCTAGAAAATTAATTAATACAGTTCCTCATTAGAATCCAATTGTAATTTTGATTTGGGTATCTTCGTGTTGATTTTCTCTTGAATCTATTCATAATTGATGTAGTATCCTTAAATATAGACGTATCTTCTGCCCTTGCTAATGTGTTCAAAGGGTAGTTTTTGTTCTACTCTAGGTCTCAAATTAATTATAGATTTTAAATCATTGTTTTTTCGCTTCATTTAGAGAGAGGGGACATCGAGACTCTCGTCCTTCTTACTTAGACTCTTTTAAATAGTGATTCTCCTAGTACTCTTATGGATTGGGTATCTAGACATTGAATAATCAGATTGTTATCTCGTTGTTTATTTTAAGTTCTTCTTTGATAGCAGATGTTGATAATACATTTTTATTTTTTCCTTATGTCCAATTCTAACAAATTAGCCTATAAATACCTTTTCTTCTAAACAAAGACATCTTTCAAACTATTAAATTTCTATTCCACATGATAATTTACAGAATTGTTCAATTAGGTAAAATTGTACTCTATTAATTTCAATAAAATTGAAATCTCAATAGGATCATCAGAATATAAATTAATATTTACTTAACTCTGTTCTTTTTTGAGTTCCTTGAACTTAGGCAATAGTTAGTTTTTGAGTGAGAAATACTTAAACTTATTCCAAATAGAACTTTAATTAAGTTTCTACAGTAAATATTTAATTCAAATACCGTTTATGCTTCATCTAAAATCTTTTTTTGTTTAGAGGACAACAACCTCAACTGTTGATTCGGCTTCTCAGGCCTAAAATTGTCCTCAATTAGTTCATTCAAAGGCTTCATTGTCCTAATCAAATGTCTGTGCTTCTTTAACACAGAATAGAAACCAATGTAACGCAAAAAGGATAAATCAAAATAGGAGATCACATCCTTACTTAAGAACATCTCCTATCTTTATAAACTATGATCGTTTTTCTATTTAGATAACTTCTCAAATTCTTCGCATTCTTATGTCGCTTCTGAATAGTGAATTTTCAATACAGCAATCATCATATTGATCGAAAAGAAGCCACAAACAAATATGATCAACAAATAATAGATCCATATCTATGGATGGTAGATCCTCATTGTAAAAAACATCACCCAACTCCAATCGTCCATTGTTATTGTCCTTAAAATCTACCCAAAGGAAAAGAATATATTATTGAAGGATGTTGGCAATTTAGGGGTTTCAGCTGATAACATGCAATGCATTCCTTCAGGACAAATGTTTTAATAGCACTGGATCCAATCATCGACTGGGTCTCCCTCTATTGGTTAACATCTATAATTAAATAGGCCCTGGAATAAGGATACTCCAATTATGGAAAAGAATAAGGCGGATAGTAAGAGGATGAAGAGTGCTTCAGCTAAAAATACCAATGACTTTTTTAGAGCTATCAACATGTATTTCAATCTCAATAAAACATCTCCCAAATATATGAAGATAGTGATTATTCTGAGTGGAGTTGGGTCGAATGGAATTGAAGTGGGGTAAAAGTAGTGCAAAAAGCTGATTAATGTACATAACAAATTAAATATATCTTCCTTACTGTACAAAAAATGTACTGTAGGGTAGATCCCTCCTGCAGCTAGAATTCTGATGCATATTTCAAATGCAAAACAATAAAATATAAATTGCTTGTACTTCTCATTTGTGATTGGGGGATTTGAGTTACTTAGTGTGAATAGAGTCAGATTGCAAATAATGAAAATACCATTGATAATTTTAAATTGGTAACTGTCTACGAGTTTCTAGAAGTGCATCGGTATACACAAACAAGAATAAACAATGAATTTTCTTAATTTCAGGAAATTGAGATGATCATTGTAATTCTAGACTAAACTAATTTAAATACTTTTAATTCGTGCTTCAACCTTTCCAAACCATGGAGAGGAGTCAATACAACATAATAAGGGTCTTCAAATGGATTGCGTTCCTTGTGCTTTTAATACTTCTTCAATATCCGGGGATCAAGGTCTTCACAAAAATATTCCACGTCTTCATTATGCTGAGCTTCCAATTCTTCTATTTGATCTTGAATAGGGAAATTGTCGTGTCCTCTATCTAGCAATTGATCTTGAGAATTGACTTCGCTCATGGAGCTTGAATCACCAAAGCATTTTTTTAGAGTCCTTAAAACTTGCTTCTTAGGACCTTTCGAGCTATTTTAATCAGAAGAATTATGCGTCTATTGTTCTTGTTATTCGAGTGTTAACAAAAAGCCTTCTTTAAAACTCAAATTAGGTACTGCAATTTTGTCTTCCTAAGGATCAGGCTTTTCGTCAACATTATTATACTCACTAGAATCTGAGGAATTCTCATCTTAGTTTTCGTAAGGTTGAAAATTTTTTAAACTCTTCAAAGTACTTTATTATAGCAAATGCTTGAGACTCTTCATCTCCTTCAAATACCTTGTTGGGCTTCTCTTCATCATTTGATTCGAGATTGTGAATCGATAGCTTTTCTATTTTTTAAACTCCTATTATTTTGGCGATGACTTTTGCTGCTGTGAGGATTCTCGAGGAAGCATTTTTATCTAAAAAAAATAATATAAAATTATTCAAATCACATTAATTACGCTACTAACACAATTGCAACTAGCAATAATACATTGCTACTATTTAGAAGGGGCTACTAAGAACTTGAGCTGAATACCAATAAAGATCAAACTGGCACTTTTCCAATCACTTCCCCATTTCCATTTAATAATATTTGCAACAATCAATTGCATATACTGTAAAACCAATGTTATGAAGTTATATTTATTATCTATTTAAATATTGCTTAATCAAAATTTTTATTTAACTAATATCAAATATCACAAGTCTTCACTTTAAATAAACTCCTATAATTATGTAGATAATTCTATGGAGAAATGATATTGAACCCTATAAATAGTAGAATTAATAATAAATTCATAAATGATGACTACATCGGAAAAGTATCAACATTCTTTGATGAACCTAGTGATATCATCTTAGTATTGAGGAATACACACAATAACAACAAGATGTCTAAACAAAATTCTATCGAAAATAGATTAACAATTTAATATTATTATTATTTCCCGCTAAAATATGGAAGTAGAATCAAACACAGGAATACCCTTCATTTTACAAAAATTGAGAATAAATTCTGAGAAGAAATTCAAACATGAGAGAGTTGGATATGAAATTTAATAGTCGATCAAGTTTTATTTGACTCCTCTTAATAAAAGCTTTAAAGCATAATATAGTCACATTTATTATATGCGCTATTTGAACTTGTCTAAACGATTTGAGAATAATAGCAATGATTCTTAATTCATTGAGTTGATTTAAAAAATACAGAATTAATAAGGAACCATCAAGGCAATTGGTACGATTTTCAAAGAAATGAAATTAAAACCATATTATTTCTCTTCGAATTCAAACAAAACATTATAAAGTAAAATGAATTTGCCTATATGCAAGATTATGTATCTAATGAGGATGTATGCTATTTAGAAGACAGTTCAGGAAGAGTCAAATTGCAAATTCATAATGCCATACTCTGTCTTCCAAATAGGAAAGATAAAATAGTCAATGTCAGCGATCTTGTGACAGGAATTACATTGATGATTGAAGGGTAGATTGTTGCAAATAATATTGTGAAAGTAGAAAGGTTCTATCTACCTTAACTTCCTGAGGCACCGCTTTTTAAGCCATTAAATTTAACTTCATATCTCTGTCTGATTTCTGGTTTAAATTACAATGCCTCAGAATGTACTACCAAGTATCGACATATGATTGATTATATGTAAGGCAATCTTTATAGCGGAGAAGGAAGCGAAGTAAGATTTCACAATAATGATATAGATTCCATATAATATATCTTAAGTCATAATTCTTGGGAACTTATATTCCAAGCTAGAGGAACCAATTGATTAGTAGGTACAGAATCCTTAGTAAGACTTCAAAGGGGTGTATAGCAAAATATAGTTAAACATTAAAGGAGTTGATGAATTGATTAGTTAGTTAGTATCCGTTACTCCAGTTGCTATAATGCCAGGAGTAAATGAACCAGTTTCTTAGATGTTTCCTTAGACACCTCTGCATAGATCATTTTTTCCAGAATCCTTAGAAAAATCCAAATAATTGATATTCTTAACAAATCCAAGTGAATTTTCTTTGGGAGAGTTAAAGGTACTTGGAACAAGTGGATAAAATATCCAAGACATTAAAAAGTGCTCTTTGATAAAGGATTAATCAGATGTAGATTTATTGGAAATGACATTGTTTTATGGACATATTGCTCCAACTGCGCCAGATACTTTGATGTTTATATTTAATTCAATTATATAGTTCATACCCATAGTAAAAATAGGATCCATTTGTTTTATCAGAGTTACCGAATATTTACTTTGCAGGAAACATGTCAAAATTTGGAACTAAGATTGCTGCTGAAAATGTAAGAATTGTTAGTGTGCCAGCATTTTCTGAAACTGGAACAATCTGTTTAATAAATTTACATACTTTAGAATGTTTTCCTGTTCATATATAATGAAAACCATTTATATATATATTAATATCAGATTTTAATTTTTTTCTTGCTTTAACACAATAATTTAGTTTCTAATTATTCTAATTATTCATGTATCATTTCATGAATTTTCAAATAATTATATTGCCTGTACTTGTTCCATTGATGTAATGATTTCAACTCTTTTTTGCTTGTTTTTAAGCCTTGCAATATAACTAAGATCTTGGTGGCACAGTTCTCCTTTTAAATCCAAGACAACCCAAAATCCTGTATGTTGTAAAAGCTTATTATAAACTAAAATATAAATGATAATGATTACCTTGACATCCTACAAAAGAGTTGATTTTTCTCTTTAAGTTTCAAGTTTAATAAATGGCAAATTATTGTGTCCTGTCAAATCAGAGTAAACATTCTGATCTAAATATTATTGAATGAAATCAGTGAGCTATGTTGAATTCTTTTATAGCTAAATTTATTTCCACATATACTCCAAAGATCGAAAGGATCCTGTTCTAGCCAAGTTATACATTTAATCCAAGTTATTAATTCGAATGATATTCTATCTTTTGATACCAGAATATATATCCAGAACTTTTGCTTGTAATTCAGATTGCGATGGGAAATGTGTTAGTTTAATTATTTATGCTTCCTCTGAGATTTCAAACTTAACTTTTAATTATTTTAATTTATTTAGCAATTAAATTGGTGTCATAACAGATCCTTTGAGTAAATCATCAACTGAACATTTATAACCATTTAGACTGCCTGTTTTCTTACCATAAATTTAGATATTCTGAGAGATCTCATCATCTTCTGGTAATTGTGATATTATTAATTCAACTGGAATGGCAACTTAAATTTCTAACCATTTCTCTTTTTCTAATTCTTATAGAAATAGTTAAATTTGTTTTCTGCTGAAATCATAATTCAAAGTTGATTCATTTAATAGTATCTTTTTGATTTTTGCATCAGACTATTCTGAACTTTGTAAATGCAACCATTTCTTAGTTAACCAATAAGTGATATCATTTTCATCTTTAGATATCAAATCATTTGTGTAAACACATTCCTGCATAAAAATAGCCAAGTTTTCTATTTAAATAAAATTTGAACATATTTCCGCCCTTTAGGTGAAGTAATAGTCATCACATAAAAATATATGAGAGTTGGCTTCTTTGTTCAATTCTGTTATATCCAGAATGTATGTTTCAATATTTAAGGGTAAATACAAGTGAACAGAAAGGAATACAAAATTTTTCAGTCCTTCTGGCAATTAGAATCCGCTCGGTAATACAATTATATCGATATTTTAAGATGCAAAATCATAATAACTAGCTTATCTTTGATTCTCAGGTTTTTTTTAATGGATTGAGTTACTCTTGAATCCATTTTACTATAAAGTAAATTGCACTGATTCTACTGCACTGATATTATGGCAGAAGACAGCTATTCCAGTCTTTTTATATAATCGTTGGCTTCGAAGCAAAGATATCAACGATTTGATAGGACTTTCATCCTTGGAACAAGTGATTTAAGTCTTTGGACTGAAGGATCTAAATTTATTAATAGAATAAATTACTCGCGATATGTTTGATAGTTTCTATTAAAAGGATGCACTTATCGAAGATCCTAAATAAAGACACTTTGAGTTATGGGCAATAGAATGTGGATGTATTCAGCATTAGCCTTTTAGATGTACTTAGTTAGGTCTGTTTGTACTTTGCCTATTTCCAGAAAGGACAAATAATAATTGGATTAGTCTAGCAATAAGAGTTTGATATCTAGATTTGATAGATCAATTAAATTGGCTTGATCTGGATGCACAATCAATAATTTAATGTTCCTGCTTGAGATATTTTTGACTATGAAGTCAATTTAATGAGTAGGAACTTCAGGATTGATGGCTGCCCATGAGATGACATCTTGGATTCTTCTTAATTTCTCCTTCAGCAACACATAATTGTATGAGAGTATGACAACCAAGCCATCTACTAAAATAGAGAGCAATTAAAATAAAATTGATCGTTAAATTGTATTTAAATTTAATGAGCAAATAATATTATTTGTAGTATTTCTACATAAGAAATCGATTGGATCAGTGATCAGATCTTCAATTTCTAATTGTTTAATAGCATCCTACAATTTTCTATCATAACCCTCCGTAATTGGGGTCTTGATTTGTTCATAATTATTATTTTCTTTAAATGGAGTCATGTTAAAAGAGATGATCTTTTTGACTTCCTCACTAACTAAAAAAGGGATGGAGTTCTGTTTCTTCAATTGTTTAGGAGTGAATGAATAGCCAGAATCAATGGAATCGTTCATATTTAAATAATTAATAATAATGAATTAAAACAGAGAGTGTTAACATCATGAAAAGGTCATGGAGTTATTTTGTGAAACATGCAAAGACCTAGTCTGCAATGATTGCGTTAGTTATGGTCCACATCAAACTAAGAATCATAAAATAATTAGTTTCAAAGATGCCTACACAATAAGATAGGCATTCATTAAGGACAGAATTGAAACCGCCATGAAAAATAAGAAGGAGAATCTCCTCGATTAATTAGAGAAGATAGAAACCAGAATGAAATATATCACGGAAGTGAAGGCCACCATTGTCAAAGACATTCACATGGAATTTGAGGGAGGTATCTTAAAGAGATTGAATGATTAATCTGGTACATTGACAGCAGTACTCCAGAAGGACATTGCTTGGTTATAGAAGCATTTGAATTCAATAGATGATTTTATTCACACTTTTGAATATTTGGCTTTGGATCAGAATGTGTTACCCTTATTATTCATGTCAAAGACATTAAGTCAATAAACCATGAAGTTACTCAGCATCATTATTAAGAGTATTGCAATTCATTATCACTTAGCCGAAATAACTTCGCATCCTTCTGATCTCCCTAGAGAATTGTTTGATCTCAGAACCAAAATCAAAAATTCAGAAATACTCCAACAACAAATTGAATTCAAAAAGCAAGTCATTTGGAAATGTCGATAAGAGAAGATCTAATCCTTATAGAAAATTAAAGAAGAATACTTCGTCAAAATTGAAGATGAAATCTATGATTGGGTAAGACTACTTAAAAAAGTGGTCAACACTTTGGACAGTTTGTGTATGATATGTACATTTTGTGGGTGTTTTATCGATGTAGTGAATGAACAATGTGCACTCAATGCTAAACCATATGAAGAAGTTTAATTAGATTGTATATATTAATCTTATTCGAAATTAAGTTACTGGATTTACCAATGAGTTACCTAAAATGAAAGTATTTGGAACTTGCCAACATTTCTTTGGCTATCCAAGAGATGAGTATTTAATTTTGAGAAAGGATAAATATGCTAACTTCGGGGATTATCAGGAACAACGAAGAGCTGCCAAGGAAGTCTACTTCAAAGTGTTTAGATCACTCTGTATATTAACATCAATATAGTCAAGGGTTTTCTATTATAGATCTAAAAGCCAGGAGATATTTGAAACAATTGGATTTGTAAGCCATATTCAAAAAATACGATCCTGATAACAAAGGCTGGTTGTCCATTGTCAAATTCAAATATCTGATGCATCAAGAATTGGGTATGTCTGTTTAGGAAGTCGAAAAACTAGTCATCTACTTTAGAGATGAAAAAGAAGACAAAGTAATTATTAACAAATATGAAGGTCAATTATGAATACTTCCTGGGGATCGATTGGTATTTGGAAGAACTGTAGAGGTTGGAAGAACAAGTAAAAACAGAATCTGTCAAATATGCTAAATTATATAATAGGAGAGTGAGAGTTAAAACAACCTCTCCTCCTCCAAGGCAGGAAGCCAAATTTTTAGAAAGACCATAATAATAATAATAATAATCAACTATTTATAGCAGTTTTACTCGTTTTTCATAAGCTGTTGAAAAACAGCCTGTCCCATAACCTGTTTAATATGAGTAGCCTCGATTTGGGTTCATAGATAGAGATAATTCTCATACTCAATCAGTGAGTAAACAGTTCCCTCAAAAAAACAATATAGAATTTTCAGCTGAATCCAGTTTGAAGAGCAAGTAGAAATCCTCTTCTTTGTAGCCTAAGAGAGTCTAATTTGAAGAGAAATAAAGTTATCAAAGATTTAAGGAATCTGCATAAGTAAGTGGAAATTATGCTTCTAAATATTATTGAACATTGGACTTAGTTGACTATTTGAATTATTATAATTAAATTCAAAATGGATAACTATAAAAAATATCTCTTTGATGAGAAATTTCAAGAACCACAACCTCGAAACACCTACTCATTCTAAGCTCAGGAGAGCCAAGAAGAATAGCCTGTCGAATCAAATTTTGATGATGAATACAAAAAAGATTTTCTTCAAAATCAAATTAAAAACATCAGAGAAAAATTGATAATGATGGGTTTTCCTAGTTTGGGTGATTTGTATAGCAATTCAAATTCTGAAGTTGATCTTACTGTCAAAGTGTAAGTATAATTCAAATCAATTTTTTAGATTGGTTGCAGTAATTAAATAAAGAAGAGAGGACATGGATTTTAAGAACACCTATCATGAAAGAGTTAATAAAATCGAAGCAGAAAAACAACAACTAGTTTCTAATTTTGAAAGAGTATCAAATAATCGAAAAATTCTTGAGTAAGAAAATACAACCTTATAAGCCAAGATCAAGAGCACAGAAAAGGTTCAGAAAGAATAAATGTAAGTAAATTTATATATTAAATAGTAATAAATTGATGCTGGAAAGAGAAGATCTATAAAAATAGCTATCAAAATTATAAAGTAGATCGACTTAATTTGAACATGAATTGAAGTAAAGGGATTTAGAAATTTAAAAACTTAAAGATCATATTAAGAAATAATAGGCTTCCAAAACTTATAAAAATAGTTTAGAAATGACATAACCTATTGAATAAGGGGGTCCAAGTGTTTTTGCAGCAAATGGAGAATATGAATTCAGTCAATTGGTTATGAAAAAATGGGAGGAAGTCAATAACAAATTACTTAGGGAGAATGAATAACTTAGGGAAAATCTAGTTAAGATTCATACGGAACTAGGAGAGATACTGCAGATTAGGAGAGATGTCTATATCAAAAGAAGAAAAATAGATTTTGGAGATGAGAACATTCCACCAGAATTGGATAACCCATAGCAAAATATGCATCAATTCAAAAGTGACTTATTCAAGGCTCCTTTAGAAACTAATGGCAAATAGGCTATTTCGATGTTGTAAGAGAATCTATCAACGTTTAAAGAACTTATGAAGAAGTTTGATTAATAGTATGAACTTTAAATGAACGAAGATGAAATAGAAATTGAAGCTGAAGGAGGTAAAACTAAGGCATGTAAGAATTTGACTGAGTTATTCAAAAACTACAATTATATTTTTGAAGCTCAGGATAAGATGATAAGTTAAATAATCAATAAAAGCTAAAATTTAAAAAAGATAGACGAATTAAACTTTAATTTAAATAGATTCAATAGAGTGTTGGATGACAAGTAGATTGATGATGTTAAGAAGTATTTACAAGATTAGAAGAAGTATCTGGATGAATCAAAAAATGAGATGGATATGATCAAAAAATAATTTTAACATTAATTGAAAAAAAGAGAAGAAGAGAAATAGATAATACAAGTATTCTTATTGATTGAAATATTTAGATGAAACGATAGATGCTAGAAGAAACTAATGATAAATTCAAGGAAAATATCAGAATGTTGGAAAATGCAAGTAAACAAGCCTTACAATAACTTAATTAAGATAATAATTGATTAAATATTTTAGTATCTAATTATTATTATACAATAAAACTTTGCATTCCATTTTAATCCATCTTCTGTGATAGATAGATAAGATTTAGAGAGGATTCAATATATATCAGCAAATTGAAATAACATTCTTTATAAAATATAAAATTATATAACTAATTTGTTTGAAAATATTAACTAGCAATTACTATTAAATTATTATTTATAATTCTCTATGAACTTATTGCATCAGCCAAGGAATAATAAAAAACGTCTAACAATTTCAAAAGAATTGGCTTAGAGAAAATAGAGCATTATTTAACATGTTTAATGTATTTTAATTGATTTTTATATTGTAGCTGGTGCTCAATTAGTTAAATAAGATTCGTCTTCCAAATTGATCAAATAAGAGAAATAAGTTCGAAAAATATCTATAGATTCATCATTATATTCGCATTCCTCTTTCTATGTTCAAAAAAAGTTAAATATACAAATAAAATAGAAATTAAAAAGAAAAAGAATTAGAGGAGTATGAAGAATACTAATTGAATTCCTCTGAGTATTCAGAATAATCCATACCTGCAATTCAATATGTTAATTAGGAATCCATAAAAGAGCCTAATTAGATAATTGAAATCTATAATAATAAGAACCATAAATTTAGAGCTGATTTTGACGATGACATTCAAGGTAATTAAAAGCATGAAAAACTTTCCAAATATCTAGAACTATTTGCATTAGAATAGGACGATCACCCAGAAAATGAAGTAGCATATTCAAAAATAGTTAAAAGATATGAGAAATACTATTTGCGCAATCCTTTTTAGGATCCATTTTATATATAATTGGTACCATTAAAAGGAACAAAACGATTAATTTTTGAATTAAAAGTAAATTTATATTTAATTTTAAGAAATATTAAGATAACATAAAATTTTTAAAATTTAGAAAAATTGTTGTTTTTTTGTCACTGATATTTCCAATTTTAGCAAATGATATGATGAATACTAGAATCTATAAGATATTGATGACAATATTGATTTTGTTTAATGTCTTTCTATTTATTGTAGTAAAGACAGAACATAGATAAGATACTTTTGAGATAGAACAAGTTGTTACAATCTTATTTATCATTGAAATTATCATAAGAATCTTAGTTTCTGGCTTCTTTTTCACTAAAAATGCCTTTTTTCTCAGGATGTAGGACATATATGATTTCACTCTAATATTTGCGACTACAATAAATCTGTATTATCCAGAAATATTTATCATTGACATATCCCCATTGAGAATGATTACACTTCTATTTTATTTGGGAGATATCTTTGATGATTTACAAGTAATGCTCAAAGCGCTCAAATAATCCATAAAGTTTCTAATTGAAGCATTGATGATAGTTGGACTCTTTTCTCTTTTCTTTGCAATATGTGGTGTATTCCTATTTCAAGGTTTGTTTAATTATCGATGTGAATATGACAATGGGGATGAGACAGATGGGTGGGTTCAATGTCATGAAAATTCTTGTTATGAAGATGGCATGACTTGCAAATTTACATCTGAAACTCCAAAGATGCCAACCTCATTTAATAATGTGATATTTTCATATGGTTAGATTTTAAGAACAATAACAATGGATGATTGGAGTTGGGTGATGTTTTTTACAATGAGAATATTTCATCCATGGGTGTGGATCTATTATTTGTTGATCATATTTGTCGGTGGCTTTTTTGGATTCAATCTAGTTATCGCTGTTCTTAAAACTCATTATGCAGAGGCTGCTGAGGAGAGTGCAAAGAAACAAGAGGAGGAAGAAATTAATAAGTTAATAAAGGACAATTAAGAACATCCTGAGAGAGAACTCATTAATGTATTTGATGTCGCTTTTCTAAGATACATTGGATTCTTTTCGACTATTCAAAAGTATAGGGAATGTTTTTCAAGCAAGATTATCATGACTTCTCATTTGGAATCTGAATCATAAATGAATAAAACCATTTCTGAAGCTAGAACATTATCAGCTGCCTAGAAGAAATAAAGTGGTCAACATGTATATAATGTTAAATATAAATTAGAATTTTGAGAATTAAAGTCTGTTAAAAAAAATATAAGAATTCACTACTAAGAACTTTTTACTCAGAAAGTTTAGATTGTTAAAATATTAGCAATTAATCATCAATTTAAAGAGCTACTCAGAAGATCCTTTGGAGTTGGAGATTCTATCAAAATTATAAAACACTTCATATTCCTGTTTGTAGTCAGAAGTGAATTATCAAATGGAATAAAACTTTTCAAGCTAAAATGATGTTTTATTAAGATTCATGTAATTCAACAAAATATTATTAGTTTGATAGATTTAGCCTTGTAAGAGGAGAAAAAGTTTAATCCTGAAAAAATGAGAAAAATCAAATTTAAACAATAATATCCCAATTGGTCTAATTAGGTCAAGTTAATAAAGAAATAAGCTTAATAGCAAAAGTAATTGCAGAGAAGCTATTTTCCTTCAAAAAAGAAGAAAAATAATAAATGGAATATCAATTTTAAGAAAGATGAAGATAAAGAATAAAATGAAACAAGTAAAAACACTTATGAAATGCTTGAGAAGTCTCCAGAATAATAATATTAAAATTTAAATATATAATAGAAGGCTTCATTAAAGAAAAAATCGAAAAAATTTGCTAAGATTGTAGAGGGTTAAGTTTTAATATTTGTCTAAGGGTATTACTTAACATATGATGAAATAAAAGATAAAGTCAACTTAAAGATCCCAATAATTAAAAATAATTTTACTAGTAATTAATTTAAATACAGAAAGTTAAGAGAAAAGGAATTATAGGGTGGTAAAATAATAAAAAAGAGTAATTGGTCAGGGAAGGATGTATTAATATTGAATACAAAGAATCTAGAATATTTCAATCTTATTTTTATATAATTGAATTAAAGAGATGTTTTAATATGGATGCAGGGATTGAAAGGTAAAATCCTAAACTTAACTAAATATACCAATCTCATTATTACAAGCACAACAAGTAGGGTCTGTTTTGATCTAGTAATATTCATAAATTTTACATTCCTTTCACTTTGGAACATAGCTGATTCTAACACAATCCATTAGGTTGAAAATGTTTCAACAGTATTACTTTCAATTGAATTATTGTTAAGAATAACTTCAATCAAAATAAAAGATTTTACTAGTAATCCAAATTACGTGTTTTAAGCAGCAATAGTAATCATTAATATAATTGAATTGACTATGAAAGATTTAATGAATGTTTTTGATGAATAAAATTTGAGATTAATCAGAGGAACCAAATGTTTGCTATTCTATCGATGTCTAAAATATAATGCTATGGCTGTTAGAATTGGGCATATAGCATCAATGACATTTAAATAATATATTTATTTGACATTTCTAATGTTTTTGGTTATCTTTATGTATGCTTTAGTTGGAATGGAGATGTTTGCAGGAGAATTTGATTAAACTGACTCATTAGGTTAATTACATTCATATGATAATATTTTCAAGGCCTTCATGACTATTTTTAATATCATGACCAACGATGATTGGTATGGAGTATATGTGATGGGAGGGGAATTAAATTACACCTTTGCGGTAATCTATTCATACTCTATGGTCATTATATTGAATTATTTGACTTATGGTCTATTTATGGCTGTTTTACTAGATGGATTTGGAAAGTATTTGAATGTATCAACTGAGAATGCACCTTTATTCAATAATGAATAGCATGCTGAAATCACGCAGAATTCTAATGAGGAATTGGAGAAACAAGTATAATAAACCATTCTAAGTCCAATTGGATCTTAAACTCATATTATTTTAGAGAATAACTAAGCAAAATCTAAAGTTGATTTGATAACCAATTTTTTCAAATCCATCAGTAATATTTATAATTAATTAGTTAGAATAGTTGAATAAAGAATTATTGAATAGAACCCCTAAACTATACACTGGAATTGAATGTTAGAGTTCTCTCTATATATTTGAGAAAGAGAATATCATCAGAATAGCGTGTACAAAGGTTGCCACAGCTAATGCCTATGTATATTTTATGGATCTAGTGTTGTATGCATCTCTTATAACTTTCATAATGAATACCTACTACGATTACGAGGAGAGTTCAAATAATACATGCAACATCATTTAATTAATAATAAACATATGGATGTCCATTGATATTGTAATAAATGTAATAGCCAAGGGATTGTTTTTGGACAAAGGATCCTATTTTATTTCAGTGTGGCAGATATTGGATATAATTTATATAATATCTCACTTCATAACATTTGGATCTTCGTAATATGCACGGATTTTAGATTTCTTTTTGTATTTTGGATATCTAAGACCCATGAAATTACTATTTCGTATTAGTTGGTTGACACAACTAAGAATAGCACTTGGATATTCATTAGTAGATATCACAAATGTTTTAATTACTATGTTGTCTGTTTGGATCATGTTTGGTGTGTATGGGATAATTCTTTATGAGGGCTCGTTTGGTTTTTGTGATGATAAAATGAATTTTGAGATTAGTTACGATTAATGCATTAAAGAGAATAGACATTGGATTAATTATAAGCATAATTTCGATAATATCACAGTTGCTATTCCAACCCTATTTGTTACATCAACACTAGATGGATGGGGAGAGATCTACTAAGTAGCTGAGAATAGTCAATTGTCAACTATAGGACCTTAGCCATTCAATAGTTACATCTATACGTACTTTTTCTTTATAATCTTTGTATTCATTGGTTCAATGTTCTTTTTAAGTTTGTTTACAGGAGTTCTGTATTCAAATTTGAAAGAAAATCAATAGAAGATTGAGATGACTGATGTCACTCAGTCCTAGAAGGAGTTCCAAGAGATCTCTTCCATAATTATTAAGGATTTCCCTATATTTAGTTCACCTCCTACAAATGGTATTAGAAAATTGGCATCAGATATAACTAATAATTCTTACCTTTTGATTTTCATGTATCTCTTGCTGATACTCGATCTAATAATTCTATTATTGTTTGAATCAGATATGAGTGAAAGCTACTTCAGAGCTGTGAATAATGTTCATAATGCTTTGACTATAATCTATGTGGTTTGGATCATCTTACTATTTTTGGCATTGGGAGTTGGTAGATTTTTTGATAATTATTGGAGAAGATTTTATTTCTTTTTGATTCTCGTGGGCATAATTGATTTTATAGCTGATTATTCGATTGATTGGATTATGATATATTATAGATCGACTCCTTATGACAAGGCTTATTAGATATTGAGGTTTTTCTTTTCGCTCCGGAGTTTAAGAGTGATTATTATATTCCAAGGATTAATAAATTTGTAAAGATTGATGAGAGTGATGGTGTTTGCATTCCCTTTTTTAGGTAAGATATTTACGATATTGATGATTGCTATGCTTATTTTTGCTTTGATTGGTTGCTAACTGTATGGTTAAATAGATAGTGGAGCAGTGATGGATGATTAAATTAACTTCCAGAATGTAGCTTAGGCATTGTTGGCTTTATTCAAATGTGCGTCTGGAGATGATTGGAGAACAATAATGACAGATACAATGCAACACAATCCTCTATGTCTCGATGATCCTAAATATTGTGGAAGTGTTCACAATCAATATTTCTTCTTCCTGTTTATGCTCTTGTCTAATTACGTATTACTCAATCTCTTTGTACTTGGATTGATTGAACAATTTGAACAGTTCTTTTAATTACAGAATTCCTTGATTCAAACCTATGTGGAAAACATCGACAAAATTAAAACTGTATGGTGCAAATACTCCTCTGAGACTCAAGGACAAGCTATGAATTACAAGTTTTTATGCAAGTTCCTGTTGGACATTGGTAAACCCTTGGGAGGAGGGAGGGAGGAGAATCTATGGGATGTGGCCAAATTAGCATCAAGTTTCAAGTTATAATGGTAATTATACATTTCCTAATTATAGTGATCATTATGGTTACATCCAATACAATCAACTAATATATGAACTGTTTAGAAGACGTTTTGTCAATGAGGTCTTTAAGGAAGGATCGGAGAGTTCGATTGTCAAAATTAAGCAATTCAATAAGGAAATGCAATTGAGACTAATGTATTATAGGAAGAATAGATTGTTGGAGAGATCAAACATCAGTCCAAACAAATAACTTAAAGCTAACTTTAACATTTTGCATGATTATTTGACTGTCTTGATCCTATTCAAAACTTGGGAGTCCTATTCTAAATTGATCTTTTAAAAGATCTGCAGAGAAAATAACTTCTCAGACAGTGATGAAATTTCCATTCATATTGACAAAAAGAACAAACAAAAGTAATTATGTTATTGTTATATGAATCTAGTTTTAATAATTATGAATTTGACGATGACTTTTCTGAATCTGATAATATGACACAATAATAGTTGAATAACTAGATATCCTAATAATTTAATAACTCAATCAATCAAAATTTAATTCTACAAAACAGCAGTAGTCTCTAAAGTGGTTCAAAGAATCATATTATTGGAAGTCTCAAGAATACAAGTACAAGAAGAGTCTAGAGTTTCAGGATTAAGAAGAAGGGCAATCAAAAAATCAACATCAATCCATCAGAACCTCAAAACAATGAATAACTTAAACACTATAATACACTCAAAAGTCAGCAGTAGATTGATCAGGATGAAAAATTACCCTATTATAAAAACCAATTTGATTTGTCTCTTTAAAGTGACTACAAAGAAGGTACATTATTAAATGCAAGAAGAAATTATTGAGATGAATACTTGACATTCTGTTTATATTTAAAGTTTATTATTATAAAGTCAAACTATTTTGTGAAATCTTACTGAGACAGAAACCCAAACAGCATAGATATCTTCTGGATAAATCTCCATCTTCACTCTAACAGCATGGTATGTTTGATCTCCTCTTGCAGTGAGCACTTCTCCACCAACAGGAGATGTTTTGATATCCTCCAACATCTTCTAAATGTTCATGTGATTGAAACAAATTGGAAAACTCATAAATGTATGTCCTTCAGGTATATAAGTTCTAATAGCAGATTGAAATTCAGTTTATGCAAATTGCAATCCTATTGTCAATAGTGATACTAAATACCTGTGATCTTTTCAGTTTCATAATTGGCCAAGGCTATCTACATTATGCTTCCCAGTTTTTCATCATATCTAGTAGCCAAATTAATTACTAACACTAGGATAATTAATACTTTTTCTGTAGCTTCCTATGGCTTCCCTGAGTTATAACTCTAACTTCGGTTCCAATTCATCAGCATGCATTGTTTATCTCAATAAGATCAATTAGAAATTTTGTGGTTTTAATAGGCTAAGTTCATTTGGATCAACAGCCTTCCATTTAGTATAGTCTTCGATATTGAGATCAGTTCTTAGCACAGAATCGTTTTCTTAGATATTTGCATAAAAACACTTATGATTAAAAATACACCCAATTCTTTTATATAACTAAGGAACCTATTTTATTGTATTATCTTTAAAAATACCTTGGGATCATTAAGTTGAAACTTATGACCAGTCAAAGGTTCCCAGAAGTTGTATGTATATTCAGCCTGTTTCTAATTTGGCTATTTTGGTTTCTGTAATCTCGTCATAACCCATCCATGAGGCCTATCAGCTGTAGAACCGAATACAACATATGCATCTAAATTAAACCCAAGAAAGAATGAGCACAATAATAAGCAATGGTCCTCAAAATCTCCACCTTTCAAAGCTAAAAATGTTGGAAACCTATGCCAAACCTCTAATCGATCTCCAGATGGTCCTCTATCCGAAGTCTTCATGGGTATCAGACTTACAAATCTGGCAGCGTGATTAGGACTCATGATCCCTCTTACACTTTGTAATTCCCTTATAAAAGTGCTAGATGGTCTCCATATTCCATCTTGAGATTCTGAATACAATTTAATTGGTCGAACAGATAATTTAAGTTCTTTAAAATCATTCCACCAAGCATTGCCATAAGTATGAAATCTATCAGATATTTAATTGATCACAGATTTCTCTTTGGAAAGTTATGAAACCACTATGTTTTCTGGAAGCAATACTAACCCAGTTTTTGGTAATAATTCCAAATGAATTTGAAGTATACCAACATGATTCTTCCTTTCATTTTGCATTTTTGTATTATAAGTAGTTGGAAGTTCTATATTCAATGAAATATTGCCATAACATAATAGAAATCGCCATTCGATTAATTTTTGTGAAAACAACTTTCTTTATCCATTTTAAATTTAAATTACGCATAACTCAATAGGGTGATCTAATTTGCTTAAAGTCAACAAATCTACATTAGCCTTTTGAGCTTCAGTTCTCAAATCAAACAAAAATAGTTCGTTAAACTCAGGTTCTACTGTGGCATCAACTGTTGCAGATGCAAATCTCTGACCGCAAAAACTTAAATATAACTACAATTTCTAATTTTGAGGTTCAATAAAATCCAAGAATGCTCTTCCTTTGTATATACGCAAACTAACTGAGCGATAATTAATACGATCTGGGTCTACGAATGTAAGCTTAATATTCTCATTTGATCATACTTGTTTATTTTATTTACTAAATTCATCAATTTCATCCAAATGTTTGATATCCAAGATGAGATTATCGATGAGATTTGTTTCTCTGAGTAATTTGGTCAATTTTTCATTATCCAAATCATCAATTTGAATTTTTTCACTTTCGATTTTCTTCTTCAATTTATCAAACACTTCACCCTTATCGAAATAATTGTTGATTAGTTATCGAATTTTAGTTATTTGTTCTTTGGAATACATATTTTAAATATATAAATTAATTAATGGACATATAAGACGCCTCTAGAGTTGTTTACATTTGTGGAAGTAAGTTACCTATGCTAAAATAGAGTGTGGAAAGGATGTTTAACTTGAAGCCAAAGACATAGTCAGATGTCAATGTGGCTATAGAATCCTATATAAAAAAAGAAAGGCAGATCCAAAGAATCCCCCTTAGTATGAAGCAATCTGAATTATTATCATTTATGTATGCCAATATACACTTCTAATCAACTAAAACTTAATCATTCGACCTCTTCATACAAACCTGATTGCAACTAAAATTTTAGTAAAATAGGTTTGTAATATTTAAGCATTAAATAAGGATTATGCAAAAATTTACATTCCAATTTCACATCAATCGCAGTATTAGGATCTTTAATGATTAAATATTACTCTTTATAAATTATCTGAGTAAAGAGAAATGATAATAAATATCTTTGTTTACGTATTAATGCAACAAGAAATTTAAGCATTCCTCCTTGTTCCCAAGGATTCTGATTTCACCATCAAAAACATACCATTCGGTGTTGCATCCAAAGCTGATGGTCTTCCCTTTCCAGCCACCATCATAGGTAATTCTTACTCGCTAATTCAATTAGGTGATTCTGTGATCAATTTGGCCAAACTTGAAGAATTGGGATATTTTAACGGACCTCTATTTTCTACTTTAGGATCGAAAGTCTTTGATAATGGAAATTTAAACAAATTTGTTTCACTCTCAAGACCATATTGGAAAGAAGTCAGATCTTAGATCCAATCTTTATTTTCAACTGGAAGCCAATTGGAAAATAATAAAGAAGTCTTGGCTTAGGTTATCACACCTGTTCAAGATAGTAAATAATTAATATTAAGTAGCCAAAAATCATTTGCCAATCACAATTGGAGAATACACAGATTTTTATTCTTCTAAGAATCATGCTTTTAATATGGGATCTATTATCAGAGGACCTGACAATGCCATGCAACCAAATTGGTACCATTTGCCTGTTGGATATCATGGAAGAAGATCATCAATTGTTGTTGATGGAACAGATATAAGAAGACCTTGGGGTTAAGTTAAGGCTCCAACAGCTGAGAAACCATCATTCACTAAGTGCAAAAGACTAGATTATGAATTAGAAATCGGAGCAGTTATCGGAGGAGCTCCAAACAATTTGGGAGAACCAATTAGAGTCAATCAAGCTGAAGATAGAGTCTTTGGGTTTGTGATTCTAAATGATTGGTCAGCCAGAGATGTTCAGGTCTGGGAGTATGTTCCCCTAGGTCCTTTTGGAGCCAAAAACTTTGCATCCACCATATCTCCTTGGATTGTTACCATCGAAGCCTTAGAACCATTCCGCATTTAATTACCAGAATAAGATCCAGAACCATTCGTCTACTTAAAAGAGAAGAAGTACTTTTCAATTCATAATGAAGTCATACATCTTTCGATATTAATTTGGAAGTCCTCATTGGAACAGAGAAGACTCCAGAATTGGAACATTTTACTACCAGCAATTTTAAGTATATGTATTGGAGTGTGAATCAATAAATTGCTCATCATTCCGTTACTGGTTGCAATATTTAACCAGGAGATCTCTTTGGATCTGGAACAATCTCAGGAACTACTAAGGATGGCAGAGGATGTTTAATGGAATACACTTGGAATGGAAAGGAGCCTTTGGTATTGAAATCAGGTGAACAAAGATTGTTTTTGGAGGATGGCGATGTCCTTGAAATGAGGGGATTTGCAGGAGAGGGAGAGTAAGAATCATATATTTATATGTTAGAAATCGTGTTGGCTTTGGCAGATGCAAAGGAAAGATTTTACCTGCTTTAGATGAGAATTATTTCTAATAATGAAAGTTAAATATTATCAATATTAAAATTTATATTAAAAAATATGGGCAAAAAGACAACATTACTCTTTAAGTTAGTGAGTTCAGCTGGCACAGGGTTTTATTATTATGGAGAGAAGAGCACAAAGTAATTGGAGCATTATTAAAATAAGGAAAGTGGGCTCTAAATTGATTTTAAGAAAGTATGATCCAATGGTCAACCAATATGTTATCTTCACAGAGTCTAAATTAGCATCAGGAAAGAAAAAGTGATTTAATAAGACATAGCAAAATATATAATTGTAATTTAATCTTATTTAAAGAAAAGCGATTATTTTTTTATTTAATCATTTTCCTATTTTATAACCTACCTTCATACAGTAATCTGCACAAACATTTATTTCACCTTTTCCCTACTCTAAGGTTCGTTATTTTCATATTCTAAGATATCAAGAAATATTTAAAAATCTTCCACAATTAATTTAAAATCAATTATAAAGTAAGCAAACGAAAAAATTAAGGGTGAATTTATTAATTATACACAGATTGTTGATACTCTAGCGTTACTGTAGCTGTAATTTAATAGGAATCCTAAATTAACTCAAAGATATTCAGAAATATTTTTAAGTCCTTTTTAATGAATTAAGCAAGAGAAATTACGTTTCTTTGTGTTCTGAGAACATTCTTCAAACTGTTATAAATATTCTTAGAATAAGCCTAAGATTATTTTAATCAATAATTATATAATATTCTTCCATGAATTCAGGTAACCAACGAAAACACAGAAATATCTTGTAAGCCTACATAAATACTGTCTAATTTGAAGAAGAAACTCAGCAGATGTCAGGAAATATCAATTCAAGCTAACAATTCTTTGATTATTCCAAGAAGTATAGTCCATCTTTATTTAGAATAAAAACGATCGACAAATTTTTGAGGGATCTTCAGAGCCTAAAACAGATGCCTTTCTATAAAACTGAATGAATTAGATGAATTTTTTTATGTTTATATTTTTAAAAGTTGAAATATTTTTGAGAAGTCCAAATAAATCTTAATATTTACAAGAAAAGCATTACATTTTGGGAATTGTAGAGAATAAGATCACTTCATTTCTAAAAATAGATAAAATTTTGTTTATATAAGTTTTAATCAATATACTGTGTTTAATAAAATTCAATATTTTTTTTATGAGGCACTTTACGGTCTTACCATTCTACCAGAACTTGAGGAAGGATCATCTAAAAATTAGGATTCTTTAATACTTGCTTTATTTTGACTTAGCATTGGGTATTTGAATCCAACCGTAGTTCCAACATATTTCTAATTATCCGTAGTGTAATTAACTTAATTTGGATCTAAATTTTTAGATTATATTTACTTAATTCATAAACTTCAGAATTTTCATAAACCAAATCTTTTGGCCTCAAATCTCCTCTTACTAATTTAGCCTAATTTAAGTCTTAGCTTTTCTTAGAATAACATTAATTATTACATCTAAAGTTTTTGTTAATTTAGTTTTTCCTGAGCAAACCAAGCATCTCTATGTAACAACTCTATGATTTCCGGTTAAGATGCTAACAGTTTCTTATTGATTTACACTAAATATATTAATGAAACCATACTATAGCAATGTTTGTAGATAATTAGAGAACTCCTCTAACTCCTTCATTCCTTTAGCTAGAATCCCATAATTTTCAGCCATGGTTTTATATTTTTCCTCTAAAGCTGTAAATTTAGCCTTGGTGTCTTCTTCATTTGCTTTTCTAAAGATTATTTAAAATATTAATACTCTGCAAGCTGTTTCTATAGGTCAGAGTTATCATTCGATGTCATTTATTTCATATACTTTCTCATTTTTTTATCAAGATCTTATAAACCTTCCATCTTCTTTTTTAAATCAGCTATATCATTTAATAGGTTTCTGATGAACATCTCAAAAGACATGTTCTCTCCACAAGCTTAGCCAACAATTTGTAATATTCTTGCTCTTAATAAACTCATAGGTTATGATAGCTCTTTATCAATTATAGAGATAATATCTTCTTTTGATAATTATTATTATTAAGGCGCCTACTTCAAAAGATTTAATTGTTGAAGGAATCTTTGTTCATTGACATCAATTTTTCTTTTCAATTCATTTTCTAATAATCTCAATTTGTTTTCTTAATCTGTATAATCACTTTTTAATCTTTTAATATCAGCTTCTAAAGAACAGACTTTGTGAGGATCAACATCACTTTTTCCTCCTTTTGCTTGTCCATCAAAGTTTTCAGTCTTAATTTTTAATTCTTCAATGTCTTTTCTATTTTATTCTCCCCTATATTAGCAATCAGCAATTTTATCATCCATTGATTTGATTTAAGGTATCAATTTTTCTAATTACAAAATGGCATCCATTTTTCTGGACAATTCACCTACTTTATTTTAAAGATCAACAGTTCTATCACTTAGTATTTATTTTGTTTGTTCAAATTTTTCAAGGGGTGTATATTTCTGTTAGATTGTATCATTCATTTCTTTCAATTGAATTCTTAATGTTTTGAAATTGTCTTGATTTCTTTCTTCATTGTATTGAAATTTGGCCTTCAATTCAACCATCTCATTTTAAATTCCCTTGATGCCTTCATCTTTTTATTTGGCTATGTCTCTCATAACTCTATCATAAACACCTTAGCAGGATGATTCCACAAATTTGTCATTGATTCTTTATTGCAATAACTTTTCACAATCACTTATTTTCCATAATGTTTTTTTCTCTAACTCATTAATACTTTATTGTAACTGATTTTAATTTTAAGTTGCTGATCTCTCCTGATCCTAAAATCGTTTAGTAAGTTTCTTATTTAAATCATCAATTTGATCTGACAATTTAGTTTTTTGTTCTTTCAAACCCTTATCCAAATCATCTTTCAATGCTCGTTTCATAAGATCAGCCTCCAATTTGTTGAGTTTAGCTTCCCAATCTTTACTTCGTTTGAATAGATACGCCATTCCTTAACCGAACACTCGCTCTTTGTTGATCACCATACAGATGGCATTCTCTATTTGATCTGATCCATTTTCAGCCAATGGTTTCTCCAACTAAAAAGAAACCTATTGTTCGAATTCTGGATCACGAAGAGACATTGATCTTGCAGTTCTCTGCAAATAGGTTTCATACTATTTCTTACATGATTAAATCATACATCTTGCAATTTCAGTACTTGATTCAATTAGATTTATAAGTTGTTTAAATAGGAAGAATGCCCATTAACTGTGTTAGTAACTTTCTCTAAATAACTTTTAAGTTGTTCAGCTCTTAGGTCAACTTAAAAAAGTGTCTCCTCCAATAATAGAGTTGCTGCTTGTTATGCTTTCATTAATTTACAAAATTTATAATATATTAACTTATTATTATATTAATCATTTCTTTATAACATTGTTCCGCCTATTATATGTAATCAAGTCCACTGTACATTTAGTGGCTCTAACTTATCTAATTATTTGAGCAGGATACAAAACGTAACACAAAAACTATGTAATAATTCTTAATTTATTTTTATCCAAATTGATCTTGACATTACTAAAATTAAACTTAGGATTGTAATGGATGAAATTCTGAGGCTAATCAAATTCCAGCGTTGTGATCAACGGCGTCTCTAAATTCTTCTTGATATAGTAATCTAAAGTGTCTAATAATTTCAAATCTATGCCTCCTATTTATTTTAAATAGTCATATCTTATCTGCATCTATTTCAATTATGATAATTTGCTAAAATAATTAGTTTTTGCTCTAAATGACTCAAATGCATGTATGATAAATTGAGGATATGATCTATTAATCATCACTACTTTACGAACCAAACATTAGAATTTTTTTTTAATTTACTTCGTTGCTTTTATCCCCAGCTTGATATTTTTATAGCAATCCAAACTGTTGATTAGAATTTGATCATCTATCTTTTCAGGTAAATCGTATATACGAACAATATCACTATTTTACTGCTGTATAATAAAAGCATTTTTCTCTAGTGACTATTTCATAAGCTTTGCATTTTAACTGATCTTTCCCCTCAGATGAAATTTTCGACCTTATTATGAATCAATCGTAAATTATTTAATTAATTTTTCTTTGTCTGCTACATAATGTACCTATGGACACTCCTTTGAAAAATGGTAATTTGACTTGCAAATATAACAACTTCTTGGGAATATACTAGTTTCATTCCCATTAAATATCAAATAATCCTTTATTTAACAATATATTTCATAATCTGCTGGGTATTTTGCTAAGATTTTCAAGAATTTCCTTTGCGATAAAGTCATGACCAATGAAAATCCTTAGCTTTTATATATTTCTGGTTATTCATTACCCAATAAAAAGGATATTAAGCCTAGAGTATTACCCTTAGAAAAAGATTTCAACTTCAAATTGCACTATCTATCCCCAAATAACTCTATTTTGCCCTATTCAATGTAAACCAATTGATTTTTCTGAGCCACTAAAGATTCAGGAGGCAAAATCTTTCTCTTCAAAGACTTTATGAGTTCTGCCTTAAAAGCTGCAGTAAACCTGTACCTGAACAATGCACATTAATTCAAAATTATAGAATTGGATTCCTAAACTAATTTATTCCTTAACATTTCCGACAATTAATTTATTATAACATTAACATCCTAGGCCTCTTATTCCTTGTCTAATTACCAAAAGTAATCCAAGTATTATCTGACTTCATGTTACAAATTAAAGGGAATTTATTTTCGCTGCATAAATGAGTTGATAATTCTGAGCTTTCTTCTCTTGTCTTCGCCATATTCTGTGATATTTTGGACAATCATCCCAACTGTATTAATACTATAAGGAAGCTAAAGACTTGAACACACTATAAAAAAACAGCAAACTATTTTCTCTAGATTAGTTTAAGGAGTCACATCACCATATCCAACTGTAAAGATGGTCACAGCAGAAAAATATACAGAATGTACATATTGAACAGTCCAGTCCTCATCTACTACTTTTTCCATCCAACTAGTACCATATGCTCTATGACTATATTCTCCAATCTAATGTTATGAATAAATTATTAAATTACATAAAACCAAAAGCAAGAAAAGAAGTGGACCATAAAAAAAAGAGCACCAATCAGTTTTATCAACTCTAAAATTGATGAGGCTTTCTTATTCAAGTTTAATCCTTCTTCATAATAGATCAGGCACTCCTATATTGTACTATAATGAACCAAAAATGTTATTAGTGTTAGATATATTCTATAATCCTTTATTTTAATTTGAATTTCATCATCCTATGTCAAAATTAGATATATCAATATTTAAATTGTTGACATCCATTCTAATCCATAGCACTTCAAGAAATTATGTTTGACTATCTTTTTTCTATCAGTTACTAATATCCCTTCAGTATAATAAGATGTATTTAGTCCCACTAATAAATCTCCTAATAGTATTAAAAGAAAAACAAATGATTAAATATAATAGAGATCAAACATGAAGGAGTATTTATTCCATACTACATCAAGAGGTATTAGAAATAAAAAGTATAATCGAGAAACCAAAGATGCCAGATCCCAAACTATTTTAATAGGGGATTCTGGCTTGAATAATTCAACCCGGCCCAACCACAGGATTAAATTCCCAAAATAAGTAGCAATTAGTTTCTTCATCTTTTCTTAAAATCTAATTTTCAATTCCATCTCCATGTGAGTTGAAAGTAACTTGAAGTTCAAGTTGAATCCATGTTATTATTTTGATGCCGCATTATCTCCTACATAATCTAGCAACTCATTCGATATTGAACTATTGTCCTCCACTCTCTTCTTTAAAGAATTAAAAAATCTTCTAACATATACAAACTTCCTCTCTGATTTAGTAGGTGGACTTTTAAAGGAATCTGAAAAAAAATGATGACCTAAACTACTGTGATTTTGAAACTAGCCTACTATTTCGCTCTATTCAGTATTGAAATAAACCCTATTTTTTGGTGTTTTCCCTTCCTAAATCATAAAATCCTATATAATAAATAAAATTAATGAGACAATAACCTTAAAAACACAAAGATTTCAATGTTGAATTTGAAATATAATGAAATATCATAAATTAGACTAAAAATTTCAAAGGTTTTTCTATTTTTGTATTTTTTGTCAAAAATTATTGACATTATGTTTCATATTCAGATAAAAACTTAAAAAAATCAAAATTAAATTAATTGTATTTTTTACTTGATAAATACATATTAATAATTGAAATTCCTCTGTCCATCTAGAATGCTTAGATTTCAGACTCTGTACTACTTCAATTATTGTGAAATTTAAGAAGTCTTTAATTATTAAGATTTTAAATTCAGATAATTAAAAAAACGTTATCAAAATATTAAAATTAAAAATAAACTATATATATAAAATAAAACTGATTGATTTTACATTATAATAGAGTTTTTTAAAATACTACAGAATATGAATAATAATCATATCACTCAATTAAATAATGTCATTTAACAACGTTATCAGCAGAAAAACATACTACTGGTTTTCTTTTATTCATTAATAAGAAAAATCCAACTGAAGATAGATTAAACTGTTTAATTATATCACCAGGATATTAAAAATACTAAATGAATTTTTTAAGTATATTTAGATTTTCGAGAAAGTTTTTCTATTTCACAATTGAAAAGTTATCTTTCCTAAAATAAAACTTATATGCTTTTGGACTTTCAAATTCTAAGTCGTCTATATACTATTTATTTGATAATTTTTATATGATTAATGACATATCAATTTGATACTTATCAAACTATTTGCTAGCTATTTAACTTATATTCTTACATCTTTATTCTAAAATTTATAAAGTCATGCTAACCTACCGTTATTCTATCTGCTTTTCATATTGAACATATGTTTAAATTAAAAAATAAGGATAAACTTTATTTATTGATATCAATTTATTAACAAGACGCTGAAACTTCTTTTTAATTAATTTTTAAGTTTGATCTTAAATTGAAAAATATCTTTCCCTTTTATTTTATTGATGATGATGATTGATGTTCTAAAATGAAGTCGTTTATTTAATGTTACGTTTTAATTGCTAATCTTCATCTATGTTATACATGTGATCAAATCTATATAATTAAAACAACATCGGCTCATCCTTCTGAATTAATAAAGCACATTATTCAAGCCTTTTTTTATTCAGAATTAATGAATTCACTTTTTTTCTACCTCTATCCAATGGGTTCCTACATTGCTGCTAAGGATATAAATGTTTTTTAATGATAAACTCCTTATTCGGAACAAATTTGATTAATGGGCATTCAATTAATTTATGAGATTGCTTCCCACAAGAAAAACATGTAACAGTGAAATACTAATCATCTTAATAAAATATCATTTTATCTCTTACAGCACAAAACAATTCTTAATCCTCTGGATGTTCTTGTAATATTTTTAAAAAATTTCTCCGCTTTAATATCATGGCCTTAGTAAATCCAACACTTTTATAGCTCTCTAAAGACTCAGTACCCATTATAAAGTTCTTAATCCCAATGGAAGCCCCCTTATTAACAATCCCTAAATTTATCTTTCTACCTTCTTGTAAACAAATTTGAATTGAACCATCCTCAATATAATAGAGTAAGATATCATTAGTTGACTTTAAATCCTATTCTGGGGTTAGAAGCACTTCCTCCACCTCCTTAATTAATTGCCTTTTAAATTAATCACTAAATGGTATTTTAAATAATGTGCACTGATCAAATATTTTCTGATGGGCTTCACCTATTAATTATTGTCTCAGAAATTCAGATAAAGAATCAATAATTTCCTTCTCTTCTTCAGATTAAGATATAACTTTGTTTTCCCAATAATATGTTAAGTACTATCTTATTTTCATTTTCAAACCCAAAGACATTGAACTCTTATTCATATAAGAATTGATAATCCTTAACTTCCTCTTTCTTTCTTCGGAAAAAGCTGAAATTTCTTTGATAATATTTCCGACTGTATTAACACTATAAGGGAGCTGAATACTTGAAATCATAATTAAGACAATGGACACGATTTTCTCAAGACTAGATTGTGGGGTCACGTCTCCATAACCAACTGTGAACATTGTCACTGCTGTATAATAAAAGGCCTATAGATATTGGATGTTCCATTTCTATTCGTACATGTTAGTCGCCATGATCCAGCTCTTTCCGTCATAATTTTCAATGCTATATCTTCCAATCTAATTTATTACATTAAAGTTACCCAAAACCAAAAACATGAAAATAAATGAATCACATAAAATAAAAAGGCTATCAATTTAAATAAAGCAACAAATGAGGATGTTTTCTTTGAGATGTTCAATCCTTCCTCATAATTTGTTGCATAGTTTATTATAGTCTTGTGATGAACTAAAAATATCAACAAACCGACATTTATTACATTATTCTCAACATCAAGTGAAATATTGACAAATCTGTCTGTAATGAAATAAATTAACAACTAAAACACTGATAACCACTATAAACCATAAGTGTTATATAGACTCTGTTTCACAATCTGGATTCTGGAGGTAACCGCTTCTCCGTTTGAAAAGTACACTGTATTTAAACTGATCAATAAATCAAATATTAAAATAAGCAGAAAAAGTATTGAGATGTATTTAAAATCGCGGAATATGAACTGCTATTGAACCCATGCTAAATCAATAGGGATTATGTATAAAAAATATAATCTTGCAGTAACAGCAACTATATCCCATATCATTTTTATATATTAGCTGGGATGTATTAAAGGTAGTTTTTCTAGTTAAAAAATAAATGTTTCTTGTAGCTTTTAAAAAAACCTTAGTTATTTCTGATTTAGTTAAGAAAGCGTAGATGACTTTCTTTAAGAAAAAATCTCGTCGGAAGACCCCTTATCCCCAATTAATGACAAATGAAAATTTCTTATTTTTTTTGTTTTGCGAACAGGATCTAACAAATTATCAGTGAATTTCTTGACATAATCATTCTTTTTTTCATAATTGAAAGGCTTCTTTCCATTTGTTTGGAAGAAATAAATATCAGCATAAAAAGGAGGTTATTTTTGAAATATCTATTTACTACTGTTAATTTTAGCACTGTATAAACCTGATTCGCTTTATTCTGACAACAATTTCGCCTCGACTCCTGGGGCGATTGTATTTTTTTGATTCATATTTAATTATTATATTTATAATAATCTTTACTTTCTGAAACCAAAATGCGATAATTCGCTTAATTTTGGAACTATCTATCTGAGTAAAATCTGAATTTGGATTAAATTTAACAAATTAATTGAAAAACTCTATATAAAGAAAGTTGATTTTTCAAAACTTAACATACACTTTAAAAATATTAATGAATAGGTTTAATACAGGTAGATTAAATGCTCTTAAAATTATGTAAATAGATTAAGTGATACCCAATTTGATAAATTTCATTTTTTAATTATTCATTTCCCAAAGTCATTTAAATTAAACTCTTTTCATTTTATAATTTAGTTTTCAAGACTCTCAACTTTATTGATCAAACCTAAATATAGTAAATTAATTATCAATAAATAAAAGTTCTTTGACTCAATATTATAAAGTGATCAAACAAATTAAATTATCAACGACTTGACTTAATAAAAATATAAAAATTATAACCAAATTATTGATTATTATTTGCATTTAAACAAAGTCGCAATATATTGGAATTAGCTAATTAAATTGATTACCTTTTTAATGATCCTTTATCACTACGACTTTTATTTCAAATTCCTTGATAGTACATTAAATTAATAGTTTTTGATTAAGTCTAAATATTTTATTTTGATTTAATCTCAAAATGAAAAGAAATATACTGAAAATGCAGTCATTTAAAATATTATTTATAACTAATACCTATAAAATAGTATTATGAGGTTGGATACCTTGCTTTAATATAATGTTTATAGAAATCACTGTCAAGATATTAATCTTGAATAAAATAATAAAATTCTTTAAATTATTTTAAATGCAACTTATAATGCTAAATAACCATAGAATTGTATAAATTTTAATAATATCGTTTTATATTACTTTAGATATTTGATATATGCTGAAATCTCTAATAATATTTAAAACAAATAAGTTAACAATATAAAATTAAGAGATTCGTATTAATAGTAAATTAAAAAAGATTATTCTTAATTTGACTATTTAATTATTTTCAATTTTATTAATTAAAAGTTAACCTTATCTCTGAGCAACCTTTTCTATAGTATGTTTTCTATAATTTTGATATTTAAATAAGATAAGATGGAGTAATATGAATAAATTAAATATATCAAATATCTTCTATTCTATTAAGAATCCCTTATCAAAATTAATATCAATTTGGTTTAATTTTTGTTTTCTTACTTAAATAATAAATAGCATTCAATGAATTACTTAATCATTTTATTATCATGTAGAATATTGGTTATAGAAAATAATTTGTACATGATTTTAATCAAATAGTATCCATAATAAATAAGATATGTTAGCTTATATTTAAAGGATTTTGGTGATAGGATCTTGTTGGTTGAAAAAGATTTGAGATAATAGATTTTAAGCTAATCTAATAAATAATGTGGGATTGCAAGTTGATGAATGATATTTAAATATATTCTAAAGAACGTGTTTATTAAATAATTTAATGATTAAGAATTAAGGAGACAGATATCATCTTATTGACAAAAATGCTTTGGAGGAGAAGAAGTTAGATAGTAATGAGTTAACAGAATTTGTAAAATCATCAGGGCTAATCGATATAGGGAAAAAATACAATATTGTGTCAATTATAGGTAGTCAAAGTACAGGGAAAAGTACATTGCTTAACTACCTTTTTGGAACACAATTTGATGTTTAGAATAGGTAATAAAGTGTGGGTTAAACTACTGTTGGTATTTGGATCTCTAAAGATGTCAAAAATAATGTTGTAGTTTTGGATGTGGAGGGATCAGATTCTGTAGAGCGAAAATCAGGAGAGAATGTAAGTGATCCTTATTAATACTTAGATGGTTGAAAATCAAACAGCATTAATGGCATTAGCTATGTCGCATTGCTTTATCATCAATGTATTTGTTAATGCCTTAGGCTAACATACGAGTTGTTAATTATCCATCATCAAAATCATTATGCAATAGAATTTGAAGCTATTTCAATAAGACACTGTTAAGCACATTATTTTTGTTGTAAGGGATTGGGATGAGGAGTATAACTATGACGAGGCTTCTCGTAAATTGAATGGTTATTTATTGAACATATGGAATGAGATACCAAAAGTAAGAATTCGAATCCACTATAATAGCCTGATCAATATAGGGAGACAGATTTCCATGAATTATTTAGTGTTTAAGTAGTTACACTAGTCTATTACAAATTGAAAAACGAGTTTGCTGAATAAACAAACTAACTTCATTCAAAATTAGCCAACTAATAGGATCCCAATTTCATTTTTAAAGATTTTGATTATGAGAAAAATGTGAGATGGTCAGACATGCCATAATATTTATCCAATATTTGGGTGGTCATAGCAAATAATAAAGATTTGAATTTACCAAACGAGAAGATTCTGATTTCCAATATGAGATGCTAGTAAATCAAATTGGAAGCATTGGAAGGAGTCAAGGATTTAACTGAGGTATAATTGCTATAATTTAATATAGGATTTATAAAATAGAGTAAGAACCTAGTTTGTGGAAAATTTTGGTTAATAATGTTTATCAATTTTGGGTGTGGCTCAAAAAATATATGACAAAGATGCCAAAGATTATCATGCTGATGTTTATAAAGAAAAGGAAAAGGAGTTAAGAGACGAATTGATGAACAAATTCTACACTTACTTTTAAAGATAGACTGAATCACTTAAGCAACATTATATGAATAGGTTATCAGAGAATCTTGAGACATTGAAGAGAGAAAGTATTTAATAACATGATTGGATTAGGTATCTACGATTTACCTGATAAGTTGAACGAAGTGGATTTGTTAAAAGTGAACTTCGAAGAATCATTATCAAAATCTGTAATTGAAAAGGGATTGTGGTAGGAGTAAGACCATGTTGGATTCTTTAATTAATAATTCGATAATCAATTAAAATCATTTGTTGAAGCCTAATTAGCATCATTTAAATAACAATTGGACAACATCATCAAATCAGAATGTGACAAGATTGTGAGTTAACAAGTCCTCAATATCTCACCAAAATTTTGGTCATAAATTGATGCAGATTATTATACTATGATTTCAGATAAATATTCAAAATATGATGCATTACTATCAGGATTGAGAGTTCAATGGAAACAAATTGATGATTATTTGAGTAAGTTCGAAGAAGATAGTTTTCATAATCTCAAATAAGTAATTGCAGTAGCCAGTGGTAGATTTAAAGATTAGTTATTCCAACAATTCAAAGCTTAATTCGTTAGAACTGAAGATGGACAACCTAGAAATTGGTAGAAAACAACTGAAGAAGAGATATTCCATATTTATACTGAAGCAAGAGACAAGGTCTTCTCATTCTTAGACATACTCAGAATTAGAAAAGTTAAATTCATAAGAATACAATAAACCATGAAAAAAATAGCAAAAACTCATTTAGCTCCTTTCACTCCTTTAAAGGAAAAAATCTCATATTAAATCTCCGCAGATACTGATTCTGATGATGTTGTACTGAACGAAGTTTTTTATACATAAGTGAAAATGCAATTGGCAGAAGACATCGATGTATAATATTAAGATGCCATTCAAAAACATGTATACATGCTGTAATTTCTTAGAAACAAGATTTCCTATAGAACATTCCAAAGCCATTTTGGTTCCTATTATTATTCTTCATGTATGATGATGTCTTAAGATGGATGGGTAATCCATTGTTCCTCTATCCAATCTTGATAATCTTATGCTTTATTGGATTTTGCATTGCTATAGGTGAAATATAGTTGCTATCCTTTATTAGGTCTACATAGTCTACCCAAACTAGCATTTTAAACGGTCTTTAGAACAATTAATTAGGCTTTGTTACCCCTAATATTTGGAGGTATTTCAAAATTAAAAACAAGTTGAATGATTATTTTAATAATCTATAATAAATATATTAAATGTTGACTAAAAGTGTAAAAGGGGACTAATTGCATTAAACAATCACTACAGTATCGATAACATAATTAACCCTAGATAAATTACAGATCGATAATAAATTCAGAGAAGAGATAAGGCGATATCCCTCAATACATGAATGGAAAATGCAAAATAAAACTTCGCAAAGAAAAAAATTATTTGCCTTACTTGAACATAAGAGAACCCTCTCTACCGACATTGAAATCACCTGCTAATAAACAATAACAGCTAAACAGCATGAGTTGGATATCATTAATTTAAGTCTAAAATAGACCCAGAGATAAGTCGATCTCTATTGCCAATGAAACCTATTTTCAAAGAACCAGATAGGCTAGTTTTTTAGATAATCTCCTTAAATAACTAAATAAAAATAAAAGATAATCTTGAATTTTGATTATTACATATGACTTCGTAAAATAGTGTTTCTGTTTAATGAGCATCAATTGTACAACCAATTTAATATTTTTAATGTTTCTGCATAGATAGAAACTATTTCCAATTTAGGAGGATTCTACTTTTAACTAATCAAATAGTAATAATTAATAAATAATTAATATATGTGAAATATAAACATAGTTTGTTGTCCATCATTTTTTTGGAGAAGGAGAACCAGCATTTTCGTTGTCCTCTTGTTAAAGCTTTTCCAGAAATCTCTCAAAGTCCTTCATTCTAATTTTCACAGTCGAAATACTAGATGTTGATCTTTGAGTCATGGATCGATGGGATAGAAGCTTAACAATTTAATATGGATTTGTACTGATAATAAACTGCTGTTCCTCTTTATTGACTTTTTGTTTTCTGCTCTAAACAGCTATCTAAATGTATCGAAATCCAAACTCTCATTTGAAACTTCTAATTATTCCAATAATTCATCGATATCGAAATTCAAATCGAATTCGACCGACAATATTTCGATTATTTTATTTTTATGCACATATCCACTCGCATCAGGTTCGCCTCCCAGTGCCACAAATGCATCAACTACAATCATATTGTAATTCACTTACTAAATTCACTATATTATATTTATTCCTCATTCTCCTTGACTTTGTTCTCAAAGTCCTTGCAAACTCTGGTGATATACAATAAAGTTTGAAAATCAAGTTTTGCTGTATTTCTGTCCTCAATTTCCTTGAAGATCTTCTCCTTGCAATTTTGATTTATTTCAAAACCAAATTCTTATCAAAGAAATACTAAATACCCTTTAACAAATCCATCGTGTCGTGGTAAGTTAAGAATCCAACCTTGTTATAATCCATACGTTTGAACATCTTCATTAGAGTATCAATTTCATTCTTCTGCAAATCGCAAGTTGTTGTATATTTTAGCAAAGAATTATAATCTATCTAAATGCTTTTGATATTGCTCTAATTGATTTTCTAAGAAGACTATTGCTCTACAACCTATAAACTATTCACATTATTATCCATTTCAAAAAACCCAAATTTTATATTATAAAAATATTCAATCTAAAAGATATAACTTAAATATTGGATCATCACTTTATTGATTAGAATCTCAATTAGAATACTGCTACTCTAAGTAGCCTAATAGATGAGAATGGATTTTACAATAATATAAGTATTTATGTATATAAATCACTTAATGAAAGATCTATTAACACAGAATAATAATTTTACAATTATTACTTTTAACAAAAATTATTTGCATTGTTCTAATTTGCTCATTTCGATTAGATTTATTTGAAAGATAAGATTCTACTAAAATCAAAATGAATCAATTATCCATTAAACAATAAAAGATTTAGATAAATACAAAAGTGAATTCTGGAAATAAAATAAGTCCAGAATAAATGGAAGTCGAAGAAATGCTTAATGATAATATAAATTAATAACGAATTTTACTGCAGAAACATAGCATCAAATTAGTTAAGTGATTTAAGTAAATCACTTAATTTATTTAAAATTCAAATCAATTTATGTTTTTTAATGATAAAATGAATAGAATAAATAGTGCTTTATATTTAGAATAGCTATAAATATTTCAAATGCAATTGAAGTTCGAATGTACATCTTAAATTGAAATTATCCAATTGAAATTCTGCTAAATTTGAATGAAAAAAGAAAAAATATCAATAGACAACTTATTTCAAACTTAAAAATCCAATTATATTTCCCAGAAAGAAAGGTGAATAAATGCACCAAAAACTAGAATGTTGCATTTAAAAGAATAAACGATTTTCTACAATAAGAAACATAGATAACTTTCCAAATCTTAAGCGAGACTCTATCCAAATATTGAAAATGCCTTATTCCTAAAATTAGACAAGTATGCAAGAAATAGTTAATTTCAACAATAAAATTTGACACTATAATATAAAATTGACTGTCTTCAACTCAGCTTTTTTAACAACTCTTATGCCTTTTTCTCTTTGACTTCTCTTTACTTAATAATTTTCTTCTTTTATTAATCGAATTAATCTGGATTCACCATGTATGACGATACAACTCCTGCTAAAAAGGTAGCCACTATGTAGGCAATAAGTGAATATAATATCAAGCCCCAGAAACTGTTAATTGCTGGGAAGTATGCAAAAATATTCATTAAATTATTTTTTCGATAAATATATAAGTCAAATGATTTTAATTAAATCAGAATCAAAAGCAGCTTTGAATTTATTTAGCAATAATAATATTTATATTATTTACAAATCATTCAAAAAAAATATGTTCTTATGTTGATTAATTTTTGTTTGATTACAGAATTATCCAATTTGTTTTCAGGAATCATCAATATCAAATATTTATATTAGTTAATTTCTACACCCGATGCTTTAATTAAGTAACCATTTATTATGAATAAGAAAAGCATTAAACTAAAAATAATTAAAAATTACATAGACCCTAAGACGTAGTAATATGTTAAGACTTTCTCAATGATTAACTAACTGGCTTTTTCATTTCCATCTATTAACAATCCCTGACTCTAGTCAATTATCTGTTAAATATCTATAACATATTAAATAAAAATGTTAACAAATAATCTTTAGCTGATAGTTTATTTTAGCAATTCTAAATCAGTTTCAAATAGTCCATTTAACTTCTCTGATTCGAATTCACTTATCGAAAACTAATAAATATTTTAAATCATTCCATTTACTCCTTCTTTTAAGAATTATGCATAAGATTCATTTTAAAATTATCTTACAATACAAAATGGTAAATCATATATCTAACAATAATCTGAATTGAAAGAATCTACAATTTAATTGATCGAAGATGAATCAATAAAATCATATTAAACTATAGATTCAGTGATATCTAAAATTACAGTTGGCAATTGATCAATTATTTCAAAATACTTTTAAATAATTAAGAATTATTCTGTTTTATTTCTAAAATTATTAATTAATGGTTCAGTTTTAATAATCTATCCTAATGTAATGCTCGAACCAACCTTCTATTAGAATAATAAAAATTGTTTGTTAACAGTAACCGATGGTATATATGAATCAAATAAATTCAAGAGTAAAATGTATCCACCAACAAAGAAAACAATAAAAAAAATTAAAATCAACGCTTCAATAAATATTAAAAAAGTCTCTTTAAATGATTTTTCAATACTATTTGATCCACTTTTTCTTTTATTTTTTGTTGGTGAAATCTCTTTTATGAATTGATTTTATTTATGACTCCACAAATCATAAAAATTATATTGTTTCCATTACTAAGTTTTCCAACTATCAATAATTATTGTAAGAGTCGCTATCTATTCAACTATTTCCTCCTAAGTTAATCTTTAAAGTAGAGCAACCAATTTTGATTTGAGACTTGATTTAGCTGACACTACCTTAAAAATAAAGGTAAATATGGTTATGATCATCAATAAACCAGTAATTAGAATTACTATAAAAACATTGCTCAATTGAATATCTTCAAATTGTTAAACAAATTCATCTGAGTATATTAGAAATTTGTAGATCAAATAAAATATCTGTTCTTAAAAATAAGAAGGCGTTTACCTTATTTATTCAAAATCATATGAGAGGTTACTTAAAATTCTGTTTCTTAAGAAAGACAATTAGTTTTCCTATAAACGATTAAAATAAATAAAACATCTCTCAAAATTGGAATCATTTGCATATTTATCAAGATAGATGCAACTCTATCTTTCTAGATCTAATTAATCAGTTATTACAGCTTAATACGATTCAGAAAGACTTTAATTTAGCGATTCTTACAAATAAGGACTTAAGGTATAAATTTTTAATCCCTATAAATAGGTAGACTATATTAATTGATAGTTAGAAACTATAATTTTATTTAAAGTCTAAATAGACTTCAGTTCATATATTTATTCTTTGAATTCTGAAAACTGATTCTAAACCAATATAGTATTTATGACGATATATATTAAAATTAAAATTTCCAATATCCACGTTAAAGTCTTTGCATTTGCCAATAATCGAATATTATTACTGGCATCCACTATTTCTCTTATTAAATCAATTTAAAGAGAACTGACTTTTTGACTCATTTACTTATGATCATTCTAGTCAATATCCTTAGAAGTTTAAAATGATTTTGAAATATAATCAGCATTATCATTTTCACCCTTATTATCATTGGCAAACTCCTATATTGGGTCCTGTTTAAACCTTGAAATTTCTACCATATCTCTTTCTAATTGATTTAAAATATCGTAATCCTTATTCACTTATTCTTGAACTGATAACTATGGTAAAACAAATTCAGTCTTCTACATGGATCCTCTGAATGATTATTAACCAGAAAGTAATTGCCTGTGTGTTTGTCTCTACGTCAATATGAAAGGTGTTTTTGACTAATTTTGACTAAAATTCATTTATTTTGATGAATTTTTATCTAAAACTCCTTCATAATCTATCTCTGGATCATCAAACAGCAACTTTTCTACAAGCAACTATTGGTGCAGATTATTAAAAACTTAAATTTCTCTAATTTGATGTCCTTCTGATGAGATTTAGTCAGATTCCTATTATTCTAATTAATATGACATAGTTAATGATAAGGTTTTGGCAGCAGATTTATTTTAAGAAGTTGAGATCAAAGTATTAGCTGCATCTGTCAACCTATAATCTTATATTTATAATAAAAAGTAAATCTTATTGTAAATTTTGGTCATTTAAATAGTATAAGCCATTTCAATCCTTTGTTTAACTTCACTAAATTTATAGGTTGTTCTATTATTTAAAATGAGAAAGAATTTATCTTGAAAGTTAGGATCCAACAAATTGACATAGATATTATCAATTGTATATTCATTAATTAGTTCTTCTTGCTCAGCTTTTTGATTTACAAGTTTCATTTGATTAATTAGAAACTAAGTTTGAACTATACAGTCGTTATTATTGTTTGGAAATTCCCAAAAAGATCTGACATTTATTAATTAGTAATTTTGTGAACTTTAAATATTTTCTTACAATTATTTTAGTTATTGAGGTATTTATTGAATATAATGAAGAATTTGACCTCCCTTCTCAACAATATCTTGGAGTCTATAATGCTTTTAATTATTTTCAGATATCAATTCCCCCATAAAGTTGAATATTTTTTGAGTAACTCCCATAATTATGCCATCCTAATCAAAGACAATGTATTCAAAATATTAAGAGTATTGTGTTATTATAGCGTATAAAGTGATATCGTCCATTTTCAAAGGATTATATAAATGCAAATAACCTGGTTATATGAAATTCTTAGGAGTTTTCAAAAAAATTAGAGATCCTGTTTGCATTAGTTTAGATTTTCCCTTTTCTAAAAATTTGTTGACTAGTTCATCGTGCAAGGATGCAATGTAGTCAGGCATAAAATCATAGATGTATTTGTAATTTCCTACTGCTTCTAAAGGACATGAAAAAAACTGAGAAGCTTACTCCTTATTATAGTTCAATAATTAACCTTAATCGTGGATTAAACTTGTTTAAATAATCATAGATCTATCTAAGTTATGTATGTTTTACTTTACTTGTAAGAAGAATTTGATTATTAATTGTGAATTCATTAAACTATTTATCATATCTCAATAATTCGTCAACTATCTTTTCGATTTCTATTGCCTAATTCATGGTTATATTATTACCTTCTTTGTATTTACCATGATGATTCCAAAGTATAATTGCAAAATTCTTAAGGTCAGAATGTCAGAATACTGTTAGCCCATGATGGTATTCTTTTCTAGATCATATTCCTATTGAATCAATATTTTGCATTCTGATATGGCTTTCACATAGGGAATAATCCTGTCTTGTTATCTTGAGTGAGACGAAAATCCAAGTCTTAGGTATTCCAATAACCCGAGTTTCTGTTTTAAGGTTGATTCCAAAAAGGATAAACTTTCAACACTTTTATATTATGCCAACAGGAATCCTGCTATTGTTAATCTCGGGATTTCAGCTTTCTTAATCTAAGCATCCTGTATTCTTTTTAATTGGATATTGATCTCTTTTGTAATCACATTGAGGTAAGCTTTACTAAGGATGCTATCACTTTTATATTGAGAATGAAATTAAATCAATGATTATAATGGATAGAGTTAAGAGGAATAGTTACATTGTATTTTAACAATCAAAGAGTCTTTATATTTTTTATTTGATAATAGTAATTGTATTAATTGATCCATGGATCTCGTTTTAATGCTTTATTGGCTTGATATTAGCAATGCCTTTTAGATAAGTGCTTTTTGGGATTAAAATTTATTGTATAATAGGCTTTCGATTAATTAGCACTTCTGGAGAGTGATATTCTGATCAAGTAAATACGAATCATACAATCTTTTTTGAATATTAAGTGTGAAATAAATCGAAAACGTTAGTATTGGAAGTACGAATATAAATTGGATATTGAATTCAAAACATACGATCAAATTAATCATAATTACCTAATAGATTAAATAAAAGGTGGAATTGTTATTGAGGATGCTCTTTAGAAATAAAATCTTGGACAAGTATTTAATTATAAATAACACTACACTCGCATCTGTTGATATTTCAGCAAGTAAAATTGCCAATACTGTGATAATTTCGTAAAATATATCAACCATTAGATTTTGATGGTAAATAATGCCTGTAAAATCAATTAGTTATGTTTATTTGCAAATGGACATCCATAATAGTTGTTAAACATACATAATTAAATTACAAATAGTTAGAATGTATATTTTTACGCTTGGGTAATTATTAATTTAATAAAATATGGTATTCCAAGTTGGAAGTATCAATATTTAATGCTAGATTTTAATTAATAATACAAGCATATACTAACAATTTTGATAATGTTTAAAAAATGTCACAATCACAACACAGAAAATATTTATTAATAGATGCACAACAGCCAAATAAATAAGCATCTGTTAGTTATCGATTATGATCAGATAATTCGTTATAATAAATTATGAGATAATTTTGAATATCTTTCTAGTGTTAGGTAATTAAAATACTTTGTGTCCGTGTTTAAGCCAGAAATTAATTACAATTCCTAAAGGCCACAAATTATCAGCAAAATCCTAATAGTCAGCATCAAAAGTTCTTTGTGTTGCTTATGGAACGATTATGTAAAAGAAATGTATCCCTCCAAAAGAGTAAAAACCTATTTTCGCATCATTCTCATTTTAAATTTTATAATAATTTTTATATAAATATACTAAATGATAATCATAATATAATAAGATAAGTGATTCTATATCTTCTAGTTGTATTTATAAATAATTCGCTATTTCCAATTGAATCTGAAAAATTGATTACTGCAACCATTCCCACTCTTTTAAAAGTCCTAAAAAGCATTTCTTTTTATTTCATGATTAAAATCTCCAAGGAACTTCAACTTCAATCATATTACTTATGTTAAATGAATTGTAGAAGCTATTGAACATCATGTTTATTTCAAATGGATTTACAAATGTTCAAAATTGATTCCTAAGACCTAACTTTTAATTTGTTGTTTAAGCAAACGGATGAAGAGAACGAAGGAAAATCTTTAGTAATAACGAAAGCTTCTATAAATTTTATGGAAATTATTGATTTAATTCAAAATAGGAAATGACAATTAACTAACTTAAACTCATTCATTAATTTATTTTATTAATTATATTATAATGATAAGTCGAGACACTGGGTTCTAGGATCTGGAGAGTGGGATTCAAAGTAATAATTTATCGTCAGGGCAATTGGTTGATTTGGATTAACACAGCCCAATTAATGGATAGTAATTGGATCCAACTCTGGAGTTTTCTTAATTATAATAACTTGAAGCTCTAAGAATGAAAAGGGATATTTTCGATAATAAAAATAAGCAAGCATTAAATTTGGGGAATAAATCAGATATAAACGAGGAGGATTGTCTAATTAGCAATTTAAGGTAAGTTAGATCGATATAATAGTGGAAAAAGAAGTGAACCGTAAGGCTCTATCAGTTCTATAAGTTGCAACTAAAAGAAGAAGAAGCATCTGACTGCAAAATCACCAAAGCAAAAGTCCAATAAGACTATTTAGTTCTAATAAAAATTGGAGTAAGAAGATTTTGTAATTGCATCTCCAATTAATGAAGGTACTCAAATTTTGAGGATAAAATCCGATGCTAAAATAGCAAAATATTAAACATTTGTGCAAAAATTGGAGGAAGAACAAGAGCAAAATGAGAAATAGAAGAGAGCTTAAATGCACCGAGACACTATAAAACAATAGTCTTTGGTTTTACGAGGAAAGAGCAGAGAGATGAAAACAGGGTATTGATATTAAGTAATTAGAAAGACTAAATGAAGTTTGGTCACAGAAGGCTTTGATAATTATTAGACTAGTATCTCGCTTCATCTAGTAATTGAAGACTAAAACAGAAAGAATTAAATTTCGACTGATAACTTAAAGAATATTTGAAGTCATTTGTGATAATAGTGCTAACTTTGAGTATATGTTAATCAATAGATTAATTAAACAGAAACCAAGTTTTGGATTAATAATATTCCATCACTTTCAAAGTCGAGCGCTAATACTATTAAATGCAATAGAATCGATAAATGATTTTCTGGGTAAATATGTTAAAGTGATAAAGCCTGATAGTTTATTTAAGATAGTTTGGGATATTATCCTATTATTATTTATTGTGGTTAATATTTTTTATATTCCAATATATATCAGTTTCGATGTGAGATCGTCTGGATTATTTGAATGGATATTTGATTTATTGCCCTCATGGGTCTTTATTGCAGAGATTCTCCTAAATTTTAATACAGCATATTATGATAAAGGATTAATGCATGAGGATAGAAAACAGATAATGAAACATTATGTAAAAGGTAATTTCTTTTGGGACATAATTGTTGTGATCCCTTTCTTGATTTCTTATTTGGACATCCCATTCGTCAGATACACATTATTATTGCGACTTACTCGATTGTCCCCATTAATGACCAGCATTGAAGAAGTCCTGAACTTAGAAGTATTTAAATGTCTCTATCTCTTAATAGGATAGTCTTTAAGTCTTTCTGGATTTATTAAAATTGATATTCTTTCTATTATTAACTGGACATTTTTGTGGATGTGCCTGGCATTGGGTTGCAATAATCGAATATGAAAATTATGGATAAGAAGTAACCTGGCTTACTCATTATGAACCTAATGCCATGAGTTATGAATGGTTTGATAGATACATCATTTCCTTATATTGGAGTGTTATCACTACTGTTACTGTAGGTTATGGTGACATTGTGCCTGTAACTACAGTGGAGAGAGTGTTTGTTATAGTAGTAACCCTGTTGATTTGTGGTGTGTTTGGTTATTGTTTGTCTAATATTGGAAACATATTTAAATAAATCACAGACAAGAAAGCCATCTATAAATAAAGAATAAGAGAAATCAATCAGCATATTAGGAAGAGAGGTCTCAGCTATAATTTACAATTAAAAGTATATTTACATTTAAAAATCTTAGGTCAAAAAGTATTTTGAATACTTTCTAAAAGTGAAATAGGAGGAGGATCAACATGCAGAACAATTTATAGAACAATTGACTAAACATCTGAGGGAAGAAGTCTTAATTGATATTTATAGAAAGACACTCAAACAATCTAGATTTTTAAGGGAAAATTTTAGTGAAGATATTCTCAATCGATTATGTTAGATAGTAAAAGAAACCAAATTGTACCCAGAATAAGTTCTTTTTTAAAGGAATGACTCTCCTAAAGCATTATGGTTTGTTCTGTCTGGAGCAGTTGAGTATGTTGCTGATCATTAAAGTACATTTATCTATTAATTCCACTAGATGAGGATGAACACTATTACACTGAAACATTTTTAAAGAAATTAACTCAAGGGTACTATATATTTGAGAATATTAATTAGAGCTGTGATTGGCGAAAGAGAATTCATATCTCAAACTCCATATGAATATAATGCAAGAGCTACTAAATTTACTTAATTGTTAGTTGTCGAGTATCTATACATATAAATATCATTAGTTATCAATAATTCTACCTAATTCTGTAAGAAAATAATGATGAATTTGAGAAGTATTGTTTAGCCAAAGATAACCTATTGTTTAATAGCAATTATAAAGCATTTGGGTAAATTTGCGAAATTTGCGGATGGACTCATCGATTTATTTAGTAAATCTACACACTTATAGTTAGATGTCCTTTCGTGTTTTTATAACCTAATAAAAATAAAATAGCCAGTTCCTTCGTCTCTACTAAAACCAATAAAAGATTATCATTTCCATATAGAACACTTCCTAAAACTAATTGGAGAAACAATGTGCCTGAAGTATAGGAGGCTGCCTTAGGCTACATTGTATTAAATAACATCATACCAGAAAAGTACTTATTATATCATCATTCAAGAGAAATAAATGATACTTATCTCATTAATCTGGGGTTTGAATTAAATGATGGGGAGGAAGAGCCTTCGAAAATTATACCCAATAAAAAGAACTCGATGTCTAGAGATTTGAAAAATTTATCTCAATATGATAACACACCTCAATAATAACCTATACAATAACCATCCATTTAAACTGTCCTTTAGGATTAGAAGTCATAAAATTAAACAGCTATATTTCATAAGGATCAATAAAAGATTAATATGACTAATGTAATTTCTTATATGAATTCTTTAGGAAAGCTTTGTTGATTGGGATTAGGGTAGTTAATTGAAAAGAAGTATGAATAGGATCAAATTCCAAGGTCTTGACAGAGGACGCACACTTCAATCAATCAAAGGAAAATACCATTAAAATAATCCAGATGTATTAGATGAATCCATGATCTAAGAAGAGGTCAAAATTTAAAACACCAATATTGGATCTTAAAATTTTATTCATAACAAACTCAAAATGGTGAAAAGTAAGCATAATATCCAAAATCCAATTGGAATTAGAAAAGTGTCCTGGCTTGAATTTGATAGTGGAGTGAGTCAATAGCAAGGTTTGTAAAAATTATATCTATTTTAGATGGCAGAGCTGCCCAATAACTATTTAATAAGTAAATCAGTAAAGGAAGCGAAACAAACTTTGATTAATCTCCACCACTTAACTAATAAGAAAATGATATCAAATAAAGAATTGAAGCAAGAGAAAATAGCATAAAATCCAAAAAAACAAATAACAAGTAGGATATAATTTTTATTAAAGTATTGATATAACAAGAAGGAAAAAAAGAAGAAAAACTACTTAACTTTTATAACTATTTTAAGGTTTGGACAATGGAGACACGAAATCAACAAAGAAAGTAGAAAAAGGCATCTTGGGAAATGATGTTTACAGTTCTAGTGTTTATACTACTGGAGGACCAAGTAATACTGCCTTAATAGAACCTAATAATAAAGATGCTAATGCAGACAATAATAGTGTTCATGTCAATCATTCATTTGATGGGATTTAAAAGAGAATCTAAGATATTGTGCATGTTCACTTTGAAATGGATTTGGATAGATACAAATCCTCTAAATTTTATTTTCCAGATAATAATTTAGAAGTTGTAATATAAAAAATTACAATATATTACGACAAATTGAATGATAAAAAGAATGATTTTGAGGCTAGGGAAATGAAAAGAACAAAAACCAACCTAACGCTATTTGATAGGATCAGACAAGCAAAAAGCTAGAATCTTAGAGGAAGTTTTGTGGAGAAATCACTATAGGATAATGACTGAAATATTAAATCCAACTTTTAAACAATATTTATATATTGATTATTTAAAAACGACAGAAATGCTCAATATTACCTATAGAATATGATTTGAATGCTCAAAAAGTCCAATTCTTATTTATCACCTAACATTTTGAGATTTTTAATAAAAAATATAAATGTTTCTTATAAATTTACAATACTGGCAATTTTAAAAGACGTGGTATTTCTTCAAAAATATTAGGCAATTTCATTTGAATTTCAACTAGTAAAATCAATGATAATAGTTTACAAAGAAAATCTTTCATGTTTTCATGATTGTTTAACAAATTTAATCATATATTAATTTTAATAAAATTTATCTAAAATCCCAATCTATGTTACTAGGGAAAGAGAGCATATCTTTTAAACATTTAAGTATTTGAGGAGGGGGGGGGATTAAAATAAATTAGGCTCAAACCTAAAAAATAGCTAGCTTCATTTTGGACTCCAGAATCATGATTTACCTAAATTATTTTTCAGAGTTTTTTTTATAATATAAACTTAATATATGGGATGATTGGACTTAAATTATGGGAAAAGTTTGATAAAGAAAGTATTGAAAATAATCTGATGTTCAAAAATAATAGAATCTAAATAATTTTAAATTTAAATCAACGCAATCTATTGAGAGAAATTGCTGCCAATTATCGAAAAAATGATTGAAAAATTATAAATTATTATAATTAAATGGGATGTCTATAATCAAAGAAAGCCTTAAAAGAATCTTAAACAAAATTAAAACCAGAAAGTCCTCAACCATATGATCCAAACAGTATACTTATAAATTATATTTAGAGAGAGAAACATAATATTAAGTTATTGTAAATGGAATATTTTTTGATGCACTCAATCTAGATGAGTGATTCTTCCCTTTCATGTACATTCTCAAAAATTGATTGATATATTTTATCGATTTAACAAACCACAAATAAAATCTGAGGCTTTCTTGAGATTTTCTCTGTCAATACCTGTTTCGATTCCTAAATAATTCAACGAATTAACTACGGTTTCTGTAGCCACATTTCCACTTGGCTTACCAGCATAAGGACATCCACCCAACCCTGAAACAGATGAATCTACAACCTCAACGCCATGCTATATTATTTATTGTCATAATTAAATTACTTCCAAAGCAACCAGTATGTTCGGAATTGCCCTATCATAAGTATCATGAAAATGAACAGCCAATTTTTTAATGTCGAATTACGAGAGAGCTTACATTAAATTTTTGGTTTTCTCAGGAGTCCCAACTCCTATTGTATCTCCCAAAGAAACCTCATAACAACCTAAATATATTCAGTTAATTTTTTTGAATACCCATTTCAAATAATTTTTAAGTCACTTCTGCCACTTTTTAAGGATGAATATCCCCTTCATAAGGACATCCCATAACACATGATACGTATCCTCTTATTTTAATTCCATTTTATTAGGCTTTTATTACAACATCATTAAATCTCTTTAGTGAATCAGCCTATACTTATTAAATAATTCTTACTATAGAACAGTTTATATTTTTTTATGAAAATGCTTCAGAGGCTGCTCCGAATACGGCTATTTCTTTAACTCCGACCTTCAATGCTTAGTCCAATCCAATTATATTCGGAACTAAAACAGGATAACTCACATTTGGGAATTTGTCAATTTTTGAATAGACTTCAGATGCATCTCCCATCTATGGTACCCATTTCTTTGACACAAAACTAGTAGTCTCTATTGCTTAAAATCCGCATTTAGATAATCTTAAGATTGATTGGATTAAATACAGATTTATGAATTTAACTTTATCTTCACTCTGCACAATTGTCTTTTCATTTTATAATCCATCTCTGGGTCCCATCTCTACAATTTTCACTTTTTTAGGCAAACTCGTATTCTTGTACTTTTGAAGTTATGCCAATAAATTATTCACTCTACTCATAAATAAAATGATGGCTTAATTATAACAGAAATTATTAGAAATAATCGAAAATCTCATTAACAATCCAATATCACTAGAATTCGTGGATCCCTATGATGACGAAGATTATAACAAAGTCATTTTCAACAAAATGGATTTGTACATTAATTACTTATTCCTAGAACAACAATAAAAAAAAAGCTCGAGTCAAATAAATACTTGAATCATACTGAATTCTTTAAGGATCTAGATTTAGTCTGGAAGAATTGCTAGTTATATAACCAAAAGGGTAACAATGTTCTCTATTGAAAATAATAGGATCTATAATTTTTAAATAATCAATGTATTTGGAATAACAATGCAAAAGTTTATAGAAGGTCATTGAAGATGATTTCAATTTAGGCAAGAAAAAAAAAAGGCAAAATTAAGAAAGACCGCCCATATAATAATAATCTTTTGATTTTAGATAAAAGTAAATTAAATATGAAAGTATTCTAGAAATAAACCTAGTAATGAAGCTTCCCGCCTTAAGTTTTGCCATTCGATAAAAAATTTAGAATAAGAACAATTAATAAAAATAGTAAACTATTTAGCTGAATTTCAACCAGAATGTCTTTCTCGAGAAGAAGATAAATTAGTTATTGATGTAAAAAAACTAGATTCCAAAGCATGTGAACAAATAAATTTGCTTTGATGATTAACAAATATATTATTATATGTATAATAATCTAAAATGATTAATATTTCTCACATTATTCTTAAAGAAATCATTCATATTAATTTATTGAAAACTCATCATAATAATTTAGTATCACTATTATATATCAATTAGAATCCACCAATTTTCTTTTTAGTCTTATTTTAATTATCCACAACTACTTTAACAATATCTTCTAACATTTTAGGTATGATTTATGCAGTGACTGGAGTGGTTGTATCACTGGAAGGTGACATATTCACTTCAATTAGCCAGGAATTAAATTAATCATCAATCATAAAGTCGTATCCATACACTTCAAAGGAACGCTTTCTATTTTTCAATTGATCACTACAACATCTTAGACTATTGATAACAATTTCCTTAAATTTTGGTTGTATTTTTTCTCCAAAAACATCCCAACCAAATTCTTCTATTAAGTACTATTAGAAATCATCTTATGTCCACATATTACCTTTAATTTCTGACTTATGAAACTTTTATGAATACTTAGCAATAGCATTGTTGGTTAGATGTGCAAATCTATTTTGAAACTAATCAATATCAAATTCTTCAGCTGAGAACCTCACATAACACTCATTATAGAAATATATTTTTAATGGAACTAATTCGGTTACCAATATCCATTGTCTGATATCAAATTTACGATTTTTTATAATCAAAGGGTTTTCTATATACTTCATGGCAACATAATTCATAGTTTCCTTATTTACATTATCTAAAATTTGATATATATCATCTAGACATCTGATGCCCCTTCCTCTTGAAGAGTATTCAGGTTTAACAATCCAAATATTTCTGGTTCCTTACAGAGAGTTTTAAGGATTCTTGTTTAATTGTTTGAGCAATTCTTTAATTTAAGGGACATACTTTTGTAGAAATTCAGGACCTTCGCAATCCTCATACCCATTTAGTTTAAGTTATTACTCTAGATAGTCCTGTATTAAGATTTCCCTTGGTTTTTCAGGGTCTTTCAGAAGGACAATCCATTCTCCAGGATGAATAAATGGAAATTCATCTTTAAGGATACTTTTGACCATGTTACTCAAAGATTTATTGACTCGACTCATTACAACTAAACAAAGTCTAATTTTGAATCTCTATCTATAAGATAACTGATTAACAATAAAAGGTAGTTATTTTTCTTCTTTATTTCTAATAGTATTATTCTGGTCGTCTAATTTGAGATTATTATTAAAAAATGGTTCTGGTTGTAATGTAATATTTTAGTCATCTACCTTATTGCTGTTGATGTCTTCATCATCTTCAGGTTCAACAATGTTTTTATGCTAAGTTTGATTTTATAAACTTTGATCAAAATCTAGTAATATACTTTGGATTTTGGATATTTTGAAATCCTCAATAAAGTCTAAGAAATCAACTAAATCACCAAGATCGTAACATCGAGGAAAGAAGGATTCCCAGTTATTGATGCATCTGATATTTCTTGCCAGTCCATATTTAGAACATAAACACTAATTGCAATCGAAATGGTTAATTTATTGGAATTCCATTAGATTCATAAAGTCATCACTTCTCAAACTACAAGTCCATTTGAGATCAAAGAATGGACTGTAAGCATCTTCATTTTCAGCCCAATTTCTTTCTAGCAACGCATCTCGAAGTGCGTGATATCCACTTGTAATTATAAATACCTTTTGATTTGGAGCGACATTGTTTTTCCTTTTCCAGGTGGGATAATCTTGAATTCCTCTGGCACTTATTTTTTTCTTTTTAGGTGTCTCATCTTCTTCATCATATTCAAATTCTTTTTGACTATTTTTGATAGCAACTGATTTCTTTTTGGGAGTGTATTTTAATAACTCAAGCTAAATTTACACTTTCAAATATTTATAATTTTATACATAGCATTTTAAATGTGCTTCTATACTTGTAACGAACTTTGTTGCTTAAAAATTTCTTAATTTTTTAGAGATGTTCTTCTGGATTCTCCTTAGATTGAGTAAAAACTCTAATTAATTTCAAATCATCTTTCACTATTTTATCAAAATAATATTCTTTTTTTCCCATCAAAACCAATAATTGAATTAAATTATATCGCAAAGGATTTAGGTCTTCGTTCTTTTATTATGGCTCCTCTATCAATGGTGCTAATTTCTTTTATGTTGTTAAAGCTCTTTATTACATTTGTGGTTCATCAATGTTATCTTCCAATTTCTTTAAGGTTCTAAATTGTCCCCTGATTGGCTCTTTTGATTTTGATTTTATTAACTGTCCTTTCGATTTCATCGATTAAAACAGTTTCACATTCAAATTAATGCTAGCTTTATTCCCCTAAATATTGAAATATGATGCACGATTATCTAACATTTATTAATTAGTATAACTATATAAAAATCAATAATTTCAATTATGTTCCCCTAATCTCCTAGGAATTAGATATTTATTGACAATATATTAGTTATTAATTACAATAGAAGGAGTGTAGCTTCTGATTCTCTTATTATTCCCTTTTTTCGGACTTGAAATCATGCTTAATTTTTTTGTAAGCACTCCTATCTATTAATTGTGTTCTCCAATATATTTTAAAGTGTAAAATCCTTTTGTAGTTTCCACTGTATTCGAAGCTTACTACAAAGGTGAGCAAATCCATCTGCTATAAGTGGCTCTAAATTCATTAGTGTTTAGTCGACAACCAACAGCTGATTGACTTTATCTGGATACATCATTCATTTTTGGGGTTTCCATATAGAACTATTTTCCTCTCTCGTTAAAATTATTTAGCTTTAGTTTAGGCTCATTTGCAGAAGGCCATCTAATCCTAGGCTAGACATTACGAATCAAAGGGCTTATTGGTTTGGACTCTTCGAATGAAAATTCAATTTTAACAGGCCTCTATTCATGACTGGTATTACAGAATCGATGGTTGTAAAACCCTTTGTTAGTAACCTGGTTAATATATATGAATTTATTTACTTACAAGGCTGTTATACATTTTATATATTATTATAAAAATAGTAATTATTAAAATATATTGAATTTAGTTATTTGAAAGCTACAAAGACTACAAGTTTGAAAATTAAGAATATATTTATTGGTATTCGGTTCATATCATACTCAAATGTTTATCTATTGATAGGCTTAGATTGACCTTCTCTTTCTTTCTCTGACAAGTTCCTATGTAGCAGTCCATAAGATTTTAATCTTTTTGGATTATTCATCATTATCTGATAATGCTTTGGGTAGTTTCTCATTGATCATTTTAATAACTTCCTAGATTTCTGCATCTTTGAACTAAATGAATGAATTTAAATGAATACCTCAACTTATTCAAAGAAGTAGAAATATTTATTCAAGATTTAAATAAAAACATATACAAACTTTGGGTTGTTGCCAATACTTTGATTGGCTATTTTGATGGCTTTCTTGAAGCATTCTTGAACTCTCTAAACATTTTTAATGTGATCATTGTAGAACATATGAGCCGAATTCAAGACACCAATTGCTTATTCATTCTTCTTTAATAGTTTGGCAGCTTATTGTGTGGCATTTCCAGCAAGAGTATCAAAGTTTTCACCACTGATACAATTTAACTTAGCAAAGGTGGACATAATTTGATTTAATAACACCACCTTCACATTAGAATCTCCAATTTCATCTTAAAATATGGTGATAATTTGAGTTCCAACATCGTATGAGAATTCATCAAACTCTTAGGCCTAATCAACAATATTGATGCATAACAAAAAGTTTAGGTTGAGTTTCAAGGCTAATTCAGGGAAGTGTCCTTGTAAGACTTCGATCAATCCTCTTATTTATTCAAATAACCCCTTATATTATGTTTCTTCTAAAATGAATAATTTAAACATAAATTACATGTTTATGGTCCTCCTTAAGCGGCTATCAATTAAATCAATCTAAACAATGCAAAAATGGCTGCAGGATATGTATACTTTTATCTGTTGATTTCTCCTTGTTAGAATTTGGCTATGAATTATTGTAAGATAGTGTTGTGAATTGCTAAATCTCCATTTTGAACTAGATGAACAGTTCTAGCCACTAATTATTGTTCTTCTTCAAATTCATTTTCTGGGATTTCAACATAATCATTCTATGTAATTAAGAGTGGCTAAATGAATTTGAGTAATTCTCCAGTGATCTTTAAATCGTCAATTACTTAATTCAAATTAACCACAGCCTAACAAATCTTAATCGCGACTTGTCTTCTTTTTTAGAATGGAAGATGTTTCATAAGATTTGGATACTCATTCATTGTAAGAATGGATAAGCTCATGGTATCCAAAGGCATGGCAAGAAACTTAACAATATTTTTTTAGCACTCTTCTGTGAAATCTGTTTCGTTTTATCTTTCGCATAATCTACAACAAGATTTAAGAATGTCATTAACGTATTCTGAATTGTTGGGATAACATCTTAATGTGAAATTGAGGAAAGCCACTTATAAATCTAAAAGATTTTTGAATTCAATTTGACTGTTAGAATCTAACATCTAATATATGATATTTGGGATTTGTTACTTTGTCAATATTTTATTTGAACATACTATAAATATCCACTTCGGAATTGAATGTGCCCATATCATTATTCAATGCAAAATCAGCCAATCTACCCATAAGATTGATGAATATGTTTTTGATATCCACTGTTGGTTCTAATTGAGTTGTACAAACCTTCAAAAGTTCTTAAAGTGTTTGCAAATGATACTCATCTGGAAATGCTTGAATTGTGCAATCCATCAAGTATGTTTGGGATATAGCATCCTTGCTGCTTGTTATGATATCAATGATTTTTGGTAAGACCTTTGTTTTATAGGTGTCCAATGAAACACCTTCCAAATTGCTTAATCTGGTAACATTCTCTCCAATGGTTACTTTGAGATCGAGTCTTTCCCTTTCTCTCTTTGATTTGTCTTTTGATCCTTACATTCTAATCCATAATTTGTTCATCTCTGATAGGTTTCTTATAATGATTTCAATGGCATCATCTATATTTCCTCCTGTGCCTTCGTATTCAGAGCCTGTGTCTGGAAGTCTGTCTTTGCATAATTTCAAGAAATAATATCTAATAAACAATCCTCTCAATGGATGTTAGATGGCCTAGTATAAAGCTAGTGATTACCTTAATACACTCCAATAAGTCAAGGAGGATCACTTTGGCTCCGATTTCATGAGTTTATATGAACACAGATCCGACTGTGATTAGTAGATATAAACGTGGAATGACGTATGTGGCATGCTAAACAGATTCATATAAGTCTGGCATCTTCCTTCCTCTTCTATACTCTTCTTTGAAGTAATTCTCCAATATACGCATCTCATCGAAGACCTACATAAACAAGATGTAATAATTTCTTGGACTCAAAAGTGATGTCTTCAATTCACTCAACATTGCTGAAGAATATCTCAAAGCATCTTTTAATTGAGCCTTTTCCAATGAAGCCCTCATAAAATAAGCTTGTTCTTTGACAACCTTACGAGCATCTTCCAAATACTTTTCTTGATCTTCTTCCATATTATTTATCAAAAGAATTTAATTTTTTAATAAATCTCTTGCCCAATATTTCTTACTTAAAACACACATCAAAGATTTGTTGGATATAATATAAACATGTTTTTCTATAAAGAATAAATATTTTATTCAAAAACATATTGAATTTCTTCTATTTTCTCAGCACATTAAGAATTGCCTTTGATTACTCTATTAGTTTTTATTGATGAGTAATTCAGGAGTATTTTGGAAGAACATCTGAGGTTTACTGAGAACCATTAAAATCAAATAATTTTGAGAAAAGAAAAAAACAAATTCCTCTTATATATTATAAATGAGTTCGAATTTTCTGGTTAAGTTTTATCTGTTTATTTCATATTATTTTCTTTTCAATATGATGTTTTTGGCCTAACCTTCTATTATTATAATTTCTCTATTGTATTTTAACTTGAAATTGGATTATAATAATTACTTTAAATTAGAAGTTCATGTCTAGCCAATGTCATTCTGTCCAAAAAAATAGTAAATTTTTAGGGAAACAAACAAACCTAATCCAAGCCCAACTCCAAGGAGATTTCATCAGAAATTCTTCATAGGTTAAATCGCTTTACTATCGTAGTATTCATTTATATCTACTCCTTTATCCGGCAAAATCAAATCCTTAAGTGGAATTTGCTCCCCAGAAACTCAAAACCTAAATGAGAAAATACAAGAAGAACTTAGCCCATTGGATGATGTACCTAACTATCACTTTCCCAAGATGTTTAACAGAGAGGAGGATAAGATGTAATACTAAGTTTAAACTATATAGTTTTTTGAAAGTAAATTATATTAAACTATAAGGTCAAGAATCCTAAATGCTTGAGGCTATATTAAACTACAAGAAGCAATGTTGGGATATCATCTTACCAATTAATGAGTTTGTATCAGAGGAGAGTTGTCAAGGATTTTGGATCCTAAAAATAATTGTAATCGATATTTTTAACTTTTAAGACCAAAAAGTATATAGAACTCAACAATTACGATAATGACAAGGAACTTGTTCAATTTTGTTTGAAACTATTAAATAGAAATCTTCATATAAATCATGGTACTCTTTATTTTTAATCACTCACATAGATGATATTGTACTATAGTTAGATGGAGGTATTCGAATTAACCCTTATTGCTTATTTAAGAAGGTTTCAATTAGATCATCAATCTCTAATCTTCTCAAAAACCTACTCTTTGAGCATAAAATCTCAAATCGCCTACAAATTTTCCAAGCTCTTTTTCAAGATTTTGAAAACAAAGATCTAGACTCCTTAAAAAGACAGAACCATATAGATTTTTAGTTCAAATATCTGAAAGAGACACTAATAAATAAATTATTAGGAATTAACAAATGAGAAATTTTGAGTTTATATATAAAATTTTGAAATTTTGAAATCCATTTTATAATACTGTAGCATGATCTTAATATATTCCATAAATTTTTATTAAAGAAATCTTCTTTCTCATCAAATTTTAATATTAAAATTATTATATACAACACAGTCCATTAATGATGAGAACAAGAATGAAGATGTCTTTAAATGGATAAAGAGGAAAAGAAAGAGAATCCTCAAATGATAAAAATGCAGCCTCCATCATAAAGGGAGCCATATAGACTACAGATATATAAAATGAAACTAACAAATAATGTTAATCTAATTATTAAGTGCAAAATTAAAAATAACAACAATAAAAAGAAACTAAAGAGTAATAAAAAATAGAAGAAAAGCAAAAAGAATAATAGGAGTAAAAATAGTAATAATCAAGTCAAGAGAAGTAGAATAAGGCTTATGAAATAACAAGAAAAAAGATCAAAAAATAAATAAAGAAAGATTGAATTATTAACAAATTACAAGAATTATTATTTCTATAACATTATTATTATTATTCACATAACATTATATTTTTCTTTATAGTTTTTCGGTTAAGTTCGCTTATGCTTTCGTTGTAAAAATGACACATAATCTTGTATCTTTTTAATTACATATAAGGATCCAAAGATATATATTGTAATGGCTATGGTTTTAACTATGTTCATAAAAGCATCCCAATAAGGAGTCTCTTAATAAAATGGATCTAATTCATCCAGAACCAAATCATCACAAAATTTATTCACTTTTTATAAATATGATCATACAATTTTAAAGTTCTAAAACAGAAAAATTAACGTAGAGGTTGGCAAATTTCAAACATTTTTGTATTCTTACATTTCTTGGCAACGCTTATAAACTATTGCTGCCATGAGATTTTAGACAATTAGTGAATTCGCAAATATAATTTAAAATAATAATTGTTTCTTGAAGTTTGTCATCAAAGTGTTTATTGTATTAATGTAATTGCAGATAGGATGAGTTTTTAAATGTTTTATTGCAATAGTCGCATTTTGTCCCATACCTTAAACTTTATATTTCATCCAACTCCTTATATTCTTTCAGATCAATCAAATTCATATTCAGAGAAAGATGATACTTTTCCAAATAATAATTGATTTATTATTAGGTTCTAATGGCCCTACCCATAGAAACTAAACCTTATAATGAATTAGTCCCTGCAATCAAAATTGATATTATTAGTAACATAAAAATAATATAAAAATGTTGGCAAATTTTGTAGTTTCTAGATAAATCTTAATATCTAGAATCTCTTCAATTACACTTTAAATTGTATTTATATTATACTTTATTATGAATTTATACATATCATATACAATCACTTAAACTGTTATGCTAATGTTAATTTAATATCGATTTCAATAAATTTACTATTAAATATTTCTTTGAAATCAGAATCAAATTAAAAGTAATAAGCAGAAGGTTTTTGAAGTTTGAACTATTTTAATAATTCCTATTCCTGTGCCACAATATTTTCAAATTCACTTTTCAATTTTGGTTCCCTATAAGCCTTTTTAGTTTATGCTTATTAGGTTACTACAGGTTTTTTTGTAGTGACAGTAGTAGATTTGTTTGCAAGTCTTAAAGCATTTAATTTGATTTGATCTTGTATCTAAAATTGAATCAAATGATTACAGGATGAACATCTGTCTTTAATAAGGATCGACATATGTCAGTGCAATTTTGCACTTATCTCTAATCCAAAAAATAAGCTGCATAAATAAATTGCATCTCTGGTTTATATAATACACAAGCAGAATTGGTACTTATAATTTTATTACTTAAATTCAAGAACTATAATGCTAGTTTAGTTTATTTATTTGAAAATAAGTGTTAAGACAACAACAACAATATTTTTACATCTCTTATAGTCAATTCATTCTCTTCTATCAAGTTATATTAAATCCATAAGTCTTCTAAATTATTAATCTCTTATGTATTCTATCTCAGACTGTTATAACATTTAATTAGATTATCAATTATGATATCATTCTTATCTTAAGATTGATCAAACAAATAATAAATAGCTGCGATGTTATAATAAAAAGTAACTATTTTAATCTCAATATTTACATAATAATTCTGGACATGATTCAGCTGTTTGCTTTAATAATTCTACACTCTGCCCTACAGAAGCAGTTGTTGAAAATATGTTACCAATCTATATTAAAATTAAGAATTTACAGCTAAACAGTTCATAATTTTGCCCTAGGCTGTCTATGATAAATCGGAGAATTGATTCTGTCTCTTTATTTGTTTAATTTTCCAATGTATTTCATTAACATTAGTATAAGAAATTAGTTAATAATACAAAGTTCTTATTTCTATTGAATATTTTACAAATAAGTGTGATATGCTCTCTCATTTAGAAATTTCGATTGCAACATGGCATTTTGTAAGTTGATTTCTGCATCTTAGTAATTTCGATCGTATACTTATAAAATGGATTAATAGTGCAATAATCTTATGTATTCCTGTGACTTCATTTTAAAAATACGATCTTCGTAAAGAATTTTATTAATTTGTTTTTAGGCAACTTCGTAGTTTTTATCATAAATCAAATTGACCAATTCTTTAACAGCATTAGAAAATGGGAATTTTATACGATAATTCATTCACAATTAATTTTACTAATTAAATCAAATAGTATTTAGAGAATGAATTATTTTCATTTTCTAAATAAAATTTATCTTTTTCTTAACCCCTTCAATGTTTCCACATTCCTATGCTGTTCCAATATTTGGTATTAATGATTAATAGAATTTCACAACAATAATAAAATATGTTATATAAATATTTTATTTAGAATCAACACAAGAACTTAGTAAAGATCGTAAAAGATATAACATTAAATTCCCTTATTTATGCCTTTAATTAAATCCTTTCAAATCATAATCTTGTTTCAATTTTAGGGATTATAATTGAGATTTTTTATCTTTATGTTTCAAATAAAACAAAGTTTATTTATCATTTGAATAGCAAAATTTGATTAAATCTATTAATTAGTCTATTTCGTTAAATTTAAAATTATGCGATCTTCTCTCTTAATACTCAATTTATAAATTTAATTTCAATAAATCCATTAATCTCTACAAAGCCTACATAAGTTTTGGTTCAATGTGAATTTAAGTTATTCATATGAATGCTGACTGAATTCTATTTATAATAGTCTTTACTTTACTTCTATTTATATAAACAATTAATGGATAAATAATTTAAAAGAGAGAGTGTTTTTATTATTATAAATTTATTCGTAGAATAAATCACTTGCTTGAATACAAAATAATGAGCCATTAACTTAATTAAACAATCAAATTTTCAGAGAATCATTCGTTCAACCTAGTTTACCCTATTACTCTTTTTGAAAAGATCTATAGTTTACTGCAGGATATTAATTGAGTATCAAAAGCAGCAGGGTTCATTTAGAGAATCATCGCTACTCACTTTTCTTTTCAAATTTCCCACACGCTATTCTTATAAACAAATTTTTTAAAAATGATTAAATTTTATTTAAAAAATATTAAATGGTGAACGTACCAAAGAATAGAAAAACCTACTGCAGAAAATGTGGAAGTCATTAAAGTTGCAAAGTCTCCTAATATAAAAAGAGCAAGGAAAGTCCATTTGCATAAGGTAGAAGAAGGTACGACATGAAGCAATCTGGTTATGGAGGCTAAACAAAGCCAATTTTCAGAAAGAAGGCAAAGACCACAAAAAAGGTGGCATTAAAGTATTTATATTTTAAGAGAATAGGCTTGAATGCGTCAAGTGCAAATTAAAATGGTTAAAAGTTATTAAGAGATGCAAGACTATCGTTTTTGTCGATGCTAATTAGCTCAAAAAACAATAAGAAGCAAAGAAGAATGCTAAATGAGATAATAATAGTATAATAAGACATATATTAAGTATTTTATCAAAGAATTTATTTTCATCAAGCTATTTTAATTTTGCTCGATTTTTCCACTTGTATTATTAAATTATTATATAAATTATACTTAATATTTATTATCTTTCAAAAAGGCTTTTAATATCCTTATTGAGGATAACCAGGGTAACCGGGCTGTTAGGGCGGGTATCCTGGTTGTGGTGGGTATCCTGGTTGTGGTGGGTATCCTGGTTATGGTGGATATCCTGGCTGAGGTGGATAACCTTATTAAGGAGGATATGGCTATGCTGGATATCCTGGCTATTAAGGTGGATAGCCTGGCTATTGTGGGTATGGTTAAGGGGGATATCCTGGTTGTTATGGTGGATATCCTGGTTGTTATGGGGGATAGGGCTGAGCAGGATAACCTTATTGGGGGTATCCAGGTTGAACAGGATAACCAGGTTGCTGAGGAGGATACGGTTATTATGGTGGGTAATTTGGTTATGGAGGATAGATAGGTTATTATGGATACGGTTGATTTGGTGGATAGTATGGTTGTTGGTAACCGGGCATAATTGGAGGTTAAACACCTCCATCAGGGAAAAAGGAAACCTCAATTAATACCTATCCGGCTTATTTACCCTATAAAATAAATTAGCTTCACATACTTTATAATTTAAATTTACCCATTCTGTTCCGTTTGGCTTAGTTAAGAAATTCTAAAGGGCCAAAGATCCTTGACCAATCAAATCATTTTTGCTCACTTCATCTTTATCCCAAATTTCAATATCAGCAATCAGTTCTGAAGTTCTACGAAATGAAAGAGAATCACTCCAAGATGGATATTTACCAGCATCTGTATGTGATCTTGTTCTTTGAGTTTATCCTCCAATTCTCACTAAACAAAATGGATCCATCCTTCCAAATGATTCCGTGTCATGAGTTAGTTTGGCACTCAACGGCTTAATTAATAAGGTTCCAGACATAAATTAAATTAATGAATGTAATATATCAAATTCAAAGTTGTTAACATACCATAAATTTTTCTTAATAGTATCTTAGTTCCTCAATACTCTCCAAAATATCATCTAATGCTCGATGATTCAATTTCTTTTATGGTTACTGGCTACAAACAATAGGATTTAGGTTTTAACATAACAATTTAATTGAAGACACATCTACAATTCGATAATGTAAAAACTGATCCAATTAAGGCATGTGTTTCATTACAAACAATCTATCCATATAAACTGAATTTCCTGCCAAAGGGAGTACTTTTGGAGGTATATTATTTTAATTTAAAAATTGGAGTATTTATTCTTAAGCTTAACCCACGGTCACAGTAGAATTCAAGGACTCTTGATATAATCCTGATGCTTTATGAGTAGTGGTGCACCATTCATCCATTCCATCTAACACCTATTTGTCAGCATGAATAACAATATGTGGCCCTTTAATTATAGTTTTTAATTTGTAATCAGTCAATATGCAAGCACATTCTATTATTTGATCTTTGAAAACGTTCAACCCTGTCATTTCCATATCCAACCAAAACTTTGCTCATAATTTTAAAATTTACTAAGGCATGTTTTAAAGGAGATTTATTGCCAATATTTTGCATTTCACTTAATTTAAAATGTTAAAATAAAAATATGTTTTGATGATTTTTTCTATATATATTCAGATATTATCAAATCATTAATACCCTTTAAAGTTGTTTGCTTATAAGTTGGTTAGTAATTTCAATTCTACAGCCTTCCTTGACTTTTTATATTTTCCAACATAGACCATGCAGTTAAATTAAAATCTAAATTTAAATATTTTAAATACCTAATCTAGGATCCTTATTTGGCAGTTTTCAAGACTTCCTTTGTGACACCTGCCTTTTGCAAGTCATCTAAATGTACAAAAATATCTGATTTATCTTCATCCATAACAATGAATCCATAGTTTTTCTATTCATCAAAAAACTTTAATCTCCCTGTGTAGATTGGATTTGCCATTTGCTTCTTTTGATCAGTTTATGGTTATTTATTCAAAGGTGGACAACTTATGGCTGAATTCAATTCTAAACGTGGAAATAGATCAAAATCATCACTATCATAATTCGTCTGTTCTTATTTCTAATAATAGGCATTTTAGTCAAACTGACTTATGGGTGTCTAGCCTTTCTTTTATTCATCTTAACTCTCATTCTTGCTTACAATAGAATTTATTTAGTTTAAGGAAGGGAATTAGTAGTCATCCTAAAGGAATGATTCCGTTTTCGTTTAAGAAAAAAATACTAAATATTATTAGATTGAAATACAAGCCTTTTCTTGATGAATGGACTGAATCTGGTTGAATATCTAAGATTGTTTCTAGTCTCTCTGAAAATCAAACATTTAATGTTCTGATAACGACTTTTTATGTCTTCTGACAATCGATTTCTATTACTCTTTTTCTGGAGTCATATTGATAATTGGGATTGTATTCTAGGGTTGAATGGAGATATTTACATCCTCAAATAAGTCATCGAATGTGTAAAACTATTCCTTTTCTTTGTTGTCAATTTGAGATAGCATTTACTCCATAGCTATCAAACTTGTCATCTAATCAGTTTTAACAAGTGCTACGTAACCAGTAACTGAAGGGTTGTAACAAAATATATTGATTGTCCTAGAAAACTTAGGGGGAACATAAACATTGCAAAACAACTAAAACTTTTAGTTTGTATAAAATTCTTTGATTTTTGTTTTCATTATGGTAGCATATAATGATAAGTATTACTAATTTCGATGAAATTTTACTTTGACATTAAACGATTAACTTTCTAAGATGTTTAAGGTTAATTCATATCTTTGTAGCAATTTTGGTAAATCGGAATCAGACTTATAAAGTTCTGAGGCTGTTTTCAGAAGATGGTCCTTGATTTAGGGATCTGGACTATGATAATTAGCAATGGAGAGTGTATCCAATATGTGCATGCCTGATGAACTAGAAATGAGTCAAAGGGTGATACCGGTTTCTCCTTTGTAAATGAGGGAGTGCAAATGGTTGTCATTCAATACTTATTTCTATTGTAATATCATTATTTAAATTATTAATATATTTTATTATTCACATTTCCTCTAAATCATCGTCCTCATCATCATCTAAGTCCTTCGTTCCACTCATTAGAATGTTGTTAGTTCTTATTGATCGATATGATTGATTTTAACTATTAAGCTTTTAACTAAATCTACTTTGTCTTAATGATATATTATTATTTTATTTCTTCAATTCAGAGTGTTTTTCAACAATCATTTCCCTCATGTTTTAATCCAATTAAGATAGTTATCTAGTTAATTCCTTATTTTCCTTCTTTAGTCTATTGACCTTCTTCTACCAATCTACCTCGTTATTCTCCAATTAATCTACAGTCATTTTGAGATTATTGCATTCAGTCAATAAAGATCTCTTTTCATGTTGCAAAGAATTAACTTAGGCCTAAACTTTGTTGAATTTTTATTCAAGATCATCCATCTACTTCTCTGATAATTCAACCATTTTCTCAATCATATACTCATTTTGCTTTTATTCTACCTTATTGTCATCTATCAATTGTTTGAATCTTTGATTCTCTTATTAAAAGTATTGCAAATCCTAATTTGTTCTATCTAAATGTTGAATAGCAGCCTAGAGTTGTTATTGCAATTACGATATCTATAAATTTAGATTGAATTTACTTCAAAGTCTGCTTATTATAATTATTCATTCAATTAAATATTATTAATCTTCATTCTTTCTAATTCATTAGAAACATTTGAACTTTTAATATAATTTTATTTCTTACTTTTATTTCTCCATCACTGGCATTTCAGGTAATATCTTTCCTAATTGACTTTCAAATTACTTCGATAAACTATATAATTGATCATTGTCGGCTTCTAATTTTAATTTATCCAATTTCATTTAATTATTATCCTGCTATAGTTATTTTATATCTTTCTTATATTGTTGCAATTTGTTTTTGTATTTATTTTGCAATTTATCCAATTCTTATTTGAGATGAGTATTTTCAGTTTCCAATTTAGTTCGAAATTTTGAATATTTATTTTCTAATTATGCCAAATCTTTGAGAATATCATCATTTTTCTTAACCTTCACTTATACCTAACCCTAAATCTCCTTATTTCTATTCTTCTCCTCTTCGATTCTATGTTATTGATCTTCAACAACAATATTCAAAGTCCTTACATTTTCTTCCAATTAATTCACTTGATCATCCCGATTTCTTAATTCTCTTGTGAGATATTCTAATTCTTCATATAATTTTTTGTTTCTTTCCTATTCTTATTTTATCAATTTCATAAAATCATCCTCCCGTTTCTCGTAATGTTTAATATTCTTAATCTCATTTTCCTTGATTACTTCCATATCTTATTCCAAGCTTCTTATTTTCGCTTTCAACATTTAATTATCCTCTATCGCATATCTTAATTATTGATTCAACTCACGTTATTCTTCAGAGCTTTAAGGATAAAAATTATCTTTTGATTTGGCAGTTAAATACATAAATAATAATTAAATTATCTGAACAAACAAAACTGCACTTATCATTTCTTTATCTGAATACGATCAAATATAGACTCTCTTGCATCCATTCTCAATCTCCCATCCTTGTTTTTATCCGAATGTTGTCCTATCACTATGACTTTGTCATTCTATTTGAAATTTGGCACCGCTCTCATCTCTGAATTCCTTTCCTTGCAGTTATTAATCAATTCTAAATGAACATGTTGAAATCAAAAACAATACCTATAGCATTCTCAGCTGCAGCCTAATTTGAAAATGTGATTGTCGCCTGTTTATTGTTTATCTAAAATAAAAGAATCAATTACACTAACTCCTAAGATATTGGCATCATCATCAATTACTTCTCTGAGATCCTGTTAGCTAGTATTTTCTTTCAAATTTCTAATAAATATTGAATATGAGCCCCCTTGCTTTACTTATTACTCTATCCATAACACTTATATATCTCACCATCCTTCTTAGTAATGTTCAGAATTCCCTTCCTCTTATTCACTTGCTAAGGCTGAAGTCTTCCTGATTGACCAGAATTTTAGATCATTATTACTTTCTTAGAAATCGCCTTTTTCTAAATTTAAGTGGAATGCACGTTGCCAATCTCTTCCTCAGATTCTCTCCTACCTTCCTGTTTCTGACCTGATTATTGAGATGGCTTGTATTCATATTGATGATCTCTTATTATGTTAATACTCTTTGAGAATATGTGATTCTTACTCATTAGAATATTATTTTATTATAAAAATATTTTAAAAAACCAATAATTAATAGAATTCTATGCATATTCAGAAATATGAATAACTCATGATATATTATACATATATTACTTATATATTTATCTACCAATTACATATTGTAGTCCTGATTTACAATGTAGCTTGATTAAATTGGACCCTTTATGTATTGTAATTTCTTATTTAAAAGACTAAGATATTATTAACATTCTATTTAAAAACATACATATTAAGATTACTTTGCTATAGATAAATTTCACAAATAATCAATTGTTTTTGGATAATCTAAAATTATCAGATTTAATTGAAATTTGCTTTTACTTTAAGTAATATTTTATTTAAATAAAGTGATTCTTCTAAAATCTTTTTTTCTTCAACTTCAAAACATATAACAAATAACAAATAACAAATATCTATGTATTTGTAATTGGATTAATAAAATATTTATGAATATATTAAATCATTTTTAGTAATAGATTTATTAATTGCTGAAACTCTATTGTATATAGAAAGTTCCTGAGAAAGATGTTTTCATTATAAGATTAATAACAATATTTAATATATGATTTTATCAGATATCTTCCTAATGAATTTGAACAACATTTCTTATAAAATTTAAAGGAAAAATATTACCTTATAATATATTTGACTGAACTTAATTGAAACTCTTTGGCATTTGTTAGAGCATAGCCAATTAGATATCGACCTGGTGGTAACTCCTTCATTTGTGTGAAAACCCTTCCTACATTATCGATAGATTATATGACAGTAATAATTGGGGCTAAATTTGAAATGGGTACATTTAGTTTTGTAACTTCTATATAAAATTAAACCTGCTATTTTTCCATAGTAATCTCCTAGTCTAAGTAGCTGTTAAGCAATTGCAACCTAGTAGTTGAATAGTAGTCTAGAAATAATTCCTGTATAAACACTGAATAAAGTTCGTATTTCTTATTTTTTTCCACCTCTATAATTTCTTTATCTTACGCCCATTTTGCTAAAAATTAGCTTTCCTATGATTTGATGCTTTCAATAGCATCTTATAGTTGATTGCCTTTATATTAGACGGCAACAAAGAAGGAATCCTCCAAGTATTAATCAGATTATTTGATGATATTATATACGATATTGAACTATTTAATTAATTGTAATTGTGAGGATGTTAATTAGATAATTTTACACCTCTCTAACTAGGGTTCGCAAGTATTTGTGTAATCAATTTAAGCATTATCAGTTTTCTTCAATTTCATTTTATTGTTATTATCATTGACCATTTACAAATAAATATCAGATTTATATGATTCAATACAGTTCTATAATTGTTAATTAAAGTAATTAATTAGATCAAGTTGTTTAGAATGCAAAATATTAGAAACTTTGATAACCAGAGCATCACCATTGTTATTTTATTCTATTTATTGAAGTTCGAATCCGTAGATATCTAATAGACCCCTGACATTAGAATTTGATTTGAAAGTTTCTATCTTACAGTTGAATTTGTGACCCACTCTGAAATTGATATTGACATTGTCAACAATATAATAGAAAGAATGATTTACATAACTATCTAACATTTCAACGATGACATTCTTGATTTCCCTTTGATTGTTCGGTACCTTGACATAAAAGCTTAAATTTTTGTCAGCCTTATAAACTTTGACCTCGTATGGTAGATTGTAATTTTAGGCTAAAAACTAATCAAAATCATTTGGATCAAAAACATTGTTAACCAATTACAAAGTACCTTTTCTATTGAAAAAGATTAGTTTGAACCCGCTCTCTTCACTGCTAATTAAATAGTCCTTGACGATGGAATCCTAACATTATTTGATTCTCTGCTCTAGAATGGTTCTCAAGATCTAAGTGACTTTACTTTCATTTTCAGGTCTCCCATATATGTAAAAAGATTTACGAACTAAATTAATTCACTTTTAAATATACATAATTTAGTTATTTTCTTAATTCTATTTTGAATGTTGGTGCCATATTTCTTATCTATTTAGGAGGCTAAATCAATAACCTTAACTTGACTCCACAATTCAAATTTACAATTCAACTGTTCTTTGACCAGAGTTTCGACCTCGTCTGCATTGAATGAAATTTCATCCAATTCAAAAGGGAAATGAATAAGAGAATTCTTTGAAAGTGCACTCGAAGCGAATTCAGTGAGATTGATCCCACTTTAAGAAGCCAATCTTAACTCGATGATTTGATTCTGCTCCGCATATTCTATTGCACAATTATGTGTTTTTTGAAAGGAGTCTTTGTAACAAGAGAACCAAATGGCCTATGAGTCTGTAATACGAAGGTGTGAAAAAGTATTTAGAAGTTTGTTGAGTTCCTACATAATATAATCTGCTTTGTTGTGAGGCATCCATGCCAGAACATAGCTATTTGGGAGTTGTATTGAAATATCGCCTCTGTATCCTGCATTTTCTGCCAATTCATTCTGAAGCTTAATAAACTTGTCCTTGACCATTATACACAGTCCATCGAATTGATTCGTCAATTCCTTGTATTCTTGACTCTTGATCATTTTTATGTAGAGATGATAATTATAAATAAGTTTGGAGTCTTTCAGGAGAAAGCGCAATTCGTATTCCTAAGTTCCTATCTTTTCAGCCTCGGAGACAGCCTATTTTAGAAGTGCATTGTTGGCAGCTTCGAAGAAGATGAACTTGGAATCGAAACGCAACTTGACTTTATATTTAAGTTTGATGGGATCAAACTTCTTTACATAGACCATCCATAAGACTTTTTCTGCAGGAAGATTGATTAACTATTTTTCAATAATCATTTTATTATTTGGGTAATTTCACTCATATTGAAATAACATTAAATTAATACCTGCTTATTTTTTGAAAAATAACAGTGAGATTAAGAAATAGATTAAAGAGCACACTTTTAGTTTTAGAGAATACTAAATCAAACAATATTTAAAATAATAAACAATTGGAGAATTATAAAATAAATTATTTATGTTATAAGAAAAAGATAGCAAGCAATCCTATCTCATAAAATAACCGTTATAAAAAACTTGGGTATTGTGGTTGGCTTTGGGCTTGGCTTGCTTCTTACTTTTTGGAGATGCATACGCTTTCGATAATCCCATGGCCTTGCAATCCACAATCCAAAGCGAAATGAATTTGAACAATGTGCAATTTAATATGCTTTATTCCATCTACTCAGCTCCAAACATCATACTACCATTCTTCGGAGGCATCCTGATAGACAAGATTGGAGTCAGAATTAGCATACTCATCTTTTCATCAATATTGATCTTGGGTCAAGCAGTAGTTGTGATTGGAGGATACACATTATCATATGGCACTATGTTAGCAGGTAGATGCATATTTGGCATTGGATCTGAGAGTTTGAATGCTGCCTAAGCTGCAATTATGTCATAATGGTTTTAAGGAGGTTAAGTGAGTTTAGCATTGGGATTATGTTTATCAATACCTAAATTAGGTAGTGCAATGAATAGTTTGGTCAGTCCTATCATCCAGGCCAAACATGACAATTTGGGATTCACTTTTTTGATTGGCTTATTCATAGTAATATTTTCATGGGGATGTGGTTTAGCACTTATTTATTTAGATAAGAAGAATGAGGAATTAATGGAGATTTGGAAATAAAATAATCTTGAATAAGAGAAGAAAGAAGAAAAGAAGGAAGAAATAATGCAATAAGAAATGAGTTTATAAATTAAGAAGAGTGAAACTACTGAGAGTGATCGTTCTGAATCCTTACTTAATGATGATGATGACGATGATGAAAACGATGATGACGATGAAGAGGAGCAGGAGAGTGCTCATGAAGCTAAGGAGGAAATCAAGTTATCAGATCTAAAAAACCTAGATGGTTCCTATTGGATTTTATCATGCATCATTATGTTGAGTGAAGCATTGTTTGTTCCTTTCTTAGATAATGGAAATGCATTCTTCCAAATTAAATTTGGGTTTAGTTAACAATCAGCAGGTGTTTTACTCACCATACCCTATGTTTTTGCAGCTTGTGTAACCCCATTTGTTGGAATCTATAGTGATAAAATCAGATAACGATCTCTCCTCATTGTGTTGACTACTGTCATATTCATAGTTACTCATTTGTGTTTACTACTCATATATTGTGATGTAATTATGTGTCTTATTCTTGTAGACTGCCTGTGGAGTTTCCGCATTACCATTGCTTTCGTTGGGAATATGTTATTCATTTTATTCTGCCATATTGATTCCCTCTATTCCTCTTGTGGTCAAGGCTTAAATGATAGGTGTGAAAGTATTTTTGTAATTTAGGTACTGCATTTGGATTGTTAGGAGTTATGTAAAATACTGCCTTGGCTTTATTTCCATTGATAACTGGCAGCATCTACAATAGTCATCTCATAAATGAACAAGGGGAAGTGGATCCTTTCCAGGGGTAATTAGTACTCATATAACTTTAGATATGTATATTAATCTTATTTTTTTGTTGGTGTCAGTTGTTTTAATTTTGTGATTGCAATAAGTCTTTATTTGTTTGATAAAAATGGGAGCAAAAAGTTAAGTCGATTAAAGTCAAAGAGCAAATGAATGTTTATAGTGTGTTATTTTCAATAATAAATTTATTATGAGTAATCGAAATAAGAGTTTAACAGAGAGGAAAAACTCGAAGAGTAAATGTAAGACTGCGATCTCTTAGAGAAAAAACTCTGATAGCGAAGATTATAATTTCTATTAAGAATTCTAGTTATTCTATCCCTAAGCTTAGGGGATTAAGTTTACGAAATTTGAATATATGAAAGAGTTCTTTAATTTGGGCATCTCTGAATTTCCGTCAGATTAAGAGATCCAAAGAATTTAACAAGAAATTCTAACAACGAGTGGGTGGAATTCAAACCTTAAGAAGAATTGGACACTCAATGAAAAGAAGGTCCTAATTTGGCTTGTTGGAAAATTGAGCATTATGCGCAATGAAGACATTAGAGATTTATCAGCAGAATTGTTTGAGGAGATTTCAAGGATGATTTGTAGGAGAGATAAAGATTAATGCAAGCAGAAGTGGTCTCAAATGCAAAAAATTGCACTGCAATAACAACCTTTCAAGCCAGAAGAAGATAAAAAATTATACGAAATCATTCTTCAATATTAATCAGTTGATATGGGATAGAAGTGGAGTTAAATTGCACAGGAGTTGAATCAGCATACAAGCATATACAGATCAAGTAAATAATGCAGAGAGAGATGGCTTAATCATTTGAATCCAAAGATTTCAAAGTAATTTAAAATTTTTCATTTCTCTTTTAGACAACCTTGGACAGATGAGGAAGACATTTTATTGTTGAATCATGTGAAAGACTAAGGAAGACGATGGGCGGAGATATCAAAGATCATGGATGGAAAGAGAAGTGAAAACAATCTAAAAAATCGATTTAATAGTTTAATTAAAAGAGAAAAGGACTTGCCAGTGATGTAAGGTCGTTATTAAACTTGTTATAGTCAGACTTAAAATGGATCAGCTACTCATTTGGATGATTTATTGTCAGGTTGCACTGGACCTGAAATAACTGACCTACAAAGACAAGCTATTGATGTATTGCTGTCTAAGTTGAAATGGAGGAGTGCAGAGGGCTAGAATAAGAATACAAGGAAAAAATCCATAGAACTCAATGAAAATGTAGATGATTAAGTAAAGCGACAATTTTAATAGCGAGCTTAGATTACAACCCCATACACTGTAGGAAATATAGAATCGGAATCTAATATTATGGATTTAACTCCTTGTTTAGTTAATGTGAGTAAAAACATTATTTACTTCTGCACACAAGATACATTCATTTAGTATTTGGGTTATCATTAATAGTAACAGCAATAATACAAAGATAAATTCGATAAAATTAAGAGTGAATTATATGCCTTTGATGTGGGCTTTCAAAATTTCAAGTCCACTCTCAGCATGATTGAAGAGATTGATGAGCCTCTCAAAAGTCTATCATACTTTTAACCGAATGATTTGGATGGATTCTTAAATTTAGAAACACCAGAAACTGTATCCAAACCATTATATGTGAACTCCCTTGACATGATCACCCATTCGGCTATCAAATATCTATAGCGTTGGAAAACTGAGTGTTAATTCAATGATGGGCGCAGATCAAGTATAACAATACCGAGATCACTTCCGAATTTGATATAAATTTAATAATGAAAAAGAGTCTTATATTATTATTCATAATAATACCTTTTATTTTATTCAAATGGGATCATTGTATGCAAACATACCATACTATAAAAACCTTTATAAACCATTAAGAAAAATTATCAGATCAATTATCATTTTATGATTAGTTCCTCCTCATGGCTATTCAAAGTATTTCGTTAAATTGGATAAATACAATAACCAATATTGATAATTGGTTTGAAAATATTTGGTCTTCATCTCAAACTAAGATAACGTAAAAAAATCCCCCATCGGCATAAAATTTTGCTTCTTAATTTGGAGGTGCAATAATTTTAACTAAAAGCAGTGCATTAAAATAAGTAGATAATGTATTGGTGGATTCAGTTGAAGTGTATAATTTAATAATAAAATAGGTATATGATTACAGAATGTAATTAAAAAATGTGTTTTTTGTTGTATGTTTAAAAGAAGAGATTTCTTTAGAAACAATAACATTTATAAATAAAGAGTTGTATTCCTCAACTATTAAAAACTTTTAAGTAAGTAGTTCAGATATCTTATTTATTAGGTTTATGGAAGTGTTGTTTATCCGACCAGGGTATGGGAACTTTTGGGTAATTTTTATGCGGAAGACATAAATGAATGGTAAATTTTCAATTTGGATCAACGATTCCTGAGATATTTAAAAATATTAATTGTAGATTTTCATAACGCAGAATTCCATTGCACTTTAACTCAAATTAGGTTAATTTTTAATTTTTATTAAAATTAGAGTCTTTGGAAAAACTGTTATTGGAGATTTAATTGATTCACATAAGAGAGATAAGGTTATTGAACCAGAGACTAAAACTAAAAATTTAACATAAGAGTAATAAGAAATTAAATTAAATGAGGTTTCAGAAGAAGAAGATCGATCAAAAAATGATACATGTTCTGTTGTTGATTATTTTTACAGCAATCAAATTTCGAAAAGAATTAAAAATTAATACATTAATGTCTTACCATATGAATCAAGACAATCACTATTTAAAGTGACTGCTCAGAATATCCTAATATTATCTCATAATGTAGAATTATTTAAAAATGAAATTAATTAAATTAAACACTTAGATATATAGTATTAAAATGAATAGGATTAAATAAAGGCATTTTAATAATAATTGATCACATCAATATCAGAATAAAAATTAATAAATGAAAGGTTAGAGAGTGAATTGTATTTTATCAATCTGAAATTGTTAACCATGTTCATTATACTAGTCGGAATAACTTCCATTTTATTGTTTATAAGTTTTTGCAATCAAAATAAATAATCATCAATTCAACAATAAAGAGTATCTATTAAAGCTTAAAGTGCAATTTTTAAATCATAGCCTGAATTGATGACTCCTAAATTCAGTGAAAATAATGCTAACACTAATACTACCAAATAAACAAAAAACTCAAATGGGAAATCAAAAAAATCACATTGATTTTTCATTAATAAATATTTTTATATATAGATATATATGTATCAACCTAATTTGATGTTCAAAAATAATATATAAAATGCAGTGTAGATGCCAAATCTTGCAGCAATTCCATACACCAAAACCGATGAAAATTTAAGTAACTAGAAGTATATTATTCTCATTACCTTTCTTGCATAAACCATAATCATATGCCATATAACTGATAGCACTCCCAATAAAATGCAATACTGCCATTCTACTATAGTGCTAGTTATCATCATGACAAGAAGTGCAAAGTGTAAGCCTACAAATAATGCAGCAACCCAGCCAGATGGAAGAGTTTTGATCATGAAATCTAAAAGTTTAATTCGATTTATATACTTCTCCAAAAATACTCTTCCAATATTCCCAAACCGACAACAAACAATGCCATAAATAACACCATGTAAGAAGTGTTTGATTCATCAAAGTATGATTTGTAGAGCTTCGTGTTTTATGCAGAGAGAAACAGGATTGTCAGTGTGAAAAAGGAAATGAAGGTTATTAAGGTAGATAAAATCAAGAGTTAGGTATTCTCCTTTTTGAAGATGAATTCACCCTCATTATTTTATTTATTATACCTGCCATGTAAAATTCCAACACTCGTTTTCCTTGTGCCAAAAAAAAAATGTAGAAGTAAATCACCAGGATTATTAGCATCATGTAGGTTAACAAACATAAGAGTGCTGAGGTTGTTATGGATAGGGCTAGTCATTATGAAAATTTCAAACTTATCCATGGAACAACCATCATCGCAAGCATTGCCAATTCTAGATAAACTTGTTGGCAAACTGAAAGTCCCAAAGGAGGCACATCATCCACGGGATTTGTGACTGTTGCTAAATCGTAACTAAGGTTCATTCTTTAACTGTAAAATATAATTTATATTAATGATTTTATTTGATCACATAATAACCATGATGCTATTGTTACTTCGTATTAATTAAGTTTTAAGCAATGTAGTTAAAAACGAAATCCATTAAATATTTTCTAATACAATTGTAAAACAAAAAAAATGTCTCTTCATTCCTCATTCGGCTATGATAGTCTTCGCTCAGCCATTTTTGCCAAAGCCATTAAAAAGTGTGAATGTACTAATCAACGTTAATATTATAGAAATTTAAAATGAGTATTATTCATCAGAAAGTTGTTCAGATATTAAGAGTAGCATCTCTTCCGATTCAGAAAAGCACATCTTTGACAGGTACTCTAACAATTTATATTATTCCTAGAGAATTTGCTTCAGAATCAGCTGAATCAAAAATTGTCTTCAATAATCAAGAATCTCCTCTCTCTTAGTTTAATACTCAACAATGAATATAAATAAATAAACAATTATACAAAAATACATAATCACTCATTCCAACTCCTAAGCTCTTCAGCTATGGATATAAACAATCTTAGAATCATATTGTATTCTCTTTTAACAAAAACAGTTATAAAATGACTACGATGATGATTTCATCGAGAATAATCTCACAGAATTCAATGTAGAATGCCGAATAAAAAATCAATAATATCTCTATTCATATTTAATTAAATTAAGACCTTTTAATAAGATAAATTCTTAATAAATATTATTATATAAATTGCTAAACATTAAGCTATATTTTATTTATAAAAAAGAATTCTTTCACAACATCAATTTAGTAATTTTTATTTAAAATTTTAAATATCTACAGATAAAATATATCTGTTTAATCTGTCATTGTTATTCCATTCTTTGAGTCTTATTGTGTTATTTATCATTGCTTCTAAATCTTTATTAAACTTTGATAGAAGAAATTGTTAAATTCTATTCTAATTATATTGGAATATCTTTTATTACACTGTCAAGAATCTGATACTATGAAGTATTTTTAAAGTAATAGAAAATCGAAAATTAGTGTTTTTAAAGTTATTAGCGAAAATAACATTACAGCTATCAAGGAGGATATGGCCAAGTGAAGCAAATACTGCTTTCTGATATTATCTCTCATGCTTCAGGACTAAGAAGGCATTTAAATTGATTGAACTATTTAGCTATCATAATAACAATATTAAAGTAAAATATCTTATTTTAAAATATAGTCAGAAGGATAATCTATCTGGTGGGTATTATATTTAGATCTTGGTAAATGAACTTTAAACGAAATAATCATTACATTTAAAGTCATAATAAATAGTTTAACTATATTTTCTTAATCATTAATATGATTTAATAAATGTGAGAATAAGAGGAAACTTAATAATAAAGATAATATAATATTTATATAATTAAAAAACTCTTTCAATTACCATAGATGTTTACTTGTTTATCAAAACTACAACTGTATATATTTTTATTAAATTCGGCAAATCTAAAATAAAATATAAAATTACTTTATCGCAGTTACAACATCTCTATGACTTTCGAATTTGAAGAATTCTTATTACTTTTTGATGTCAAACAAGTGTATATTTTTATTTTCACCTACAGCCAAGTAAGCTCCTGATGTATCATAAGAAATACTGCCTAAAGGAAATATAGAATTATATAAGACTTATGTTTTATGATTGAAACAACTTTTAGAATTAACCCGGATTTCTTAAGTCCCATTAAAACACTTCAGTTGATGATACTGATGCCAAATTAACTCCATTCTCAGAAAATGCAACCTAACTTATAGATCCCTAATATTATCGGTTTTTAGTTACTTCTTATCCTTCAAATTAAGCAACCAATTAGCCAGATGTAATCTTCCAAATTTTAATCTATGAATTTTCTTATCCAATTGCTAATAACAACCCATCTGGATGTATACCAACAGATGTAAATTAACATTATCCTTCAAAATCAGTTACTCTACTAATTTATTAACCAGATCTTAAATCATATAACAACAAAAGACCTCCAGATGTCACAATAATAGCAATGTAGCCAAGAGGATGAATAGCTAATCCAGTGATATTCTGTCCTACTTTCACTGTTTAGGTTACTACTCCCTCATTAGTTTCGGTGTTAAATTAATAAATGACCAAGTCTCCATCTGAAGTTGATGAAACAAATCTTAAATGTTCATCAGTTGTAAAAAATTTAATTGTATTTATTCGCTGATTGCTTTATTGATTCTTATACAACAATGTTTCGGAACGATACAGTGAAACTAAACCTGCTTATCCTCCTACTATCACATAATTTGCTTAGATATCTAATGAAGTGCCACCTTAAGTTTAAGTGTGTTATTACTTGATCTCATAATTTGACAAAATCTAAAATAATGAATTTGAGTACCTAAGGACTAGGAAACTATTCAAAATATGATTATTGCTTTCTTAATAATTTTCTTTGGCTTGTTAATTTTAACGCGGTTTATTCTATATCAGTCACATAATTTGCTGATAACTTTTCAGTAACATCATTGGTTTCTACTTCTACTTTATGATTTAATTTATTTTGTAATTGCGCTAATTCTATTCTTGCTTGATCTCTCTCTTTTATTAGCTTTGCTATCACACGACATGCAGCATCATGTTAATATAAGGCATGTGTTAATTCGTGTCTTACTTATTCCAAATGCTATTTCAATTAGAATTGTTCCAACAACAAAGCATCCCATTCGTTTTGTAAAAGGGAAAGCAATGAAGGTATTGAGGTAGCAGTCACTGGTCTGGGTTTTTACACTTTGGCCACTTTCACCTTAATCTTAAAAAATATCATAATACCTCTATCAGATCATCAAAATTCAAAGGTCTTCCTGTTATTGGACATGTGCCTGTGCTTTCAATATGTTTTTCAATCAATCTTTTTTCGTAGATATGTCCACTCACTTTGGATATTACTGGGGTTTCTATTAATTCACCAGATAATGCACAAGTTTACCAGGATTACATATATTAATGATATGAATATATTTGAATATTTAATAAACTTATGTTAATCATCATTATTTTGTAATTTCTGTCTTAAGATTATCAAATGAATCCACAGGTACATATTATGCAAGTGTGTAATACTTTCCTTTACCATCATCCTCTTCCTTCTTCTTTCTTTGCAATCTAACCCTAATTCTTCTTGGTAAATTACGAATTCCTCTTGCCCAAATAGCCTCATTTAATTATGGATCAACTCTCACATCATCAGTTAACATATTTTTTTAAGCTAAACAATCCCTTCACTTTTTACCAAATCTAACAATGTGACTCACTGCTCTAGGTGCCTTTCTTTTGAAAGTCTCCTTGTGAACAGCTTTATGAAGATTTATAGTATAGTCTCTGCTCACTTCCCCTAAAGGATTAGGCTTTCCCTTCTCTTTCTTTCCCATTAATTAAAATCTTTAAAAATTAATTTTAAAAAAGTAAGTAATCATCATATATATTTACTATTCTAAATAATTGATCTTCCTGACTATCTTGGAGTTTGATTAACTGACATTACTGAACCACTTCGCGATTTTGCATTTTAGTTTCCACTGTTGAATAGGTTCACCTTTTCATTGTAAATAATACTTATTTTAAAATCGATTGCAAATAAATATTCTTCCTTCTTAGAACACAATTTACTGAAGTACTTGGAGATACCCTTTGAGAAATTGCAGGTTGTCCTTACATTATTTTGGACTATTAGCCTTGTTATTCTAGCATTATCAGTTATATTGGATAAAGCTATTTCCTATGTTATTTCCTACGCCTCATATTTACATCTTCTAAGTCACTCTAGTTAACACTCTAGTTAACACTCAATTTCCTCTCTCTTATTAACTCAGTCTATTAGGACAATTTATTCTTATAACTCGGTTTCTTATTGAGCGTCTTGTATTTCAGTTAAGAAAACCTTTAACCCTAATGTGGTTTGAGAGCATCTCCAAATTCTGATGATGAATTAATTTCCCATCCTTGGATAATATCTTAAATTTTTAACATTAAATATATTATGCACATTATTTAATATATTTTAGTGAAATAACTAATCCTAACTTTTTTATACTTTCTAAAATTTTAAAGCTCAGAAGTTAGTGAAATAGAAATAGAATCTTAATACAATATCTTAGCTAATTTCAAGGTGGAAGAAGGAATTGTGTGTTTTCCTTTGAAGAAATAGCAATTTCATATGTATTAAAGGATTTTAAGATTACAAAATTGGATTCTATTCTATGCTTGTTTAAACAAATAATCTTAAAATATTTTCAATCATCATTCTTTATTTACTCCTTGTTAAACATTTTGTAGGTCTCAGTAATTAAAAATAAAAATTAAATGTAAATTATCTCCAAATTTAGAGGAATGTTTAATCCATTTATTGATATAATGTTAAGCTTGTTGAAATGCCGTTGGTTCTAAAAAATATTATCATTTCTCTTTTTCTTAATTTTCATTATTTACAACTAATTACATTTTTAATTTTATCACCCAAAGCAGAGGACTTTATTTTTCCTTAGGCCCTTACTTATGAAGAGTTATTAGGTTAGGTTATGCTAAAGAAAAATCTCTATTTAAATCTAAGCTTCTTATCATTATTAAATTAGATTGGTTTTCATAATATATTATTTAGATCTGCAATTAAGGAAGTCGAAATTAATTGTAAATAGATAAACTTATTGAATAGGTTTATCCTTATAGTCATTTTCATGTTTGGGTTGATAATATTGTATAAAATAGGAGAGTTTCTTTTGAAAGTATTTTATATAAAAAAGATATTAATTTATGGTTTACAAAATCAGAAATAAGTCATTCTTCTGGACTAGAGCAGGATGGAAAAACAATTGGCATCCTAAGAATTTTAATGCCCCAAGACCATCAAGCTCTGAATTCACCATCGGTATTAGATGTCGTTATGATCATAATTCATTTTTGAGAGGCAATGAAATAAATTTTATTTATTAGCTTACCATTCATACAGAAAGATCTCTAGACACTGTAAGTAGTACTTCTTTGGCAACAAGGAATTGGAAGAATTATTTTAGATGGGTTTGAGAACATTTTTCATTGTGCCACACATTGCTGAATGTCAAGTCACTCAAATCAAGCATGGTGGTGAAAGAAGAATGGTTGATTAAATCGATAGAGATTTTGAATTGGTATCTTACAATTCTCATCCATATTAATTGTTTACATACTCTGTTTGGAATTAATATTTAGCCAATCAACAAGAAGCTTATGAATAGAGAAAGAATGGTGGCCAGGCTATTGAGGATCAAGTGATCGATCATATTAGGTATGTATTTTAAGTACTATTCCGAAGTGAATTGGTGAAGGATGAAAAAGCTAAATTGGGAGCTGGAAAACAATTGAGCATTGAGAAAACAGCAGAGATTGTCATGAATGTGATGAGACAATTGAGAGCAGCCCAATAGAGACCCAATCTTAATAATAGGTAGAGATTTAACTTTTATAGGGAAGACGTGCTGATGGAGAATTTGATGACTTCCTTGAGTAAAGAAGACCATTCACAGCTCCAAATAACTAATCAGCTACTCATTGAGCTGATTATATTAAAAACAATATATAACAACTTATTAATTATATTATTTATGTATTATTTCAATATTGTAAAGCTTCCTAAGCATAAAATTTAACGTCTCTGTCGTTGTCATCGGTCATTTCATTTATTGCTCTACATTACTATTAAATCTATACTATTTTATTTGATTCAGAGTGCCTTGATGGTCAATCTTTTTTGATAATGTCTTTGCCACCTTTATACTAACAAATCTAATATTCGGAACGACGTCCTTCATGCACTTCTATACGATTGGCCATAACTTATCCGTGATTGTAGGCCCATCAGCCACTAAGCCAATTTGTTAAATAGCATATAAGGCATTCATCCTATACAAGAAACCAGTATCCTTATTGAGAGTTTCCAAGCATTTAGACAAAAAGCTTCCCAATGCCCAATCAATTTTGTAGGTTTAGATTAGATCATTCAATCTGCTCAACCCTATAGTTCTAACTTCAGCTGCTCTGTCCTTCAAAAACATAACATAGACTGGTTCTAATTGCTTGATGAATACTTCTGAATTCTTAATTGTTCTAAGATGATAAATCAGAAATACAATGCAAGTTGAATGACTGTTTATATGATTTCTTTTCTGACTCTCCATTTAGGATCCTCCATGCATTTTTTCAAATGAGGAATGAATTACCCTAAAGAATCAGAACCAAGTGCAGCTGCAAAAACACCAACTGATTAAGCTGCATTCTTTCTTACATCCTAATTGTCATCACTCATTAATTCAATTAGGTAGGATTGCAATTTGCTTTAACTATTATCTCGAGGTAAAATAGTAGCAATCTATCCAATAACTAAACAGGCCATTTCTGATAATTATCAATAAGTATTTACATTTCACTTATGCAAATGCATCCTTAGCTAATAATTATAATAATGGAATTATAAGATTTAGTTTCTCTGGAGATACAAATTTAATAAATTTAGCCAGACTTTTCACAGCTACAACTCTAACATCACTCTCAGGATCTTTTAATAAGTTAGAAAAGATCTAAATTAAAGAGGAGTCTGCAATCTCTTTACCCACAGCTTCAGCTAACTTAATATTTTTAGTTAATAAAGTACTTCTGCAAATATCTTAGACAATGCCAATCTTACTCTCCATGATTTATCTTCTGCTGAAGATATGATCAGTGGCAATATGTTTGTTTTATTTTCATTGATATTAAGGATGTTAGCAATGTTCATTATGCTTTCCATACACAATAATCTAACTTAATCTTATTCATCTTAGCATAATTATTTCAAAACAGTTATCAAAACTTCAATAACATGATTTTTATCCATGTATTATGCAATTTCACCTATTTTTGTTGCCACTGCTCTTCGAACCATGGGTGTTTCTTCACTGCATAGCTCAGTGAATTTTCTAATAGGTTAGTTTACATTAAGTACTATCTAAGTTTTTCTTTCTAATTTCCAGCTCTAGCATACATGGGACACATTAAGCTAACAGCAGACACTCTACATGTGAAATTGGCTTCATTTGATGCTAGTTTTAGAATCTAGAAATCCTTTAAAACTTTTTACCAATGGGACTATTGTGTTAGAAATTTCATTGTCTCCCAAAAAGCCACACACAATAATAATTGATTTAACAGCTTATTCTCTTACAACAGTCTCATCAAATCCAGCCAATTGCTCCAAAATAGGCAATAAGCATATCGATTATTATGGAATTATTTGACTAAATAAACCTATTCAAATACGCAATGTAGCCTAGCTCTTCTGCCATAGCAAATAAGACTTCATCATCTTCCTTTTTCATTAAAGCTGCAAATTTATTATCATATAGTTACTTTCAAAATATGGCAAAAGAACAGACTTTATTTTATCTGTCCCTAAAAGCGTTGCGATAACTCTAACTCTGTGCATCGCATTGACCTTTAGATACAATTCCTCGTTTTCCATATCATCCTTAAAAATATCCATTGGATTATCACCCATTATTGATTGATTTAAATCTTTAATTATATATTATATTTTTTATAGATTCAATTTACATACTCTGACAATCCCATGTCTGCAGCCTCCTACAATGCTTTACTTAACATATCCTAAACAAAGGTCTAGTCTGATTTTAAAGACAAAGATTTGTGATAATAATGAATTGCCTTGCTCAGACTGTTTGGCAACTCACTCAAATGATAAGAAAATGCCAAGCCAAAAAATATTTATGGAGAAACTGAATTTAACTACAATAAATCTCATTTAATTACCTAGATGCACTTTTCAAATATTTATATTGCATTTTTATAATCCCTTTATTTCCTAAAGGAGTGTCCCAAATTCTAAAGTGCAGATTCCCTGATCTTGTGATTTGAATTTTGACAGAACACTAAAGCATTCAAGAAATACTATATTCACATTATATCTTACATCTTTGGCTTCATTATATTTCTTCTGTTTATAAGCAATGACTCCCAATTCATTTTGAATCATGGGATCAGTAGGATTGATGTCCTTAGCCTATTACAAAGACAAGATTGCAGTCTACAAATTGTTTGTCCTCAAATACTCCATTCCAATATAAACATGTGCTTGATAACAACCAGGGAATTGTCGAGTGATCGATCTGTATATTGACATGGCCTAATCTGATTCATCTTGAATAGCATAAGAATGTGCCAACCCTATCCAACTGTAAATAAGATGTTAATTTAATTGTATGGATTTCTGAAACTATTTTCTTGCGACTTCGTATTTCTTCGTTGAGAAATAGTACACTCCAACAACAAACCAACTCAAAGCATTTGAAGCATAGTTCTCTATCAAATTATGAGCACAAAAATATAATTCGGCTATCTAATCCAATTCCAATAAGCATGACACATAAGTTGGAATCACATCAAAATACAATGGATCTTACTTAATAGCTTTTAATGACCAATCATATGCAGATGCTATATCATAACTATAATATGCCTTCTTAGCCTTAACATTCAGAATGTCAATGTTATTCTTCTTGTCCAATGTTAAGTAGACTAAATCATTTTGAATTGGAATTTCCTCCTTTCTAATGTAAGGACTTCTTATGGGTGATGGTTTCAAATGTTGAGTCTCCACTTTATCCACTATCTGCAATTACTAAGATATCTTTCTTTTCTCTTCTTACAAGTGATCTGCTAATTTCTGATTCCCAATGTCACAATTTATCGTCTTGCTTACATAATAGTCTTTCAACCAAGCTTCATCTGAGCTTAGTTATATCTATTGGATGAGGTTCTCCTTCTCATCAGAAGAGATTAAATAGGAATCCACTAATTATTAGAAAACTCGCACATTTGTTGGAGTCTTCTATAAGCACTCATAGTAATTTGAAACTGCCAATTATTTATTTTCTAGTGCCTCATAACATTGTCCTCTTATCCAATCACTTTAGGACGTTATTTCATCTTGCAATATCTCTATTCCTAATTCATATTGCTTGTTTGCATACAAGGCTCTAGCGGCTAACACTGCAAAATCACCTTGTGTAAGTTTGTGCTTTAAAAACAAATTATATACTCCAGAATATTCAGCATTTGAAAAATGACACTAAAATTATTATAGTAAGTAATATTACAATTCCAAGCATAAATACCAAATATGCCTATATATTTTAATCCTGATTCAGGCATAATAACTTCTCAGCAAAAAAGATAGCCTACTTGTATTACCCCTAAAGATAGCTACTAATTCCCAATTAATAAATGTTCATAAATGATGGATTGTTTAACAATTGATTTGTAAAAATTGAGTTCGAAGAAGGATTAAAATAAGGAAGTTGAACTTCATAGTACATGTTTGAGTATTTCTAAGGTTCGCTAGCTTATCTGATTATTTTTGATGTCTTTTTTTGAATTGACATTAAACTATTATGTTTAAAATTTGAATTTTTATATTAATTTTATGCTCACTCTAATTATATTTACTAATGTCCATTTATTTTAGGAATAAAAGTTATGGCCAACTTAATTCAAATTAAATTCAATTGTTTCGACAAATAAATTGAGAATAAACTTTAAAATATTACAATGTCAAATTTCGAATTAGAAATGAAAATTGCATTACTTTGTTGATATCAGAACTCAAGATGTTTAAATGATAACACTGAATCTTTATATGTAAATGATTCATCAAAATAAAGATTTATGAAATGTCTTCATTCTGATCTATTAATAGGTTAATTAATCTTCATATTATTTGTCTCTTTAATTGTTGTGTGTAAGTAATTTATTCTATTGGATGAGTGGATATCAATTTTATATAATTATTTATAATCTATCATCTTATAAGTTTTATAAATTGCTCATAATAAATTTATAATTTGTAAAAATTTTTACTTCTTTGAACCTAATAGAGACATATAAAAGCTTAAGCTCAATGTAAATATCGTTGTCGGCCATACTAAGCCTAAAGCACCGGATCCCATTCGAACTCCGAAGTTAAGCGGCTTAAGGCGAGGTTAGTACTAAGGTGGGGGACCGCTTGGGAAGTCCTCGTGTTGACAACCCTTTTTTTATTTTATTTTATAGTTATAAAATTTAATTAAAATTTATCAAAATTATTATTATATTAATAATCTGCATATATTTTTACAAATTTATTATCATTCTAAATTTTGAGTTTATGAATAAATAAATTGAAAATGAGAAAACTTAATTGATTAGAGTTTGGATTGTTCATTGGTATACCTCTTTGAAATAAAATCTTGATATTTTAGAATATTTAGTGGATAAAATAGTTTATCAGGTTTAAAGACATAATTGTAATAAATATTATTGATTTATCAAGATATGAGGAATAAAAAGGAATCCAATATTCTTAGTAGATATCTTGGGCTAATACCTTGTAAAATAATAAAATAAAATGGGTTCGTTTTTTATTGAATAAAATCGAGATGATTTTATTTGGTTTTATATCAATTACTATTTTATAAAGTGAGAGAAAGATGAAAAAAAAGAACAAAAACAGTATTTTCCATTTTTTATATGAATAAATCAAATATCAAAATTTGATGGATAACCAATTTTTTTCTTCATTAGTTGATATTTAGATTCAATTTACAAGAATTTAGATATATATAATGAACAAAGTTTATATAATTTGATAAAATTATATATGCATAATTAATGATAATTTAGAATTTTTTCGAATGACATTCCAAAAAGTTCTTATATGTTCATATGAATATATTGTTGGAAGCTAGAAAAAATAATTTTATTTTATGAATAATCACCAACTTTATAGAGTTGAATATAACAAATCCATGTCAGAATAGAAATTAAATACCTTTAGAAAATATTGTGAGCTTTCTTTAGAATAAAAGAAAGATCTGGAATGTTTTACTCTAATCAAGCATTTCATAAATAAGTAAGATGATTACTAGGATACTGATTCTTCTAATGCTTCCAGTGCTTCTGAGACTTCAAATACGGTGCACATGGAAGGAAATGAATAGCAATAGATATGCATACAAATGTTTGATATTATAAGATAAATGAAAAGAGCAGTAAAACAATCTTAAAAATTATGTTCCTCCAAGATAAAAAAATTAAATAAGGTTATAGAAAAGAGAAATAAAGAAATCAACATGATTAAAATTAGACTTGGTCTGTAGTGAATAAAACTATTACTATATAGTTAATTAAATGTAAAATACATTTATATAAATTAATCACTTTTCTAACTCAAAATTAATTATGAATTCATTAATATCTTAATTATCGTCTTCTGTTTTTAACTTAAATTACTATAATTACAATTATATACCAATTGTTTAAGTGATCTTTGGTTAAACTTTTCTTTCGATGCAAGACTCTTGATCTACAGAGATTAAGTTTCAATCAATTTGAATAATTTCTCAACAACTTTTTCTGGATCAACTTGTGAACCAGAGTCATTTGAAAATAATCTTTTTCTTATCAAGTTTATGCTATTGGAATCTTTTTTTATCATGTCTGTTACTTTATCAGAAGCGATGGCTTCTTTTAAAATCTAGTGTTCGTCCTCTTGTTTAAACTGAAATTTAAATAAGGAATTTACATTTCTTTATTGTTTTTTCATATCTTTTTCTCTGTTTTAATATCCCAAAATCACACTTGATTGATTATCAATGTATTTAACCAATCTATCATAGATTTTATCAGGATCGAATTTAAGATTGACTTCTTCAGGGAAGTATTTTCTTTATAATAAATTCGCACTAACGATAACTTTCCTAAGATATGCTTATAGTTTTTCATTAGATGAAATTTAAATCATTTTTTCTAAATTGGATAACATTTCTATAGGATCGACCAAATTTGCTCTTGGTCCATCATCCATTTTATCAGGTAAGAGAGCTTTGGCTTTTGTCGTCCAATTGCAATAAACATTCATGATTTTTTTGAATAAGGTCATGTACATTTCTTTGTATTATTCAAGTTCTTTGTTTGGTTAATCTTAATTCTGATTTTGGTTGGATGATTACTAAACTTTATACATAGACAAATCTTAAATTTTTGATTCAAACTCTCTTTTTTATTATTGTAAGGATTTTTCAAGAAATCTCTTGTCTTCTTCTAAATCTGCTGTTTTCTTGGTGAGTGTTAAAACAGTGTTTTCAAAATACTCATATCTATCAATAATCTTCTCAGCTGAAAAGTCCACAAATTTTTTAGTCATAATTCTGTATTCTGGTAAAAACTTTTCGAGATCAACACTGACCCGTTTGATATCATCCAATTGGACTTTTGATTATTTTAATTCTTTTTATAATTGCTAATTTTTAAAGTTTAGACTTTCATTGGATGATTGCAATTCAAAGATTTTGTTTTTTGCCATTTCTAATTAATCTTTGAGTTCAGAACTAAGTTTGATGAAATAAATACTTTTCTCTTATGAATTTATCAACCTAATTTAACATTTGTAAGCTAATCCCATGTAATAATGCTTTAGATTCAGCAAGGATTTTATCCTTAGCAACGTTTTGAATCATCTGATGTAGAGTTTGTTCAGCCCTTTATTTGATGTCCATAATATTTTTTCTCCTAGGATTCATGGTTGCAATTTCAGAAGCATTTTTCACAAGTCCATCTATAATTTTCCTGGGTTGAAAACTTTGAGTTTTGAGCATTAATTTCCGTTACAAATTTTGGGATGTTACTTTTGTTTTGGTGTTCAAAGCACTCTTATATAATGGAAAACATTAGTTACATTAACTTATTGTTTTAGTTCATCATCCAATGCTTCTGGTTTTGTGTAAATGTAATTGCCAAAGGCATCAAAAACTATGCGATGAAAGTTCTTTCTGAATTGATCGTATTCATCGACATTTATCTTCAACTCCTTATCGAAGTAATCTTCAGGACCGTCTATTTCAGCTTGATCATTCTTCACTCTCAAATTGCAAGTCCCAACTTCTGATTTACTAATCCCTTCGACTCTTTTCCTTTCCTGCAATTTTTTTAAGCTCCTGGGTGTAAGACTGGTGGGATTCGTATATCTATTGTTTTTAATGGATGTATCGAGACCATCCTCAGAAGGTTAAGACATCCTAATCTCTATGATCAAATAGTACAATATTTATTTTGTGTGAGTCAGTGCAGTTTATGGTCTAGTGTACGACGTCTAAACTGATTAAGGAGTTTTTGTTACGGAATTATGCATTATAATAATAAAAATTATCAAGAACCCAAAATTTTTGTTATTCCAAGCAAATTATTCATAACTTTATGTTTCAATAATTGGCAATCCAGCTGACATTTCTGGTCTCGAAGTGATTGACTCAACAATATGAATTTAGATGATGATGATGATCTATTAAATATAAAGTGTTATATAATTTTCGGAAATTTAGAGATATAATAATAAAAAATATGTTTTCACTTCCAGGAAGCAAATAACGCATTTTGTTACCACAAAGACACAAGACTATTTGCTTCAAACCAGAAGTATAAGTAACCCAAAAACTGAAACACGCCAAGGCTCTTCACCCATTTCATTAATAGTTGAAACCCATCTCGTCTAAATGCTTAGAATATGCTCTTTCAACCAGGTAGGAAGATTAGACTATTATAAGTTCAAGTGAATCAGAAGGAGAATGTGAGAACAACAAAAGTTGTCATTGCAAGGATTGTGGACATTAATCCCAAAAAATGAAACATATCAAAAAGAAATATCGACGTTTCAGTCCTGTGATGCATGGTAAAATGAGAGAAAGGAGAAATAAACTCAAACAGAAATTTAAAAATGCAGTTTATGTTATTATGTGGATGCTAAAATTAGTGATTCTGAGAAAGAAAAAACCTGTGATAATCAAAAAAATAGTGAGATTGAAAACCAAATTGTTTGAAACTCCTCCAGAACCACCCCAACAAGACCAGTAGATTATTTATCTAGAAGTATTATCATAATTCTATGTGTGAAGCCTATCCAGCCAGTGCAAGTTTAAATGATTGATTTTAAACACAAGCAGCGATAATCAATTGTCAACTATCTCAACAATAAATTGCATGATTAAGAACCCCATCTAAATAAATATCAGTTATCACTTACTAAAATAAGACAACAAAATAATCTCTCCAGTAGCCATTCCAGATTACTGCTAAAACCATTGAAAACCTAAAATTGTGAAGTTCTAACTCCACAAAGAAATTAACTGCATTCTATCATACACAAGGCTACCCCTCCACATCAATCCTCAAATTCGCCATATCTAAAATAACCCCCTTTAACTACAAGATCAAAATATTTATAAACTAGACTTTTCCTATCTGGCAGATATTGATTTTGTGAATAGTTTACACTATGTAAATTGCAAATATATGTTATAAGTTATAATTTCGATATTTTTTTGAAACTAAAAGTTAATTATTACAAGCTAAATTCTAATAGAAAAATATTATATATATATCTAAACAACATATTATTATGAACTCTGTTCTACACAAAATTTTAATAAAGAAGGTATTAATTTTTAATACTATAAAATTTATAGTACCTTTTTATGAATTTTTACTCTAATAATAATTATAATATAACATCTAAAGAAGATTTAATGATTCTCTAATATTATCTCAATATCAATCTTAAACTAGATTGAACAAACAAACTGTGGAATGAAATAAAAAGAAATTGATATTGCATTTTAATGAATTTAAATTTAAAACGTTCATAAATATAATAATCTCAATTACCTTTTTCTTTAATTTTTTTATAAACATTGTCTTAGTATTTAATTTACTTTTTGATTTCTTTATACCTGTTACAAAGTAAAAACAAAATAAAGGTTAGGATTAATAAAAGTAGTACTAAAATGATGCCCAAAATAATAACAGCTTCATAATCTGCCTTGTTGGTCTCATACTATGTTCATAACTCTAATTAGAGTACCTACAAATTCATTGAGAAATCTACCAAAATCCCTTCTTAAGAAGTAATATATCTATTATAAATTATAAATGCAGGAGTGATAAGTGTTTCAGGTTTTTAGATTATAACAGGGTATAGAAAATTGGAAATGGTTAGATTTTAGAAGCCATCGCATATGAGAAACGGCAATTAGGAATGATTCCCATTGATGTTTTGTTTGAGATGGGAAGTGACAATCTATTAGCATTGATATTCATCATCTTCAATAAAGATATTTTCCTTAAGGCAATCCTAGTAGTTTAATTTTAAAACAGCCACACAATGATACTCGTAAGAGGAGGAATCTGGAATGTAAAGTAATGTGTAAGGGTGATTGGCTGATATGCTAAGATTGAAGTTGAGGTTCCCGAATTAATAGTTTGTTGTGAATTGCTTAATGATGGACAGATGAACGACTGCTTGTTCTTGTTTTTTAATCGAATATGACTGTGATATAAGAGTAGCGTGAGCCACACAAAATAACAAATAAATAATCATTTTATAATAATGAATAAAAGTATGAGTTATTATTATTTATAATATTAAATAACTGATAATGTTTAGCAAGAATAGACAGGAATAGTTGAGAACATTCATGGCAGAAAATCAGGATCCGATGATTTTGACAAGCATGCTTCAATAGTTGAATTATTGTGTGGACAGATGCTCATAGGAGTTGGCTTAGGGAAACAATGAGATAAAGAATGTGTAGGTGGATAAGAAGTTGAAGAGCGAAAGGACAAAAAGGGCTGTTAGTTAGGACAATACGTGTTACAATCCTCTGTGGTTGATAAATAAGGACAAGAGAAGAATTGTTGAGCGACATAATTAAGAATTTAATACATTTTTACCTTAAGTAAGTAGATTGATTTGAATTTGAGAGTTTGTTTGGACTGAAAAGGACAAGGAACAAGAGTAGCCAAATCAAAGATTGAAACCTTTGGCTCCAATAAAGGGCACCATCAACAGGCCAAGGATACTGTTGCCGAAAGAGATACGCAAAAACCCATTGAATCAAAGGAAAAGAATTTACGAAAGTTTGATTTATAAAGAAGGTCTATGCAATTTGATAAATAAGGGATTAATTGACAAACACATCGATGTGAGTCCAGCTTTCGAGTTTAGTTTGATGCTAATGTGATAAAACGGATATGCATTATTAATTTTAATGAAAATAGTATTATTGCTATGCATGATGATGGCTGTCTCTTTGGGAATTTCATCTAAATTAAGTCATGCTAAGAAGTTGGAAGAACTTCGCGGTAGCAAACTGGGCAAGACTATTTTAAATTTAGTGAATCTTCATTCTTCAGTAGAGGGACCCATTTCTGAACTGATAGAAGCAATAGAGGAGTTAGTAAGATTAACAATAATAATAGATAGCTGACATCAACACCAATATTGATGAAGTGGAATACAAATTTTAAGTACGCACAAATGAGCATAATTCCTATGTGGCTCAGGTTGGACAACAATTGCAAGATGCTGAATAAGACATTGCAAGAATGATAGATGTCATTGATAACCTATTGATTCCAAGAAGAGATCAAATAAGAAATAAAATAGAATCCCTCATTTAATATGATGAGTTTAATAGAAAAAACGTAGATGAAACTACACTCCTCAGAGAATAGGAACATGAAGCATACCTCTAATAAATAGAGGAAGACAACGATGCACTTGATGCTATTGACGATGCAATCAATTTGGTAAGTTCTTTATCAAATCCATCCTTATTACAAATTAAGAATATCAAATTTACATTGAAAAGATTGTCATCCAAATAATGGAATCGTGTTCATCAAGGACCTACCCATGGTACAAGCTTTACTTTAGATTGCATTAAACTAAAATTTTAGTGACTAAGGAATATTGAAACAGATCGTTGATGCATTAAATGAATTCAGAAATCAAGTTGTCGAAGCTATGAATGCATTAACTAAACAAGAGTAAGTTAATATTCAAGAGTTTGAAGAAAGATTAGAACAGCTGGATGATGAACATCGAGAATTCCAAAGATAAATCAATCAAGCTCAAGTTGAGTTGGATGCTACTGATCGTATTTTTATTTCACTATTTTATATAGAAAAACTAGAAGATTGCAATCAATTCCTTGTTCAGAGATAGGCTGACAGATTATAATACTAATCCTAATTGGATCTAGAAAATGAAACCTATGCTGTTGACACTGACATTTATACTCAAACTGCTAATGAACTCCAAAGGGAATTGCCTATTGCAGAATAAGGATTATCGCTAATAAAATCAGCCGATTTTTCTGATATTAAGATATGAATCATAATAAATAATTATTTATTTAATAATGAAAAGCAAAATAAAAAAATAACCACCTTAATATGCCCTCAAATTAACAAAATTAAATTAACCTCTTGATTCCAAAAATCTCAAAGTACTCAATCTATAAGGATTATAATTATAACAAATCGATATCAAAGTGGACAATCTACTAACTCTTATTTTAGATAGTAACAATCTTAAGAATGTAGACATCATTTCTCAATTTCCCAATTTAAACACTTTGTCAATAGCTCATAATCAAATAGAAGAATTCGATGTCCCCTCAAGTATTTTACTCAATATTATAAAGCTCTTAGGATATTAAATATATCTAATAATCTCTTAAAGACTATCCATCTAAGATAATTATAACAGCTGGATGCCAGTTCCAATTAATTATAAATCCTTAAATAAGATTAATAAAACAATCTCGTATAGTTTAAAATAGATTGGTTAAAAATAATAAATTAAAATGATGTCTGGGAACATTTAACAATTAAATAATTTGCAAATTAATAATAAATTACATTCCAATAATTTTTAGACAAAGCAATCGATTTACTAATACAATATGGGTTTAAAAAAGAGAATAATTGTTTCAATTAATAGATTATACACACTTCCATACTCTAAAATGATAAATATTATTTTGATTTAATCTTACCCTATTACAAAGATAATCGGCATCTTTTTGATAATTCTGAAACTCCTTTGAGTTTGGCAATCAAAAAACTAAAAATGAACTTTATCGGAGATCTCATGAGTAGCATACCTATCAAATACGAAATCGATGCATTTCATGAATCCATTAAATAAGGACAAGTATCTCTAGTAAAGCAATTTCTAGAGTTGGGAATCGATTGTAATGGTTATAGTTAAAAGGGGTTGACTCCCCTAACCAATGCAGTCTTGAACATTACCTAAATGAATATGGAAATGATCATTCATCTGCTCCTTTAAAGTTAAGCTAATCCAAACAAATTAAATTAAAATGGATAATCATTAATCTAAATGTGCATTATTAAATCCAATCTTACTGCACTAAGATTCATTGCAAATCTAAATAAAAAAAAACAAACTAGGTTGAAGTTTAAAATGAACATTAAAAATACTAACGGAGATTATCCTTTGCATTTAGCTGTGAATAGTGTCAGCATCCTCTAGTTTCTGCTCAATAATTAAATTGGAAATCCTCTGTAAGTTAATTATTAGAATCTAACAGCCAAACAAATGCCATTCTCTTAGAATAGACCCCTTGTGTATAAATTGCTCCAAAAAGAAGAGAGAGTTTAAGTAGCAAAGTAGTTAGCTAAAAATGATATTACATTTCGAGTGTTGAACAAGTGTTAAAACACCTAAAAGGATTATAGTAGTGACAGTTCTTGTCCTGAGTTATCTGATGATGAAATGCCCAATAAACCAAAAATTAATAGAAAATATCTCACTGAAATTGATTAATTAAGTGAAGATATCAGACAGCTATCCGAAGATGAAGAGTGTTAACATAATTGCAGTTCTGAATCAGAAATATAGTACCCAAAAGATAATTTAAAGTCCCTCAAATTAGTTCAATTAAACTACTAAAATTATCAACTATATAAACTCAATTCACATGTTAGATAGAGCAGTATATTAATTAATAAAATCAATAAGAAAAGATTAAATGCAGATTAGTTTAATTATTATTCGAGGCAAGGGTAAAACTTTAAAGAAAAAACAACTTCCTTAGTTTGTCTAAGACAAGAACTACTCTTTTTGGGATAGATAAGATAATACTAAGATCTAATTTGTTCTGATTTTGGCTTCATACATCAATAAACTCAGTCAGGCTATACTCAACTTAGAGTCGGAGTTTCAAAAGGATTTGCTTAAAGATTATATGAATTTTTAATAAGTTTAATTTTTAATATGAGTTACTTTAGTGATATCAATATTAATTATTTTATGTAGAGTATTTAAGAGTCAATTATTGATAAATACCCTGATAGAGTGTATGATTACTACAAATAATTCTTAGCCCAATTTTAGTTGAAACAATAGATAAATCTAAACTTCGATTTTCGGATGGATCAAAATTCAAAAAGTATTTGGTTGAGAAATCAGATCACTTTTATCACTTTTTTTTAATACTAAGAAACACTTTAAAATTGTCAAAGTAAGAATCCATCTATTTATTTGTGAACAATACGGGATTGATCAAACCAGGTAATTAAATTTTCATATTCAGAAAGTTAAGTTGGAGAAGTCTATTCAAAATATCGTAGCAAAGATGGGTTTTTAAGAATCATCTTAAGTGAATATGCTACATTTGGAAATTGTTGAGGATCGATTATTTATTTCTAAATAATTTTTATTATTGTTTTAAAAATTATATAAATTCAGAGAAAATGTTAAATTCTATTTTCAATGAATTCAAATTATACTCCCCTATCCTTACAGTAAATTATTTTAGTCAATACCATTTACTTTTAGAATGAATTTTTTATTCTCTAAATTTCCAATATCAGAAATATTTTACGATCCTAATCATTGTGAATAAAAATAGAGAAATATTTGTTTTTAAAAAATATAAAATCAAAAGGAAATACTTATAAATTAATTTGATCAGAACATTAAATTGTAAAATGCTTTCTTGATTTTATTTTTATCATTTTTATTATCTATTACTTCTTAATCTTTTAAGGTGTTAATTCTCATTATGAATACTGTTTTTCAAATCTTTTGAATAACTGGCTTCATTTCACCTTTTATATGTTGGAATATATCATGTAATATCATTTTTATTTTTTAATTATTGTTAATCCACCAATTAGGTCTATTCGTTCTTCGCTTTTTTTCATAATAAATTAATAACAATAAAAAGCAACCTTAAGAATGATGATATTGCAATAAATATCCATGATGTATCAATTAGTAAAATCCACTCTACTTAATATAATATTCGGAGTATGAAGAATGCTAAAATAATTTATAGCAAAAATCTCTAGAGGAATAAGGTTAGACACTGGAATAAAAGTAAAATTGAGATGAATCAACGAATATCTTAATACTGCTAGATGAGATCAATTATAATGATATTTTTATACATATTTATACGATATTATATTTGTTGATTTAGTAATAATGGAAAACTAACATCCATTCATCGTACTTCTTCTGGGAGACTGCAATACAGGGAAATCAACAATAGTGGGGAGATATTTGGAGAACAAATTAGTTGAACCATAACCAACAGTTGGAATAGTAAAGCGAGAGAGTCAAATAGAAATTGGTAACAGCAATTAGAAAGCTTAAGTATTTTTGTTAGTTATTTAGATATACGACACATCTGGGAATGAAAAATTTAGAGCCTAAGTTTTGGCTGAATTTAAGAATTCATCAGCTGTGGTATTGGTTTATGATATAACTGATTATCAAAGCTTTTAAAATGTGCAGACGTTACAGAAAGGTATTGAGTAGATTGATTCTGATTTAGAGGTGGCAAGATCGAATCCAAATATTGATTATTGGATAGTTGTGGGAAACAAGTTGGATTTGAAGGAGCAAAGAAAAGTTCATATGGATGAAGGAAAGAAGTTTGCATCAGCGATTGGGGCTAGATTTATGGAATGCTCAGCTTAACAACCGAGCAATATCAATTTGATATTCTTGACGATTCAACAATGGACTTAGATTAATATTTAACCGAAATATGTCCCAGAGCAAACTCAAAGACTTTTGGAGAAATTGAATAATGATGAGCAACAAAAGCAACTGTAGACTTCTACCTCGAAAAACAATTAAACAAAATTCAAAAATAAGAATACGAGTTTCTCTTTGATATAGAATAATACTAATAATGTAGTTTCGTCATCATTTGATGATTAATAAAATTCATTTAATGGAGATAGCATGTAAGATTATTTTGCATAATTATTAAAAAAAGCAGATTTGTAGACTTAAAAAGTAAATTAATGATATTATAAAGTTAGCAGATGTGATTGTAGAGGAAGCATAAGAAAATATAATTCAATCGTTGAAATAACAAACATTGACAATTTCAAATTCGAAACCACTATATCTTCTCGAAGACGCTAGTTCTCAATTGTAAGAGAAAGCTGAAGACAAAATATCTATGATGAAAAAGAAACATAAATAATTAGATAAGTTGAGGAAAGAGATAGCCTAAAACTTGTTACTTGTTCAGGAACAAAGGAAGAAGCTTACAACTGATTAAGTTATTGAGAATACTTAAACTTAAAAGTTGGAGAGAGAGTTATAAAAAAGATTGTTGAGTGTTGAAAGAAATATGGATTTCTTGAAAACTGATATCATTTTATCCTAAAAATCACAGAAGTTTTGCACTAATAAAAATCATTTTCTATCAAGTGACTAAACTCAAATTCTCAAATAACACATTAATTAAATTCAAAATCCAGAACACATAAAGGAGTAGAATGAACAGATTGCTAAGATTAAAATTGAAAGAAAGAAATTAGAAGAGTCAAGAAACAATAGATATAAACAATATGTCGATAATATAGAATCTCTCTTAAAATAGGAAAAGGAAAGTAGATAAAAGAATGAATAGGATTTAATCCTTAAGAGAAAAGAAAAGGCTATGTAAAAGATAGCTTCAATGGATAAAATACGATAAGAGCGATCTTAATAAATGGCTAAGCAAAATGAATAAATTAAATAAATTATTGGAACAACACCATTACATGTTAAATTAGAAAATGTATTCTAAGAGAAGAATAATAATTCGTAATTAGAGGAGCACAAATTAAAATTGAAATAAATTAGAGATCTGCATTAACCAGTTAGAATGAATGATTTAAAGGTATGGGAAGAAAATTATGAAAAAAGGAGGAAATCTTAAGAAGATATAAGAAATTAAAAAATTCTCAAAAACAATCAATTATCATATCATGCATCTTATGAATCCTCTGCTTATAAATAAGTAAAAGAAGAATAATCTAAATATTTAAAAGAAAAGGAATAAACACTCAAGGAGTAGTAATCAAAGCAATAAGTTAAATAGGAATTCATAAGTAAGCTAAAGGATTATCTCCCTTCTATTAGCCCAGAGAAATAATAGGAGTTAGAGCAGATTATTAATAAGGCACATCACAAAATAAACTTTTATGAATTCATTGAAATGACTAAAAAAGTAAAGTTAAAAGGAGTGTTTTTCGACAAGGAGGGGAAAATCCTAGAAAGAAGTGTTGATGTAAAATTCTTATATACATAAGATAGGAAGAATACTATGAGAAAATAAAGGAGAATGAAAAGAATGAAGAATAAAATGCTAAGGTAATTGGAAATAAGTATCTAAACGATATGAGAAGGATTGTCAAAAAACCTAGTTAACATCAAAGTGTTGATAAGCTCCAATCTTAATCAAATCCAGAATAAGGGTATTAATAGGCAGTGAGAAATCCAAAGCAAAATAAATTGAATGAAATCAAATCTCATTGGAAATTAAAGCCCAAATTGACTTTTGAAGAGACTGATCTTGAAAAGATCATAGATGGAAATGAGGGTATGTATTTAAAATATTGGAGTCACTGGATTCTCAAATCATCATGTCATGCAAGAGGCAAATAAACTAGCATCTGAAGCGGTCAGAAAAATGCAGATTATAGAAGCAAAGGGGAAAGGAAAAGAGAGCTTTAAAGATATTGAATCAGCAGATAAGTTGCTAATCAATTCCATCAAGGTTGATGTTTGATAACATTCATTTAGGCTAAACTTACTCTAATGGAAAAGGAACTCAAGTCTGAGAATCGAGGATAAGAGACATCTACTAACCAGCAACGGGGAAGAAGTAATACTAAATAGCATGTATGAAACCATTTTTCATATTCATTAAAACTCATTAAAATTTTACTCCTCATCACATTGCAGCTCTTATGCTTATCGATTTTCCATTTGCATTTAATCATATGTCTATATCAACTATTTAATTTAATAACTTTTCTCAGTTTCAAAGTTTAAACAAATCTTCTTATTGATTTGAATGCCATAATTGTTAGTCAAGGGATTGAAAATATAAATTCCCAAATTCTTTTGTAATGAACTAATCTACTCAATTTCTTCATAATCAAGTTCAAGGATTTCAAGTTGGGAATTAAGTTGTTTGAGAAATGTGATGCATTTATAGTTTATACACAAATAAAATGATGACCATGTACGACAATCATCAATAGTATAAGAGGATGAAAATTTATTTTGTTTTTTCTTTTCTTCCCAATAGTGTTTGCTTAATTCATACAAATACATTAGGGTCTCTTTATCACTTTGAACTTTAAAATTAGTGACACCAAAAAATTTAGTGGATTTCAGAATATCCAAAAAGATTAACATGGCATAATGAGCTTCAGTCTTAAGAACGGTCAGATTGTCTGAAATGTCTGACTCTGTAATTTGATTGTTTGGTTCTTCGTGATTTGTATTTTTTTCGGTATCTTAATTCTATTTTGATTTTTGTTTCTCTTTCTTTTAATCATCCGCATATTCACTCATAACCAAAGTGTAGAAATTATCAAATATAGTTGGTAAGAAGTTCACCCAAGTGTCTTATTGGATATATTTAAATATTTAATGAGGAATCAGCTATGAGAATAATTAAAATTAATAGTTACTTTTTTAACTTCATTAAATGGGATATTGTTTTTATCTATCTTTTTGAATTTATTTAAAATCAGATATAATGCTGCACAAATCACATGATTCTTCGATTCCAATATCAATCTCTAATTGGTAATATCATCAAATAATTAATAACTAACTAAAGTCAATCTGACCAAATCACACTTACAGAATTCAGTCTCTTCTTCGCAGTTTACATACAGGTATTTTCGCAATTATAACAATTTCTAATTATATTGAGGTTAATTTTAAGCCTTTTTAAACAGTCCCTTAGTTTCATCTGTTCTGATCAATAAATTCCATAATTTTTCATCCTTATCTAATGGTTTCAACATCTGATCATCAAGGAGATACAACTTAAAATCGTATGAATATTAAAGTTAGATATCAGCTGCTACTTCATCTCTTAATTACTCAGCATCTGTTTCTCTGCAAATTTGGTATTCCTATTCGATGGGCTTGAAATTTTGGAATATTAAAACTTTGATCTTAACTAATTATAGATTTCCCTCTCCTTAAACGATCATTGATCCCTGTCTTGAATTACACCTAGTATCCGCAGCAAGTAATTAAGAAGCAGATACCTTACGACTATTTATCATACTGGAGGCTCTTAAGCCTTTGATGTTTTGCTTTTATTCTTAGGGTAATTCTGAAATTTCAGATTGCTATTACACCTCATTCTTAGTGGCAGTCTATTGCATCTATCTAACCAAATCACCCATCGGCTTAACAGGGCCTCTTGGAGTACTCACTTAGGTTTAGATGGTATTAACATTCGATTAATCAAACTTTCTGAAACTTGCTTATTTGAAGCTATTCTCAATGAGTGTAGTTAATGGTTTTTTGATTCCTCTGAAGTTTAAGACAGATAGATTAGCAGATTCTCTTTCTTTTTCTTCTTTTAGTTTTCTTAAGAGACTGTAAAAGTTCTCATGGAGGCCGAGTTAATTGAGTATTTATTTCTAATACTGATTGTCTGTTTTAAAGTCTTTAGAATTGAGTAGTAATAATAAGAATTCAGTCATTAAGAGTTTTCTTCTCTAAACTTAATAATAAAATTAGTTACATCAACGACAAGGGCTTCATTTCTATCAAAGTAGTTATTTTCCTTGATTTCTGGTATTTTGATATTGGGAAACTTGGACTTGGCAAATTCCATGGTTGTTTTGAATTAACTAAATCTCAGATAAATTTGTTGGGTGATGATATTATTGATCACAATTTCAAAGACATATCTCGTAAACTTTTTGTTGGAATTATCAAGTAATTCTTGAGTTCCCTAGATTTAAACAGTGACAACAAAATTCTACTGAGCATTCTATTCCTCCTAAGGCAGATTAGCTGGTTTGATTTCTTAAATTAATTTGTTTCTTCTGTCTTTCTTATCTTAGAGTTGTTGTATGATTTCATTGACAAACTCTATTTGTTCTTTTAAGTCTTTTTCAGAATCTTGACTCTAAACAACAAAGGTTACATGGTTATCTGATCCATTAATTTAATACAAGAATTTGTAGTTATACATTTCAGCCATTTTATTACATTGACTTAGATGGTTTAGAGTAATGTAGGTTCTAAATACTTGACCCTATTTGATTTGATCTCTTTCAGTGATTAAGATTAGATCGGAGAAAAAGTAGACGATGACAGGCCGAACTTCACTTTCAATTGTGAAGTACATTTAAAGGGATTCTTCTTTTAAGAATTATCTGTTCAGTTCCAAGATCTTGACGTGTTTGCCATATTGTTGTTGCAATTCAAAAATTTATTGTTTTGATAACAAATTATCCATGGCTTTGTTATTTTGGTTGGCAACTGCTTCGAATTCTTGGAGAATCTTTTGGAATTTGGGGTAGTCTACATTTTCTTGGTTTAGATTTTTGAGGTAATCCTTAAATAGGAGAACATACTTTGGGATTCTTTAGACTGGCAAAATTAAGTAATAGTTTTCTAAAGTCTTACCAAGATTTTTCTTATCTGCTTAATCTAGAAATGATTTATACTGTTTATTGTTGTGTCTGAGATTGGTTTGTAATTTAATGGCATTTGCGTAATTAATTAAATAATCTTGGTATATTTTAAAGAAGTTGGCATGTGAGAGCAGCTGTTTGATGGCATTCTGATATTCTTGGTGGTAGTCTTTTTGGAGGTCTTTGAAGAGGATGAGTGTTTCTTGTGATAGCAGGTAGATGGATTGAATATTGGAGAAGAGTCCTTTGATTTCACTTGAGGAAAGGATGCCTTTGGAATCAGACAGGGGTTTCAAATAGGAGTGGATCATAGTTTTGAGTGCTGAGCAATAGATTTCTTCGGTTGCAAGCAATTCATTCAATACTTGTTTTCTATATCTGTATTTGTGAGTCTTTTTTAAAGGGGCCACTCTCTTCTTAACCAAGTAGGTTCTAATTTTGGATTGGATGCAGACAATTTATTGTAGGTGATCACGTTGCATTTGTTGTGGCTGTTCATTTTCCTCTAGAATGGATCGTGCTTCTTTGACTGTGGCACTGATTCGACCAATTGTCTCTTCATCATCTTGAAAGTTGGACATTGAAAGTTTGACTTTGTGGGATGCTCTAGTGCTCTTATTGATGGATGTATTTTAGACAATTTGATTGAGTTTGAGTTTGGTTGTAGTGTAATTTGAATTGGTAGGTAGGAATGATTCTTTATGGGTTTGTGAGGGCTGGGTTTCTAGAGAGCAGTTAAAATTGAATATTACTCAAATATTGATATTGGAAGATTTGAAACATGTTAGGTTTAGCTTTCTTCGGTTTTTTGGTGCTGTGATCTGAAGGGTTCATAAATATTGTATTTTAAAATAAACTATTTTCTTCGGAGAATACAAAATTTGAGTTATTTGTAAATATATTATAAAATGAGCATTTTTGAATCTCAGAATGCAATTCAAGAAATGCGTAACGCCATAGGGAAATAGGAAAATCTATAGAATATTTACAAGGAAGTGGCAAGTCCTTCTGAACAATCCAATTAGAGGTTGTTTTATAATGCAATTACTATAGTTATTTTTCGCCTAGTCATAGTTAAATGGTGGTCGATAAAGAGAAGGTCTTGATCAATAAGTACAGCAATCTGCTCACGACTCAACCGATAGGGTAACCCTAATTTCATGATCGTAGAATGACTCAAGTCTGGAAGAGCAATGGATTAATAATAATTACAATGATTATACGATTCCTGTATACGTTGAAGTTGTAGACGGAATCCATGAAGTACAAACTCCTCAACAAGAGGATCTTCGCTATGATTCAGGATTTGTCGTCCGATTACCTGAACATTGTACGTCATCGGAACAATAAGTATCAAATTAAAGGGAGATCAGAATTGAGAGTTCATTACTCCCTCTTTAAAAAGCAATTGAGAGCCCTGCTTGATTATTATGGCAGATTCATACCAATCTTCCAGCCGGATCAAAAACTCATCATATATTATGAACTCTGTCTCATGATATCGATAACGGTGAATCTATTTTACGTTCCCATCAACATCAGTTTTCTGAACCAAGGAGTATCAATACCATTCGACGCAATGCCTACCATCTTGCAACTCATATGGATCTTCATCTCGTTCAATCTATCATTTTATGAAGACTAAACATTACAGAAGAATAGAATTAAAATAGCTAGTAATTATCTTAAGAGTCAATTTACATTCGACTTCATTATCGTTCTTACACTCTACTTCTAAATACTCTATGGCTATTTCGTGCCTCTGATCTCCTTTGTATTACGAATTCCTAAATTGATAAGGTTGTTGGATCAATTCGAATATAACACTAATTTCAAAGAGAATCTAGCAGCCATAATAGACCTAATGAAATTGATTGTCATGCTCATTTTCATTATCCATTGTTGTGCCTGCAGTTGGCATTTCTTGGGAGTCTATGAGAAGGAGTACTCCATCATTGGGAAGAATTGGTTGGACTATTACGATATTGGCCATTTGACTTGGATTGAACAGTAAAATAATCCCATTTAATTAGAGATACATTGCATCTTTATACTTTAGTGTGATTACCACTCTGACTGTTGGCTATGGGGACATCACTCCTTAATCAGCCTATGAATAACTATTCGTCATCTTTGTAGCCATGAGTTTGTGTGGAATGCTGGGATACACTATAACCAACATAGGAGAAATCTATAGGTCAATGAACGAAAAGAAGAGACAGTATAAGACTCAAATGAAGGCCATAGAGCAAATTATTAGACAAAGAAATCTCAATGATAAACTCTCCATCAAAGTGAGAAAATACTATCAGCATCTCTTTCAATAAGAGTAGCAAGAGAACTCTCAAGGAGAACTACTACTCACTAAATTGACTCGCAATTTGGAAGAAGAAGTCATGATCGACACTTATAAAACCACTCTCATGAACTCCTATTTGTTGAGACAATTTAAGGAGTCCACCATTGAGTAACTGTGCACCAAAGTTAGAGTCCAAAAATTACAACCTGGAGTAGAACTTGTCAAAGCATAGCAATTTGCTGATCAATTGATTTTTCTATTGAGTGGAGAATTAACCTTGCTTGGTCACAACTCCAGACAACCCATCATTCTTAAGCAACTTACTTAAGGTACTGTGATCGGGGAACAGGAATTCACTGAATAAGGATTCTATGATTACATTGTGCTCAGTCAAGGATATAGTAAGATTGCTACGATTTCTAGAATTGCATTTTATGAAATTTTATAATATGATAGATAAGAATTTGAAAAGATGTGTAAAATTAGAGATTAATATAAGTTTAGTGTCAAGAAAAGAAATGTCATTGGAAGAACTTGTGAAATCTGTGGGTGGACACATGGATATTTGTAATGTCCTATGACATTTTATTAAGTGGATAAGATGAAGTTGCTCTCCAAATATCGACAGAATGTAGAATAAGAACGAAAATATCTTAATGATTTCAGGAGAATTCATAAATATAATACCTTATCTTAATTACAAACTGCTTAAAATGCTTGTCTCGACTTCATGATCAGCTAGAAAATACTTGATGAGATGTATCAAATTTATTAAGCTTTTCTATAGACCAAATTAAGAATAAAATGATGATTCTAACTACAAGTTGAAATTGAATATTCATGATGCAGATTCCTAAAACTTAGACTCTAGCAAATCTCTCTAAGAAGAGACCAAAGGCAATCAAACCAGTCTCTAAAAATCACCTATTAAAACCTCTACTTCTAAATTTCAGTTCTTCTCTAAATAAACCGATCAATCACGCGATCAACTCTAACACCCCTTATTTCAAAGAAAAAGTATCAAAAAGCATTCCCTCGTCATTGACAATCCTAGTAATACTAAAAAAGAGGATGACTTGAAGACTTACATAGAAGAACTCATTTAAAAATTGAGTGTTAATTAAAAAGAAAAAGAAAGGGAAAAATCATTAATACAAACTCAAAATAAAGTTACAACCTATAATCCAGATCTAGAGTTTGAAGTAATGCAATCCTATAAGTATTATTTCCCTCAATTTAACATTGACAATATTATCGATAGAGTCAATGTTACTTATGATAAATTCATGCAAAAAAACAAGAAAAATCCAATAAGAATCTTTGTAAATAGAAGAAAATTAAAGAGGAGAATAATAATTAAAGACTGACACATTTGAAAACTGCAATTAAAATTATATATATAAATAGTTATATTATTTAATCAAATCTCACATGAAAGAAATTAATAAAACTCTATGATCTATAGTCCCATTAAAAAATTTTATAGTAAAATTGCGGTTTCGTTTTTTAAATTAGTTTCTAAATTTTTCATTCATAAATCAATGATTTTTTATAAATTTTTTGATTATCCTTATTATTTAATTAATTAAATTAATAATGAAAAGAACAAAGGAAACTATCTTTAGACAACATCCCGACTGGCAATAAAGACAAGGAATCAGTGGACTTAAGGAATTCGATGGTGAAGATCTATGTACGCTTTATATTATTATGTTCGTTAGAATATGATGCTCGAAATAAATTTAATAAAGAGTAACAGAAGCAATGGATTTAGGAGTAAATCGAAGAAAAGAAAAGAAAATAAGAATAAGAGAAGGCTGAGGAAATGGCTTATGCATAACAAACTTTGGAAATCAACAGATTTAGAGGAATGCTGTAAGATAATTTTGCAGCCAGAAAAACTGACATTGGAGTCGCTACTAAATAAACTAATCTATAATTTGTATTAATTATATACTAAACTCTTAGGCTAAAGAAAAGAAAGACAAAGACGAAAGAGATAAATAGGAAAGATTATAATATGAGAAAAATGAAAGAGATTTATTACTTGAACGTGGACGCAAACAACCCTATAATGGATGATACAATGATTTTATTATCAAAAGTCAAACTTATGTTACATTCTAAACTAGATGATTGTTCATACTCCTCTTAATTTCCTAAGTATTTACGCATAAATTTTATTATGCATATTTTTTATATTATTATTATGTGACTTTAAATAAAATGAGAATAATTTATTCATCACTATTATTCGTTATCAACAAGATTTTATAAGTTTTCTAATAGTTATAGCACATTAATATAATGTCGTTGAACTTCCTTTTTAAGATAAATTATGTGATTTGCCCTTCCTTATATAAAATTCATTACAAAATTTAGAATTTTTATATATATAATCTACTAAATACTAAATTGTAATCTGTTATGATAGGTAAATTGACTTTATACACAACATAATCAAATATGTAAACGCTTACACTGGATTCTCAATAATAAAATTAAAGAATTACTAAAATCTTATTAATTAGTATAAACAATTAAGTTATAGATTTAGGAGATGTTCATCAAATTGCCAAGAGAAGATTGAATCCATAAATAATCTACTAATGAAAATTTTATCATAAATATTAAATTTATAACAGACCAAATTACAAATGAAGCACGTTTCACCAAAAACAATGGATAAATTTAATGCAGATCCTCGTTCCTCATTATAATCCTGTCATTTATCTAAATCTAAACCTTTAATGGCAAAAACCCCGCTTTAATATTCTAAATCTAGTAGTTTAATTTAATCTTTAAATGGGCTGAGCAAGTACTTTAATAAGAAAGAAGAAAATAACTAATTAGCTTACTAAGCGCCTTAAAGTATTTAAAGATCATCAGCTTCATTATCACACAGGGAAAAAATAGCTGATGATATTTAAAATAAAAGTCCGCTTTTTGTAAAGTAACTGTTATATGGTAAAGATAATTAGAAGGAAAATTTTAATTATTTGTCAAGCAAATCGAAATAAATACCTTATTTCAGTATTACTTAAGATCCGAAATTAGTCTAAGTTAATGATAGTAGTCACAAAAATAATATAAGTAAAATTCTTAGGAATGAAAAATTTATAAATGGATCTATTGAATATCAGGAAGATTGGAAGCTGAAATATGAGGATTTACAACAAAGTTTATGCCAGAGAATTCAATAATTAGAAATTGAATTACAAAGTATGGAGAAAAATAAAAAGATTGATTAAATGCATACTGATTAATAAACAAATCAGTATATTGAAAAATTACAATATATTGTATCTGAAAAAGAGTAAGTGATTCTTGAATAAGAATTAAAAAATGAGGAACTACAAAATATTATTGATATGTAGCAAACAGAAATATAGAAATATAAGGATGGAATGTAGAATATAAAAAATGCAAATGAGATCCAAAGATTATAGCAAATAGATTAAAAATTCCAACAAATCAAAGGACATTTTTCATCACTCAAAATTAATATTTAATAAACATTTGATGTTGCTTAGTCAGAATAATAAATAAATAATTTATCTCTATCATCTTTTTCTGTAATTGAAATGATAAATGAGTTCAATTAAGTTATTGAAGTGAGCACATAGAAGTCAATGAAAAAGTAACACTAAAAGGAATTCTAATAACCTTGAGTCAAAGAAACTAATGATTTCAATTAATTTAAACAATTTATGATTACGTAATTGAAGTGGTATATCTTAAAATGGAGGAATTCTTAAGTTGGATTTATGAAATTCTCTTTCAGATTAACGATTGAATTTATAATATTAAATTATCTATAGAGATGGACTCGCATGAATTCAAAGAGAATTATTATGATGCAAATGTAATGAAAAGAAGAAGAGTGTAGGATAAAGTAATGGTGGCTCCAATCATGGAAGTCTTTATGGATATTTGTAAAAAGCTGGATTATGTAATCAAAATTAATTTAAAAAGAGACATCAAAGGAATATTTATAGATGGTGATACCAATAAATGAATCAAGAGAGGGACTTTAAAATACTGATTAAATTATCATATTGAATTATTTAAAATAGATAGCTATTTATTTGATAAAATCGAAATTAGAATTAGAGGATAAATTGTGTTCTCTTGGAGATATCAAGTAGTTTGAAATTGAGTTATAGAAGATGGAAGCAGATATAAGATAACATATACGAGTGCAATAATAACTCTAAATTTTACTAGAATAAGCTTAATAAAAGCTAGATGAATTTGAATCTGAAAAACTTAAATCCGAATAGTTTATAACTGAATTAAAAAAAAGTCTTGACATTAAGGATAGGGAATTGATGACAATTAAGAACGAACTCTACGATACTAAACAAAAGGGAAATCAAAAGGCTCCTTTCTAGCCAACGAAAACAGAGCCTATCCAATCTTCTATGGACCAATTAGATAATTTATAACTGTTCACTTTGGTAGAGAATTCTCCGAACAAAAATAATTTTAATTAAGTACAAGCAGCCATTCGTAAAGGTAGGAATCAGCAGTTAAGCAAAGAACCACAAAAACCTAAGGGAGATAACACTCCTTCATTGAGTAAGTGTTGTTCCATAATGAAAGAATCATAAAATCAAGATTCCCCAGAGAAAATATCACGGAAATATTCACAGCCTAATTATATGGAGATCAATGCGCTGAGATAGTTAATCAAAAAACCTTGGTATAGCTATTGATTGATTTTTAAAGTCCTTTGAATTAAAGAAATGAACCTTAGACTTTTAGAAGCATTAGTTAAGAGACTTCGCATATGCCTAAAAAATGCTGATTTATAAAAGATTTATTATTATTAATATTTACAAAAATGAATTCTACAAAGTCAGAAATACTTTTTGCAGGATTCAATCAAGATTCAAGTAAACTTACTAAAACTACATATAGGCATGTTTTGTGTTGGTACTGACACTGGATTTCGAGTGTGCAATGCATTAAACTCAACGGAGAAATTTTAAAGAGATTTGAAAGGAGGTATTGGTCATGTAGAAATGCTATACAGAAGCAACATTTTGGCATTGGTCGGAGGTGGTTTATAGCCTAAATATCCCGATAATAAAGTGATCATATGGGATGATCGTAAAAATGCAATATTTCTATTTAGATCTTATAAAATGCATAGGTGAAATGAGTTTCAGAACCAAGATAAAGAATGTTAAATTAAAAAATGATAGAGTGGTTGTAGTTCTTGAGAAAAAGATATTTGTTTACAATTTCACAGACTTGAAACTACTTGACTAAATCGAAACATGTCCAAATCCAAGAGGTATATTGATAAATCTAGATTAAGGAATTTGCACTATTAATACAGAGGGTGATCATACCATTTTGGCAACATTGGAGAAATCAGTCGGCAAGGTTTTTGTAAACAATTATGACGCTAACAAAGCTTATTGTATAGAGGCTCATGTTTCTCCAATTTCATATCTTCAATTAAATTCAACAGGCACCAAGTTGGCCACATCTAGTGAAAAGGGCACTGTGATTCGTATCTATGATACAAATACTGGGTATGTGAATATTTTTAATGATAGGCAAATTTCACAAGAACTTCGAAGAGGCAATGATTATGCCACAATAACAAGTTTAGCCTTTGATTATAGATCATAATGGTTGGGTTGTGCATCTGATTAAGGAACTATTCACATCTTTGCAGTCAATTAAGATGGCTTATAATAAGAATAATAAAATTAAAATTAGAGTTCTCACAATCCGAAGAGTAAATTCGAATTTCTAAAGGGTTTTATTCCAATTTTAGGATCTGAATGGAGTTTTGCTCAATTTAGAGTGCTGGATACTAAGTGCAAAGTGTCATTTGTATCAGATGAACATCAATTGATAGTAATTTCATATGAGGGGAAGTACTACAAGGCATAGTTTGATCCTTAAAAAGGTGGAGAATGCATAAAAGTGGAAGAGAAATACTTGATTAGTGACAAAGTTTGATTTAATATGTTAAATAACTCATAAACAAATTAAATTCTTATATCAAAAATATTTGTAGCTTAATGTCATCAAGATTACGAATAAGCTACAGCTCTTTTAGAATAGTTAACAGGAAATTTAGTTGAGAGTTTGAATATGTTCAATAAACATCCAAAAATACACAAAATACTATAAGACAACTTCGAAATATTCCCTGAAAATTATTTAGTTTAACCACAATAAATGGATGAAGGGATTGAACAGTATCATAAGTATTTGGAGTAAATTTGCAATTAGACAAGTAAGGAAGGTAAATGATTGATTAATGTAATAGAGAAGAAGACCAAGAACAAGAATCCTTGGACTGAAGAAGAACGGAGATTATTTAAATAAGCAATAAAAGAAGGATCATCGAAAGACTGGAAGGCTATGGCGGCAATCATAAAAACACGCTCCCCTCCATAAGTTCGTTCTTACTACTAAAAGTATATGAAAAAGAAAAGATAAAAATTAAAGACAGAAAATAAAAATGAATGAATAAATATATATATATATGTATGTATCAATAGAATATATATATAATTAAATAGAAGACAAAGGCAATTGAGTAGCAAGAATGACAGCCTTCATTATCCCATTTGCACTCCGAGTTTTCTACAACATAGCTAAAACTGAGACATTATGTTGCATATGTAGCTTTACTACATGTTTGTTGATGACAAGAATTGAGATTTCCACTCCAAAAACATCTTGGATGATTCTAACATTCCAATTTGATTCCATAATCATTGCAATTAAACACAACGCATCCTAAATGAGAAGGATAACATTGCTATTAACTTAATTTATTAAAACTTGGACATTCATCTATTGTATAGTCTGTACAAATCTTGGTCTTACATTAGTTATCCTCCCACTTACAGAATAATTTATTGCATGAATTCATAAATGTAATATCTTCGCAATTCTCTAAAGCAATGCAAGTATCTCCAATTTCTCCATTCAAAACACACTCACTCGTTTATGTTCCGATCACTTAAATAGCTCCAACACAATATTCCACACTATAATCATCACACAATCTCTAATCAGCATCCGATACACAGATTTTTGATTAATAATCCCACCGGCAATCTATTTCCTAACAATTTTCTTCGTTAGAATCAACCTTATCATTTTCCTGTAGCTCCTCACACCCTTTCAATTCCTTACAAAATCCTATCGTAATGTCCCAATAACATCTTAATTTTCCAGCAAAATACGAGCAATCCTCACTCGATCTTTCAAGGCAATTTATTTCTTCACAAATGCCAGATTTTTGTTCAAAATAGCATCCTCGGGCATCTCTACACAAGTCCTCAAAATATATCTCGTTGCATGAGCATTTCTTTGCCATGGAAATATGTAAAGAAAAGAGTGTGCAAAGTAATATTGCAATCATTTTTTAATTTTAATCAACATATAATTACTTACAACTAGTCAACTTTCTACATATTCTCATCATATTTTCAATGTGAAATTAAACTCTAAATGTTATATCCTATTGAAATCTATGCAGATCTAATAAATATACTCTTAAATACTTGCAAAATTTATAATAAGTTTAAAAATTATCATATCTTAATAATAAAATATGATCAATATTTGAATGATCATTTTTAATAATTATTTGGATGATAAGTAAAAGATTATTATTTTTAAATTAAATAAATTTTATTAATAGAAAGTAAGTTCGACTTTATTTCTTATCAATCATAATTGCAACTATTAATAAATCTATAATAAATATCAGACAAATCATCAAATATAAAATTTGGAAGAGAACTTAAGATTATAATACAATAACAGCCACTAAGTAAAAAGTATTAATTTCTATTATAATATATATACAATTAACTTTATCTGACTTTAATCATCTAATTCTTTGATCCCTCGTTCCACACTTTTTGCATCAAGAACCTTTTCAATAAGTATGATATTACCTCAAACGTGAAAGTTAAATCTATCTTTAATCATTCATCAATTTCAATTAAACCATGTCAATTATTATTTAATGATAAATATTATATTCTCTTATATCTCATAAATATGAATATGAAGCAAAGTAAAATTAGCAGAAATATTAGATTCGACATATCGTTTGATTATATTAAGTAATTAAATTAGCTTTAAATTTATAAATTTTAATTTATTTTATTAAGAAGTTGATTAGAAAAATTAAATGTTAGAAATTTTATTTTGATAATTTTTAAATTTTTTATACTTAATTATAATATGATATTCTAAGGATATAATTTATACCAAGCTCGATTAAGATTAATAGATGAGACTATAGATAAAAACGCAAGTAATAAGTTCATACATTAGGAGAACTTGATTTAAATTTAGAGTATAATTAAAACTATACTGATTAAAAGAAAATAAATCTAATCATAACCAAGATTAATAATCAAGAAAAATTCAAAATTAATCATCTTTCTACAACAGAAAATGAAAATTAAGGATATATGGATTAATAGATCAAATTTTTTAATATTTTGATCCTAAGTAATTATTATTTATCATAATAAATTTATTTCCCAATGTATTTTTAGTAAAAATTGTATATTAATTTAAAATTTATCAATTATCTATTGTTTAATCGTTTGTTAATTTTTGTAATTATTAAAAATTAATCAATCCCTTTAGAATTTACCTTCAAACCATTCCCCTATTTTCTCTTGACCAAATTACTTTAATGTACCAGCTCCATGCATATTTCCTTCTTTCCAATATCCCTTATAATTTGATCCATCCTGAAATTGCATCTCCCCATATCCATCTTTTCTTCCATTTTTATAGTTGCCTAAAACTAAATTAAAGCCCTACCTACATATTTCTTGCCATCTGGCCAATTGAACTCCCCTTTTCCATTCATCTTTCCTTACAACCAACTCCCCTTATATTTACGACCATCAACCCACACATACAAACCTTCACCTTGAATTTAATTGTCAATAAATTCTCCTTCATAATAAGACCCATCAGAAAAGGTGTATTTCCCTCTTCCTTCTTTTTTTCCTTTAACAAACTCCCCATCATACCATGCTCCATCTGGCCAGACTTCTCTGCCTCTTCCGTCCTATAAATCTTGTCTCCATTCCCCTTAATAAAATGCTCCATCATTATGATAAAACATTCCTTCTCCTTGTGCCTAATCTTATTGCCAATATCCTTCATACATATCTCCATTTTAATGTATCATTCTTCCATGTCCATTTGCTTTATCATTTTTCCATTCTCCTACATAAATGCTACCTGATGGCCAGTACTATATACCATAGCCACTCCTTTATCCTGTTTTCCATCCTCCAACATAAATTACATTAGATTCATTAAATTACTTAAATAACTCAAGTAATTACATAAGGTGGATAAGTTGTGATTTTTTTATTATCGGAAGGAATTTGCTTTGGTCGATACTTACCAAATTTTGATATTGTATGTCGAACGAATTCATTTTCAATTTAAGGTTTTCTTTTGTAAGGAATAGCATCGCTGGAAAAAATGAGATCTGTATCTTCTTGCTGTGTTGAGGTATCCAAAAAGGTGATATTTGCCATGTTTTCTGGTTGAGTATCTTCAGGAGTGATCAGGATTGTATTCGACTAAGCTTTTCAATTTAACGTACGTGTTTATATGTTAAAGGGTACATGAGTTCTGGAGGGTCAACGAATAAGGGTTCTGTCACGGTCTTTGAACAACAACCTTATCCCATTAATAAATTTAGTATTTAAAATAATATGTAAAATCCATTAAATTAAGAGGTAACAATTTCACATAAATCCATAGCAATTTATATTGATAGAGAAGATCAATGGAGAATTATGCATTGGAACTTAATAGCCAGTTATTCAAAATGTAATCCAATTTTTATAATAGAGATTATAGTGTCCTGTTATTAATGTTAGAAAAAAAATTAATGTTCAGCCAGAGCCTAATTTATGAAATGTGGGTATTGTAGTTAAGTAAATAAAGTGTTTGATCCAGATCCCTTAGTAAATTATCAAATAATATTCATTTAGTTTTATGTTGATGTTTATTGTTAGAATTGCTCCAAAAGAATCAAAATACCAAAAAATGGAAGTGTTTATAAATGTCCATTCTGTTTTGCTCTAAACAGAAAAACGAATAGATGAAATAACAAAACATTCATTCTTAATATTTTATTTCTAAGATTAATTTTCTATCTATGAAATAACCTAGATTGCTCACGCTTTTAAAATATATATAAATCATATTATGATAATAATACAAAAAAGTAGTATAATGAATTGTACTATCTTGATATTTAAGATTGTTAAATAGAATATGTAACTGAGATCATTGAGTGATAAATTGGGATTTAATATACTTCTTAATTATCAAATATCTACTTGATAGATAATATAAAAAATAAAATCATATTGGTTTCTTATTACTTACATAATCAATAAAATCTTCATAATCTGAAGGATAAGTAATTTCAATTTATTGATTTCTTATAGAATTTTTTAACTTTTTTTATTAAGGACTCACCTAGGTCTCTTTGACTCTAAATGATTCATTGAATTTTTTATCAATGGTCTATTTATTTTATTACCTGATTTATAAGGAAGCCTTTGGTTTTAATTATTTTAATCTCGGAGTGATATTAACCTACTTTAAAACTAGAAGTTGAGAGCTTTCTAAGAGGGATGGAGATTTGCTAGTAGGTGTAACAGGTAAGGTTGTCATATGTCTTGGGGTTAAGAATTCTAATTTCTGATTTTAACTTTATGATGTTTTTTTTTATTTCTAACTCCTTCCTGGACCTACCATATTAAAGTAATGGTATCTATCTGAAAGCTCGACTAAATGCATTCCGATAATCATTTTCTTTCTTTTTTATATTTCACAATATGCGACTGTCGGTTTAAACATAAAATAAATACATAATATTTATTTATATAAAATATTTTATGCATACTAATAATATCGAAGTAAGGAAAAATGATAAACGATCTCTGACCCTTTAAGGTTTATTCTAACGATCCTTAGATCTTTTAATTTAGTTTAGGATCATAAAAATATAAGCTAGTTGGGAGATTTTTGGTATTCTTTATTTTGATTAAAATTTATAATTTATTAATTTTTCATTTAACCTAAGCAGGTTTAATAAACAGATTTGAATTCAATTAAATGTTCATTATCTATATACAACTTGAATTCTGAAGATTTATTAAAAATTAAGGACTGGATTTAATCATTAAATATCATAACTGTTAAAGAACGTAAATATAGATTTTTGATTTATTAAACATCAAAACAAGCTGGCTGTCTGTAAAAACTGTTATATTTTTAATAAAAAATGATGTTAATCAAAATAATATCAAAATTTCAGCAATTTTTCTAGAGGTAATACTTCTCTTGATTTAAAAATGCTATTATTTATCCATATTTAATTTATTAGACATTCTTATTACAAAAGCAAAAGTTGTTAGAAGTTTAATATTCGAGTCTTAACAGAGAGACATTTTAAGCTGAAGATACACAAAGTATAATAATAGATAAATGCACATAAAAGTATAAGAATAGTAACATCATAGATAAACATTTTAAAACTACTTAAATTTTAGAAAATATAAATACTGCAGATTGGATGGATCAGCACCAATTAACGTTAGAGATGAAAATATTCAAGGAGTCTTTAGAATCCTGATTCAGGCTTTTTTGTATAATTTTGACAGAGACTATAATCCTCAATTAGTTCAACAGGCTATGGATAGAACTCATAGAATCGGATAGAAAAAGAAAATTATGCTTTATAGATCAAAATCTTGATCAACCGTGGAAGGTAAGATTTTAGAGAGAGATGCTTCTGAATATAAAAATATTTAGAATATTCTTAAATAATTCTTTAAAATTCAAATTTTCTTTCTATTTTATATATCCAAGAGAAAAATCATTAGAGACCTTTTGCAGCATATTTTATAGTATAAATGTACATTTATAGTAATTATTTTAGTATTCTAGATAATTCTGATAATTTCAAATTAATTCTAATATAAAGAAAATAATCAAATTTAACATATGTGTATATATGAATAAATAAAAAATTATTTCAGTATTTGAAGATATGTTTTATTCAAAGGAATAGTGTTGTAACTAGGATGAACACAAACATAAAATAATATGATATTTTTTGAATTAACATGTTTTCATTAATAAATGTATATATTTTAACTTTTAATTTTAACAACTCAATCCAGCATTCAAAAGATGCTTAACAATAAATAGGTAATATTGTATTTCTCATAATATTAATATTTTATAATTAAATAATAGATGCACTTGAATATTCAAGGCTCTAGAAAACCCAGTTAGATTAGTAGCCCAACCTCAATCAAGAAGCCAACGATATCTTAACTTCTCATAAACTTTAGATCACCTATTACTGTTCCTAATAGTTCATAGGTTTCACCTCAGAATTCTGAACAAAATCTTCAAAAAGCATTGCATTCTCATAAGGGATCTTAGATTGATGTTACAAATTTAACAAAATTGATTAGACATAGTAAATCACCAAATTTAGAAATAAATGATGTTCAAAGCAATGAAAATTAAAGCTAATAATAATTATAAGCATTACTCGCAAAAGCAAGAGAAATTACTTAGAATAAATCGAAACCACCAATAATTAAGCAATAAGTTTAATCGATTTAAACACAATCAATTAATCAATTAAAGGAACTATTCAATGATAATTTGTATTGCAGAAATACATTTCATTTTCATTTTGTAGTTGGGATAGGTGGATTTGGTAAAGTATGGAAAGTGGAGCACAAGAAAACAGGGCAAATATATGCCATGAAGGAAATGTCAAAAGCATTGTAAAAATACAAATTTATACTAGAATTATAACAAAAAAAAGTGTAAATTCAGTAATGAACGAGAGAATACTTTTGAGTGAACTAAAACATCCATTCCTAGTTAACATGAATTACGCTTATTAAGACAAAGAAACATTGTATTTAATTATGGATTATATGTCTGGAGGTGACTTGAGGTATCATATAGGAAGAATGAGAAGATTCAATGAAGAGTAGACTAGTAACATCAAAACTATTATTTTGAGGGTTTTTTGTGGCTTGCATATTCTTAAGTCTTGAATACGTGCACGAAAATAACATTATTCACAGAGATATCAAACCAGAAAATTTAGTATTAGATAATAAAGGATATGTGCATTTGACTGACTTTGGAATAGCTAGAGTTATGAAACCAGAAAATTCAAGTGATACAAGTGGAACACCAGGATATATGGGTAAATATTTATGAAAGTTTTTAGCTCCTGAAGTAATGTACAGATAAAATCATACATATGCTGTGGATTATTATGCGTTGGGAGTCATTGCTTATGAATTTATGTTAGGAAGAGTATATATTATAATTAACCCTTAGAGACCATATGTTGGAAGATCTAGGTAGGAGATTAGAGATTAAATTATGGCAAAATAGGTTTAAATTAGGAAATCGGATATACCAGAAAATTGGTCTATAGAGGCTGCTGACTTTATTAATAGAGTAATAGTTCTATCAATTCAATTAGCTTCTCTAAAGGAAACCTTAGCAAAGATTAGGTTTTAGTGGTAGTTAAGAAATAAAATAACATCCTTGGTTCTAGAAATTTCCTTGGTAGAAATTGTAAAATTTTGAATTGAATCCTCCTTTCCAACCAAATGTATTGACTTGTTAATCAATTAGAGAACCGAAGACAATTTTGATTAAAAATAAATAATATTGGAAGATTAGGAGAACAATGAATTGATCCAATAGAATCTTCTGGTTTTAAAAGACCCATCATCTTTAGGTATTAAGAGTTAAATCATTAAGAGTTATTTTAGGGTTATGAGTTTAATGCCAATCAGAGTGTAAATAAAATTTCATCAACCACTGATCAATCTTCGAGTTCATCGTCTAAGCATAGTAGAAATTTCAGTTCAAACATAGAAAAACAAAAATTTTTTGAACAAGCTCATAAATGATTTACATAATCCTATTCATTATAGTATTTTAATGCTATTTATAAATTATATAATTTAATTATAATCATTTATTAATTGGATTATATCAGTTTTAGAATTTTCCAAGAAAATATTATTAATCCATTTTCCCTATTGAAACTATTAATAATTAATTTTCGAATGAAATTTTCTAGAAAAATGGGAGAAGATCAAAAAGTCAACCTAAAAACAAAGAAAATAATGAAATGCCCCAAAAATCCTAATAAGGAATAACATAGCAAATTATTGAAATTATTGCTACTGTTATCAGACTTACACAAAGATCTTGACAACTTAGAAGGATCTTGTCCAAAAGAGTTCTAAAAAATACCTAAATAGAATCCAAAGTCGAAGGGAAAAGACTCCAAATTTTAAAGTAAATCTAAATCAACTTCCACAAAAAGTCTCAAATGATAGTTAATTTGAATTTGGATTATACAAACCATTATATAATTTAATTGATACATCCTCAAATCCTCTTGATACAATATGAGAAATATTTAATGACTTTTAAGTAAGGTATTTCTTCTTTTTTCCTTCTATTCCAAAATAGTTGTTACTTAGAAGGTTCTATAATAGAATATTAGCATATAAATTATATGGAAGTAATTTAAAAATCCTTTCTTATAGAGATTAACTTATTTATATCATAAGATATTTGTGCTGATTGAAATTTTGAGTCTAGAATTTTATATTTAATTCATTGTTTAGGCTCGAAGAAAGATGTAATTCATTTTACTCAACTCTCTATTCTTCTTATTAGTCCTTTACGTATTAATTAATGTTTATAATTCATTTTGATCCCAAGTCAAATCACTCAATAAAGTAAATATTAAAAAGAAAATAGTAAACATATAATTATAATTATTAAATTTGACAATAGATTCTTATGAAATGATGATGATAGAGTAGATTGCACATAATGGTTTGGTTTTTGAAATGATAGTCATCATAAAAATGAAAAGATTTATCATGAAAGAGGCGATTTATTTTGATAATGTATTTATTTCAAGATAGTTATTTTTTATTAATCCTATTAAAGAAGAAAAATGTTAAATCATGAAAATTAATAAATTCCTCAAAATACATCTGAAATTACCTCAGACTAAGAGGATTATTTACAGAAAACGATGTATCTAATTGAACTGTTCGAGAGGTTATAAGATTAGATTTAGGAAATAAAATAACCAAGAACTAGTATTGAGTTAATTGATGCTATTTCACACCTTTTTAATAACCAAGAATTAGATTATTAACGAAACCATCAAGCTTGCCCAGATTTCAAAAGTGGTTATAACCTATAAGAAAGTTCTACTCTAAAATAGAATTCAATAATTTAAACACCATCAGGAATAATCTATGGGTGTTGTTGTCATAAAGAAGGAGATAAGTTAAAGAAGTATTATCCTACTCCTTAAGCACTTGGAGGACACATACTGTAGGAGAAAAAAAGAATGAATAAATAAAATATAAATTGAATGATTCAAAATTATATTTTACAGAATATTATTGTATTAAATACTTCTTGAAACGATTTAGGTGGCTGATATTTGCAAAAGAAATTATATTAAAGTAATTTCTCAATAAATCACTCTATGTTGTCTAGTTTAAAGGGATTTTTATCATAATTTTGAGGGTTCAATAAAAGTATCTAAAATATTCTTAAATTTAGGCTATTAATATTAATCCTCCAAAGCTTTAATTCTCAAATATACATCGCTTATACCATCAAAGTTACAGTAATAATAAAATAGTAGATTCTCAATAAATGCTGAACATCAATAAACCAATCTTCTGACTTTTATTATTCTACTCATAATTATAGTGTTTTGATTTAAGTTTTGTTCATTATATACACTGGTTGAAATCCTTGAAGTTTTAAAGGTATCTTATTTGATTACATTGCTTTTTAGAAGAACTCAATAATCTAAAGGATAAATTTTAAATTTCATTATTAACTGTAATTAAGTTTATGGGCTTTATGTGTTCTGATTTTCTTTTGGTTCAAATATTTTATGAAACCTTATATACTATTGTATCAATATCACTTTTTTTTTTTTATTTCTAATCCTTAATTTATTTGATATTCTCTAATATAAACTCAAGATTTTTAAATCGAACAATTCGTTTGACTTCTTCTCTTTCAAATGCTTAATATTAATATTGATATCTTAATTATAATTTATTGCTAGCCTAATTATTAATTTCATATATATACTCTTTATAAAAGTTATAATTATCTCTAATTAATCTATTATCTGATTATTTAATTCAAGATACACTTTCTTTTTACTCAGCTTCTTTTCCTTTATAAAACTAATTAGCACTAATAATTTGTTCTCATGATATAGCTGACTTATAAATGTAAAAATTGTAACTCCTATATTGCAATTTTATTAATTCTATAGAAATTGGTTATTATCACATCATAATTTAGAATAACTTTGAATGAATATATGATTTAGGATTCCCTCACTTTTCAAATCTTAGATTTCCTGAATCAATAAGAATACCTTAAATATGTAATACAATTAGTTTAATTACTCTGGACTATTCTTTAGATCAAACCATTTATTTCAGATATCAAATTCCTTAGATCCATAACCATTGTCCATTTTGATTAATCCATAGAATTTATTTATATCTTTCCTCATAAATGTATTAATTGAAATTTTTCAATATTTTTTTTGATAGAATCAAGTGAACATAATTAACAATATGCTTTCTAATAATTAAATTATTATTTATGCCTTTGTTGTTAATCAGATTTTATTTTCATGATATTTGTAAGTAACAATAAAATAAAATTTGTCTACTTCATAAAACACCAAGTTTATTCTCTATCAATTTGTTTTAACACTTTATTTAAAAGACCTACCTAAACCTTGAACATTTCGTTGTTTATCCATAAATTTATAGATGTCCAAAATCTTTTTCAATTTATTGTATTTCTATATTATTCAAATGTTTTATATGCCACTTATTTTAAGCTTACTTCCTCATTTATTCACCAAACTGATTTGTAAGTCTGAATTAAAATGATATCTTTTGCTAACAAATCTCTAATTCCTGATTCCTATAATTTTACAATTGTTGATAGCATTGTACATATCAGTTGTACTATTCAGCTGATTGAATGTCTATCCAATATCCCCTGTCTTTCCCTTACATCAATTTTAATTATGGCTGCGTGCTTTATCAACTTTATTTAATTTTTTGTTTCAATACTTGAATAATTTAGAAAAAGATCAAAAATGGCTCTCTAATTTCTTGAATATTTGATGGCGATAATCTATCGATTGCTCTGTATAAAATCACTATTTTATTTTTCCACATTTCTTTTCTTTGTAAGAATTTTATAGCCATTTGGTTCTTTAGAGATATTCTGATATTTCTCTAAAATTTCCTTAAGCTAATTATTAAAATGTTTAGCTCCACAAAAAAGTATCAAAATTTTTCCAAGGAAAAGAATTTGTGCATTTTTTCCAATTATGCTCTTGTTAATACATAATTGCTAATAGACTTCTCATCCAAATAACAAGTGAAATTTGAATAATTTCAACATTCTCCATGCTATGTATGATTTTATTATTTCAAATCTTTTTTATACAAATAAGTTTTTCATTCTTTATACTTCTTTAAGAGAAGTTGATTTTGCTCCATTTCACTTTAACATCAGCATAAAATTAATAATCACTTAAAACTAATTATAAATACAAAGCTTTTCAACCAAGAAACTAAATAATTATTTAATTTATTGCCTTTTATAATTATAAATTATTAATCATTTCAATTAACATTTTAAATAACAATACTAGAAATTACTAAACTCATTCTTTTATTTTCGATTTCAAATCTTATCGTTCTTCCATTTCTATTTATTTTTTTATTAAATTTTTCAAATCTGACATTTCGTTATAGATAATCTTATAATCTCCACCCTCTCTTTTAAGCTAAACTCTTTTCTTCCACAATCTGAATTTCTTTTGAATGTAAATTATAGCAACCATATCCCCACTATTGAAACTAGTTGGTTTAAATTTGCTAGTCGCATCCTTCCTTTAAAGATCACCTAACTGAATCCTTAATTTTTACTAAACGGTCTTGTCCGTAGGTTCCAAACTAATAATATCAAATAACATCATATACCTTGTAACCCCATATTTCAGTGTAACAGATATCTTAGTCAGAGATAAGATGACATCATGGAATTGATAACAAAGCATATTGGACTCCTTCGATTCGTATATAGGAATGTTTAAGACTTTGAGAAAGTTCTTCTTATTATTTACATCTAATAAATCATCTTAGGCCACTCCGAATATTATTGCGATTTCAGATGACAACTTCCAAAAATCCTTGTAATTGATTAGTCCTTTCCCTTCAGGATCATAATTCCGCCATAGTGACAACACATCATTCAATTAATACTTGCTTACTGCAGATTCTTCACTTTTGACATGCTCCTCATATGCTCCAAGCACAGAGGCAATCAGCAAATTTAAAATCATCAATGAAAATATCAGATGGAATGAGACGAAATATAAATAGGCATAAGGAGTGCCACATCCATTGAAGCCATACTTTTAGTAATCAGCATAGGTTGACATATAATTACAGGCAAAATTAGGTTATTATTCGTGCAGAGTATCAACCATAATGAACCACCAACTTTCTGAACTAGCAACCTTAATAAGGGAGAACATGGCAGTTGAGAATTTGCGAAAATGTTGATCCCATCCATTTAGATTTGACTGAGTTCTTATGAATGCAAACATATCTATTCCGAGTGTTGTGTAAATGAATAAAAATATGAACATAATAAAGAGCATCGACAATGAATTGGGGATTACTGAGAAGATGGATGAAAATAGCTTCTCCAAATTGTTAAAACGCCTATCTATTAATATATTGCATACTTTATTATTCTGAAATTTCTTTACAATTAGAATGCTACTGATATAGCATTTGAAATTCTTCTAAAATGAAAATTATAATCCTCATGATTACGAATAAACAAATTTGCTATGGCCCACCAAATTCCAATACTATCCATGATGTTTGAGTTGTCCTTAAAGTATAAGCTCTTATCTTTAGCCAGGAATCTACAAACGATTTCAAAAGCAAAAATAAAAACAAACACACTATTTATAGAATCTAATATTTGGTTGTAGTCATCACCAACACTTTAATCAGATCGGTGAAAATACATTGATAAAACTATGGTATTACAAAATATGATGATTAACCAAAATATTTTAAAATACTTTTATTTAACTAATTAAAATAGTATTTTCCTTATGTAATTTGATGGTTTTTTGGATTTCACCAATGGTTACATATTATAAATTTGCATTTTTATTTAGAACCATTCCCTTTGAGTTTCATCAAGTAAATGGAAGTTTTAGGCCTTCGTCTTTGCTTCTTGATAAGCATTCACAATGAGACCAATAAACATATTTAACAAGCAGAGATTGCCTAAGAAGAAGAATAACTGAAAATATAGAGCATATATTCTATTATAATTCTGTATTGGCTGGTGATCTACATCAACAGCATTCCAAGCCTATTATATTAATGGTATCCAATTTTCAGATGTGGCAGTACAGAACAGAGTCAAAATACTCTAAAAGATGGTATCAAAGGTTAATATTTAATTTACCCATGATCCCCCATAATCAAAACAATCCTCTTTCTTTATAATGAAGTCCTTATGAATACTATCATAAGCATCGCAATAATAGAAGGTCCCTTTCAACAATTTTAGAGCCAAAACTCCGTATATTGCTAATAATATTAAGCAGAAGATGGTTAATTGAATCATCTAAGTAAAAGCATTTAATAAAGATGCTTAGGCATAGGCAATATTCTTTGAAAACACTGCTCCTATCTGAATAAATTATAAAATTCTTAGGGATGTTACAAATTTGCTTAGTGGATGACTTATATCAAAAATCAAAGTTATCAAATCCACAATTGTTATCACAAATGAGAAGATGTTATATATTGACTATCTGAAGAAAGATTACTCATTCTTATATAATCCAAAAGCAATGCAATTTAAAAGTATCACCAAAATGTAAAATACTGTTAAGAATATGTACCCAACCTACAATGTAAATGAAATGTCTGAATTAGGATCTTCTAGTGGACTTAATAAAGCAATCCTTATACAAGTTAGTAAAATTAAGGCAAAGTTAAATATTCTAAAATAGATATTTGTAACCAGGGAAGTCACTAACATTCTAAAATCAGATTCTGGAGCAAAGATGAAAAGTGTTTTCTCTGAATTTTCTCTGCGCACTGATTTCCTGATGTTTTGATTCATTTTTCTAGATGAGGATGGATCATTCACTTATCCTGGAGATTTGATATTCTCATGGTCAATAGATTCATCTTCTATCTCGTTAATTTCATCTTCTATATTATGATCTTTAACATGATCATCTGAAGCATCTTTTTTTTCCTCGGGTTTTCTTAAGTAATCAATTATGCTCTCCTTATTAGCTATATTTATAAATAAATCATATATACATAGAATATTAGTGGGAGTCTACACTTTATAGTCAATTAAGTCACTATTAGGGTTGGCACCATCTTTTTGAGCTTTTAGTTCAAAGAATAGGGAAAGTTTTCCATTTTTCTTAGCATCATTTGGTTAGGTTTAAACTTAAGCTTATGTTTTTAATTATTATTAATTGGCTGCATTGATATTTGATGTAATACTATGAATTTTGGCTCGTTATCTCTTTTTTAGGATGGAAACAAAAAATCCAACAGCATTCTTGTAGTATTATGTAAAATTAATGGGTTTAATTTCTTATTCTATTTTTTTAAGTTAAGTGCAAAATTCATTTAAAAATACTGCTAATAATAATCTGACAAACAGAATTTATCCTAATAAGATAAAGAAAATATGATAGAGGAGAGAAACCCATATTTTCTCTCCATATAATAACATAGTTATGTGCCATTCTTCGTTATAAAAGATATTAGTGGCTGCCATAAAAGAATTACCTAATCCTTCATAATTAATAGATGCTGAAATGCCATTAATTGAATCGACTGGTTGATAGGATCCATTAGGTAATTGTTCAAATCTTACTTTGTATGCTAAAAACTCTTATCCAAATAGACAAGTAAATAATATGATTATTATGAAAAGCAATATCATATCCTTAATTTTAAAGAGAGTTTAGATTAAACATCTTGCTAGCACGCTAATAGAGTAGAAAACTCTTGCGATATAGAGTAATTTGATCTAATATTAATTAATAATTTACTAAACGAAGCATTTTGAATGCCTTTATTAAATTAATGTATCTATTTGTGTTAACAATTATTGACTCGTCAAAAAAAAATAAAACAATAATCAGTATGATTTAAGTCATAATCACCAGTGAATCAAACACATCAATGATTTCTTTAAATTATTCAGCCAAACCATTTCCCCATAATGATATGATGAATTCGAATATAAAATAGATGATACATATAAAGTCTAGAATCATTAGACTTTAATAACTTAAAAATATTATGAATAAACTTACCTTGTTTTACTTATTCCATGATGATCATAAACAATTACTATTGCACATATTATTATTACGGTGCAATTTATATATTTAAAGGTATTTGACTTAGCTATTATAGTTGATATGTTTAAAAATTTCTAGAAATGTTCCGATAAGAAAGTCTGCTAATCCTCCTCATCTTAGTAATATAAAGATATCTAATATTTCTTTTTAGAATTTCTTTTTTTTGACTTTTATTCATTTATTTAAGCCAATCTAGTCATTATCTATTGCTATTTCTTTTTCATTATTTCGTTTTCTATTACTTCCTTCTCATTGTCAATACTTTTATTTTACTTTATTGTACTTAATACTAAAAATGATTCATAAAATGAAGCCAATAGCAAATTTGATAAAAGATATGCCCTAAAATAAATGATATTATATATACAATATAAAAATTAAAGATACGAAATAAAATGCAGTAATATAAGTGGTCATTGCCCTCCAAAACATAAATGTTGTCCCTGACCATCCTGTGACATTTAAGAATGTAAATACAACAAATAAAGAGTAAAAAAAATCATCAAAACGAATAAATCCAAATCCAAATTATTCAATCACATTTTCTGTCCTATTTCTAGGTAGATTATAATCTGCTAATGATCCACAATATGAATTTTCTGAGCATTCCCAAATGCCACATAAGAATTTTATATCGTCTACTGCTTTCCAATCTTCATTAACTGGTTCAGGAGTCTCTCTACATCTTTATTCTGTAATCCCCATAAATAAATGCAGACCGATTATGCTATAGTATAGAACTACGAAAAGTAAAGGTATTAAAATTGGACCCAATCTAGAAAAACTTCCAATGAATGCATCAAATTGTTTCTTTAAAATTTTGGAATCCTATATCAAACGCAATGTCCTAAATAATCGTATGACTCTCAAAATGTGAACCAATTGATTTTCACTTTTGATGTCTCCCAATATTGACCAAGTAGCAATGAAAGTAAGGAAGTTTACAACATTCCACCAAGATTTTAAATAAGCATTCTTTCCTAATACAAAACCCTTTATTATTATTGATCCAAGACATTCCAAGCCAAAAATAATATTGCAAAATATCTCTAAGGTTATTGATATTCTATTTCTATTGTCATCTTCTTGGTTAATTCTTGATTAATAATCATACAGGCAAACTGCTATTATATTCAAAAATGTGATAATTCGGATAACTTAAAGGAACAATTTTTCGTTAAAGGATTTATATAAACTCAATCGGAAGGGGTTATCTGATTTGAAGAGAAACAGAGAGTTATCTGCAAACTAGGTAATATTAATTTTAATTTACAGGCCATTAAGCATCGTTTTATAAAAGATCCTCCTCGAATGTTTCAGGATTAAGGTATTAAATAGGCTTTTTCATCTTAATCTCCAATAGATCTGGTTTTGCTATAATATTGTTCCAATTAAAGATCTCATTTTCACAACCCAAAAAAGAATTCAATCTTAAAATAGTTTGTTAATGGATAGCTTCGTCCTGTCTTGCCTTTGGAAATGTCAAACATTCTACTCCTATCGATTTTAGAGTTTTAGACATTATTTAATATAATATATAATATCTTCAATCAGTTATCAAAAGCTATTGTTTTTGGAATCCATGGCAAGGGCAGATAATTTTAGTGTTATTTTCATCTATATCATAATTTAATAATGATTAGTCATTGATTTAGTTAATTTAAGTGATGTTTCAATATCTAAAACATTTTAAGTTAAATGTCACTCTTTCTTTATAAATATTTGATTTACTATTTGCAACCCACAAAATTGAATCACATTAGACTTGAGTTTCCATTGTAGTAACATGTTTTCAATTCTTAACACATTTTTGGGGTAAGCGTTATGAAAAAAATTTAATTAATATTTTTTAAGTCTTAATTCATATTAAATGATTATTTTTATTATATATTAATTTTTATATAGCTTTATTGATTATGAATTAATGAACCACACTGTTAAAATTCTTATAACTAACATCAATTTAGACAATTCCAGGTGACATCAAATGTTAGCACTTCATATTTATAAATTCCAGAAAAAATTATAGAATATATCTTAATTTCTATTATCTTTATAGTTACTTATAAATTCATAGGGGTATATCACTATGAAACTATTAACTAAAATACTGCTTTATGAAAAATTAAAATAAACATGAAAATTCATCATCAAAGGTGTTAATTATCAATAACACAAGGGCTTTGAAATTAAATATCACCATACCAATAATTATTAATTTGAAATTATCACATTTTATTGAGTTTTGAATATTTAATCCTAGTGAGTTTGATTATCTTACAAATTCACTTTTAGTTATAATTGAAAAAAAGATGAGTAAAATATTTAAATTTATCAATTTAAATCATAAAAAAATCAATGTCATCATTGCTATTAATCTGATAGTAATTATAATTTATATTTTAATGAACACAAACTTCGCTTAAATTGAAACCTAATTGAATATTTAAATTTTAGAGTATTATTACAGTGAAGAAGTGATGATGTCTAAATTAAGAAGTATAAATTTATTAGATCAATTTTTGATGTTGTTGCACTGATTCATGCAAATTGAATTCAAAGTCCTTTATCATCGTAAAATCTACTTAGATTAATTTGTATGGTGATATCTATGCTAAATTTAGGCGTATTAAAATATTTATTTGTATATTTTTCTTATATAATATTTTTACTTTTAATAAAAGACTATGGAAACAAGAGCAAAATCAAAAAACTGCTTTGTTATCAAAACTCAATTTACTTAATAAATATTGTCGACCCCCTCTCCAAAATAACGTTGCCAAAGATATTTTACAAAAGTACCCACAAACAGGGAGCACAAGCAAAGTGTCATAAAATTACTCTCGCTTAATGAAATAAAATCAAACCTAGAAATGTAATTTAGGAATGTTACTTATTTTCTAGTCACAAAAGAAGTCGAAGTTCTGAATCTACATATGAAGGAAGTTTAAATAAAAGATGTTAATTTATATTTTTAACTTTTACTCATCAAAAAACAAAATACTAAAGACATAGATTTTGTATTAAAATGTGGAGAAAATTGATCCTTTGCGTTTAGGCCATCCTTTTTATGTTTAAAGTTGCATTAGTTGAATATAAGATAAGAAGTAGTTCACCACCAAAAATGTCAATTTGTCACTAGTTGATAAATCACCATCCCTACCCAGAAAGTCCTTCTAACAGAAAAAGAAAGAAGAGTTCAAGTGTAGAAACCAAAAATAGAAATTGTGGATTTGGTGAAAAGATTCAAACTTTGATTCTTCTTTAAAAATCGAAGTCTGATGCTCAAAGAAATAGTACTTATCTAAGACAGATCAAAAACCAAGATATAAGATTAACTCGCTTGATCAGTTAAAAAGCAGCAAGCACTCACTCTCTGCACATCAATTCTCTACACACAACAATCGACAATTCCAAGTAGTTACCCGCTATAAATAAGGTGGAGTATTTTGAAAGGCCCCTCCTAATTTCTTCCTCATAAAAAAAATTTTCTCTAAAAATAAAGAAAATACATTGAAAAAACATTACTCAATATTTAATTGTACATTATGTTATTATAATATTTCAATAGCCCAACTTCTCTAATTCTGCATTGATGCTAGTAAGTTCTTTAGCTCCAATAGCCTTTCTTCTGAGATTTTCTCTTTGAATTTTTCTCTTGTAATATGTGGCACCTCTATTAAATTAAATTGTTATTTATACCTTTATTTTCTCTTCTCCTCAAGTCTGTTAACAACTGCTTATGAATTCCATCCGACTGAAGCGCATAAATCACCCAAAGAGCAGTGGGGTCTATGGTTTTTGAGTCTGATCAATTTAATGGCATCTGGAACGACTTATCTCTTTCTTGTGTCATAAGGAGGAGGGACACCTTCAAAGACCTTTAATCTTTCAAGGGCAGCTGCTCCTCTCTTTGACTTGTATTGAAGCATTCCTCTAACAACCTTCCAAAAGCATCTTGATGGTGTTCTATAGTGCTTATATCCTCTTCTTGGATTGAAAGCCATTCTCTTATTCAAATATTCTTCGAAGATGACTCTGTTTCTAAAGAGAGATCCTTCAATTAGTAAAATCGCTTACCAGATTGTTAAATCAACTCAGTTCTAACAACAACAATTCTTTATCCTCTTTACAATTCCTTGGCAATATATGAAGCCAATCTACCAAGTAAATGGCCTTTTCCATCAATCACTATTTCCTTCTCAAACATTTAATTTTAAATAAATTTTCAAAATGATTTTTATATGATAAAATACTTAACATTCATGAAGACAATTCTTAATCAGATATACTTTTAATTCTATTTCTCATAATTAATTAATATATTAAAGCAGATTCACATCTCCATACAACATTCTAAATTACTTTTTCTAATCATCACTCAATTAAATAAGTTTAGTAAATTATTCCTCCATATTTTAGTAATTTATCACACTAATCACACTTATTTTTGGTCCAAATTTTCCACTAAATGCCCTCCCAAGTTTTGATCGAGTGCTTGCAAAGATAACCGGAATATTTTTATTGAAGCATTCTTTTAAAACCTTCAATATTTGATGATCTGGCCCATCTGAAATTATACTCATTTTTATTTACTTTTAATAGGACACTCTTAAATGCCAATGGGTATAATTATTAATTTTGCTGATTTTTCAGGTAACGTATATTAAATACTTCTTAAACACTCTTTTATTCCTGCCACAATTCTCTTTTTATTCTTTTTTGGTTCAATTACTTTCTTTTTTGCTTACATATAGCTGAGTTCATTAATAAATTGCAAAGCCATATCATCTAATTCTTTACAAGGAATTTGAGTAATCCAAGGTCTAATTTTCATATTATTATATTTTTCTTTTGAATAAGGATTGATGTTGGATAACTAATTTAGAATAGTTATCAACTATTAATCATCATCTTTGATTTGATCTTCATCAACTGTCTCATAATCAGGATCATTAAGATTATCCCACAGTTATTTGGCTTTTTGGATCTTTGATAACTTTTTCTTTTTTATCTCTTACTAAACAATTTAGACATTATTATTTTCATCTAAGACATAACCAAATTATTTTTTTTTTTCTCTTCTCACATATTATTTGTATTAAATTCTTAGTTCCCTAATTAATTAATTGATTTTCTTCATTCCCAATAAATTGTTCCTTTTCTACTTTTTTTCCATTAATGTTGAAAACTTCTCCATTCTTTTTCTTTGCTCTAACATTCTTTATCCCTTAATGCGCTCATCATATTCTGCTTTCTTAATTTCATATTCTTTCACTTGTTTATGAAATTCTTCATACTCTTTTTGAGTGTATGTCCAATAGCCAAGTTTTGGATCTATTTGTAATGTATATTAAATATACCTAAAACCAATTACTTAGGTTCCTCCGGAACTTCTATATTTTCTTATTTTACATCTTTCTTTTAAACCTTCTATTCTGTTTTCTATTATTCAACCTTATTACCCGTTGGCAATTTCTCCATCTTTTAACCTTATTTTGGTTGTTATTCTAGATATTGCTTTTATTAATTATCCTTATTGCTTTTAATTAACATTTTTTTATTTTCATTTTATTCCTTCTTTTTTGGCTATTCATTTGATTACTTAGATTACTTATGAGTAATCTACTTATAATTCTGCGAATCAGGACGATAATTATAGTTATCAAATTTAAATTGATGTCCTCCGTAATTGTCATAGGGATAATCGCATTAGAAATCTGTATTTTGAGATGGCTAGTTAGTATTCATTTATGACTCAATTATTTCACAAGAAAATGCATTTGCATTCAAGTTTAGTTTTTTTCTTTGCTGCATAAATTATTTATTAATAAATAATGAAGGGACCTAAATATGTAGAGTAAGACATAATAAAGAGGGTTTGTTAAGCTGAGTAATTCTAATAACATAAATTTAAATTGATAAACACTAGGTCTGATCCATATTTATCAAGAAGAGTATCACTTATTATTCATGTTTTAGCATGTTTTATAAGACAATGATAAATACTAATAAATACGAGCAAATAAATTCTATACCAAATTGCAAGTGGATTTATAAAAGGAGCAACGATTATTCAAGGAAAATGCCAAAATCCTTAATCGAATCGTAGATATAGGAAATTAAAAAACTTACTCATCTCTCCCCAAAAGATCACTGACCAGATAAAGTTCTGCCAATTCAATTAAGTCTCTTAATTTATCTTACAGAAAGAAAGAGGCATTGAAAATAGTTGGGGAAAATGAAAAATTGATGCAGCGGTTATAGAGAACCCCTTCCACATTTAGAAATAAAGAAACTTTTCTTAAGGATTACAAAAAGTAAATTATACATTTAATTAATAAAGGACAGTCGAACTCAAGAATAGAATCTCAAAATATTCATAGCAAAATCAACAAAAGATGGGTAAAATAGTTCAGAGATTAACCAAAACTACAACCAATCCTAAGTTTAACAAATCCAATTAAAGCAAAACCAGTGCTCCATCCTATAAGAATTCTGCCCTGTCCTAATTACGTATTGAACCTGACAGGTAGTAATAAAAGCTATAGTTCCCCAGAATAAAATGATCAATAAAATTTATATAATTTTTTTTTAAATCCTTATCAACAGAATTATCTCTTAATAATAGCTAAAATGTATTCGGCATCCTTGGGGTCAGTACCATTAATTTTCAAATCCAATGAGCCATTAGAATTGTAACAACCATAAATTAGAACACAACTCTTGTTTTCTGCATTGGCACCTGCACAAATAATTTCCTATTCAATTACTTCAATGACCTAAAAGAATAATTAGGACTAGAAATACATTAATATTAATAGTTTAGATCATCCTTTTGAAATCCTATTCAGATTTGATCCTGCTTTACAAAGTAACTTCTTTAACATTTTGATATCTCTCCCATAGTTGTTCATATTGATCTACATTAATATTTGCTGGAATATATGATCTAGTTTATTGTTATGGAATAGGTTATGTCTAAATAGGAGAAGGTTAAGCCCATTATTATTAGGGTTGTTATTATTGAGGAACTATTGGCTTTTGAGTGATGATTTATGGTTATTACACATATACTTAAGGAACGCCGGTGATTGGTTATTTAGATGGCAATGGGTCATCAATGTCTAATAAATTCTAAACTTATGCTGGTGGTTTTTATTGAGGTGCTTGTGTTGGATTGGGATTTGCATTCATAGGTTTCTGTGTAGCCACAGCTGAAATTCCTTTTTTCTAAGTTTATCTAATATATTAATAAGTATAATTACTAAGGTTGTTGTTATGTTTAGGAAATGGGTGCAAACAGTTGATTTGCTAATTTCTGCTTTTCCTTCAGATTTGGATCTTCTTTTGGAGGTAGAGGTCTGACAGGTGGAATATATGTATTTTAAGTTTAATTAGTATTTACTCCCATTTATCCACTACCCATAGCTTGCATAGTTGTTTTAGATGTTGTTTAACCAGTTCCACTACTTCCGATTCCTGTTGTTGATCCTATCGCCATTGGAGTTGTAATCACAGGTTTGGGAGCAGGTGGTTACTTTTAGTTGTAACCTGTATCATCCCAAGGTCCTGCTATAGTTGGAGCTGATGGATTCTAATTTGTTGTTTTATTTTCTTCAGCTCCAGCACCAAAAGTACTAGTTTTGGTACCTCCATATTTATTATCATTATAAGGCCCAAAGTTAAGAGAAGATACTTCTGCTGCTGAACCTAAAGCAGCTGCTTTAACTTGTAATGATGGATTATATGGTTAAGCTCCTCGCTATCTTTCTTATTAGACATACGCATCTAAGAATGACATTTTGGGATCCACAGTGGTATCTTTGGAACCTTTTAGTGCTGCATTAAATTTAGCAAGAGTATAAAAGTCGATGGCTCTTTATTAGCAATCTAAGTTTTTTGATTGCATATATTTTTAAAAGATGGCTCTGGTTTAATCAAACATTTAAAATGCTCTTGCAGATTGTAATTTAGCCAAACATGTTAATATCCAAGATATGGTTGTTTCTGATTCTAATTGTGAATCTAATTTCAAGATTACTAATTGAGTTAATTCATTCAATTTATTTGGATCTTAATCATAGATTTATGATCCAATTTCACCAATAACCCAACAAACAATTTTCAAAATATTATCTTACAAATCATTTTTTAATAGATCAGAATAGATTTCAGTAATGAACATACCAAATTCAGTTCCAATATCATTAAAATTATCTATCAATAATTTAAAGAAATTGTTTCTGACATCATTATCAATGAATTCAGATCCGAATTCAAATAATGTGTTAGCTGTCTTAATGAACCATTCCTGAGTAGGTGCATGTTTTTCATTTAGTAAAGATACTTTGACAAACAAATCCTTTTTGAAATTAGTATCTGAACTTGTTTTGAGAAAATGAATCAATTTTTGAATAATGACTTCACAATTTTATTCATTTGTCATTTTAAATAGTAATTCTAAAGTCTCCTTCTTTAAAGTATCATCATTAGATTCTAAGCAATCAACAATTGTCATTTGATGTTCTAATACATACTTCTATGAAATAGAAACAATCTAAGTTAAGGCATTAATTCCTAAATATTTAAGATTATTGTTGTCAGATTTCAAAAATCTAGATACAGAATTAGCTGCTTATTCAAGAAGACCTTGTTGAGGGTAAATTCCACTGATGCATTTAACACATTGGTAAGTCACAGCATAACCTATATTGATAGTTGTGTCATCAGCTCTTCTTAAAGTTGATCCCAATACTTCATAAATCTATTCGCTGACTTTCAAATCATTGGCTCCCAAAATAGTAAGGATTTGAAGCAACTTTATTTATAACCAAGGAGCAGGAAATCTATGATAATCATAATCCTAGAATTATTATATAGTGGAATTTTACCTTATGTAGTTTATGCTCTATAATTTATTTGAGCATTGAAACAAAAGTACCTGTCAATGGTTTGTACTTATTAACAGAGCCTCTCTTTAATTCTTCATCATTGAGATTGAAGGCTGCTCCCATAACACTTGGCTCTTTGTCTTGGATTCCCCTTCTGATTCTATCATCATAATCTTATTCTGTGATGCAATCCTAGTTCAACTATCTAATAATCTACATCACCATCAATGCCTATGATCATATTATTGGTATACTTTCTTCCTCACAATGTCAGTGTTATGAGTCAATAATTTTAATACAGGTTCTGTCAATGCATTCACAAAAGTCTTGCTTATTAATTTTCCAACTGCAGTAAGAGCATTGACTACAACATGAACATTGGTCGATGCCAAATCTTTTTGGAGTGTGGCCACCAACAATATAAGTAGCTCACTATCATTATCCAAAAATAAGGAACAACACAAATAGCCCAATCTCTTAAGTGCCCAAATTCTTGGACTGCGTGAGATGAATTGCATTGATGTGTACAAAAGATGCATCATGACTTTATACTTCACTTTTACATGATACCCCAACATTTCTATGTAGATTGCCCTAATAAGCATTTCCTTCACTTTTTTTGGTGGCATGTTCTTCTCATTTAGTTTCGTCTTTAATTATTGAACTTCTTTAATGATGATCTTGTCTTCTTCCTATTTGCTACGAGTCTCTCCTATTGACTTGACCAGATCATGTAATTCTTTGCTTAAATGTGATCCCGATGACATCCTATAAATTAATAAAATAAATTTTTTAAATTCTCAATAATTTCCTAATTTACTAATTTTTGTTGTTCTATATTCTATAAATTTCGAAGTTCATATTAATTAGATTTATTTAAAATAGATAGATTGAATCATTCCTAAAATGGACAGAACATTTTCTTATGGAATAAATATAAAAATAAAGAAGATCCATTATAATATACTGAATTTTGATATTATCTCATTTTAAGGCAGCCAAGTACTCGCTATGTTCTTAGAATGGTGTTGATTCTAATTTGGTGTGTCCCCAAAGATCTGGGGTAAGGAAATTATAGGTTTCTTTAAGGGCATGGAAGGTTGCTTTCAAGAAGTTTGATCTGGTTCTTGTACTTCCTTTGGATTGAGTGTAGCAATCTTGGATACCAGCCATTTGTAAGACCTTCTTGGATGTGATGGCTGCAACTATACCAGTACCTCTGGGTGCTGGAACCAATCTAACTCTGACTGATCCTTCCTTTCCTGTCACTTTGCATGGGACTGTGTGTGGTTAGGCAATCTTGTTTCCCCAATATCCTTTTCTGACTGGAATCAAATTAAGTTTAGCATTAATGACTGCTCCCTTAATGGCTCCTTGGACTTCTTTTGCTGATTTCCATCCCAAACCAATGTGTTAATGGGAATCTCCAACTACTACGTAGGCCTTGAATCTGGTTCTTTATCCTGCGCATGTTTGCTTTTAGACTGGACCAATGGCAAGTGGTTCTTCTTTTAAGGTCTTGAGGAAATGATCGACAATTTGATATTCTAAATTATATAAAATAATTGATACCCTTAATTGGAATTGAGAATTAGAAAATAGTTTCAAGACTCTTAATTTTACCAGCCTTTACTAATCTTCCTAATTTGGTCAATGGGACCCATTCTTATTCACCACCAAATCTTCTTGGACCTCTGTTTTATCTTGGAGCTCCTCCTTCTCTTCTTTCTCTTTATCCTCTTCCTCCTCTTCCGAATCCTTTCTTCTCAGCTGGGGCTGCCTCTTATTATTATTCTGGTGCAGGTTGGGCTTATTGTTACTCCTATTCTGCCATTAAAATAAAAATCTTAATTTAAAAATTTGTTTTCAAAGTTGTATATAAGCATAAAAAAGTGCATTATATAATAAAATAATCAATAGCGCTCTGAGAATAATCTGTACACAAGAACTCACATATTTTGACACAATTTAGAAGATGCATTTATAATTTAATTTTGTTAGGAGTGTAAAAGATATTGTATTAAGTATTCTTAAACATTTGAAACCATAAGCATATCTAAACTAACAAATATAGATTAATTTATAGATTATATATTAAAATTTCAACAACAATATTCACTTATTGATATGATGTGATTAAAATAACACATATGAATATATATATAAATTTTGACATAGTATTATGCTTGTGATCAAATTTTGGAATTAAAAGTTTCACCCTCCCCTAAATATGTAATACCATCGATTTTGGCATTTGGCATTTAAGGATTGCAAGGTGTATCTTCTAATGTTTGAGGTGGATGATTAATAACTCTTGTTGAGTTTTTTAGGTTGCTCTTTTCAGCAAAGGTTTTAAGAGGAGATACTTGCATATGAATAACATCCCAGCTAATTGAATTAAAGAATGGATGATTCTTTATTTCTTCATAGCCTCCTTTAACACCCAAGCGTTCTTTCGGATCATTTCTGAGTAGTTTTTGAATTAAATCACATGCAGTTGGACTCATGGTCTTTGGATAGGTAGGATCATTGAGTAAAATTTATTTGGTGATCCTTTCCACTCTTCTTTGTGGATCATTGAATGGTGGATTACCATTAATCATCTCAAATATAAGAATGCCTATAGTTTATATGACTACTTAATACCTAGAGTCCAGATGTCAACTTCATAAGAATGACCTTGTCTTGTAATGATTTCTGGGGCTAGATACTCAGGAGTGCCAGCTAATAGATAGGATTTTTCATTATCTTTTCTTAAGGTTGCTAATCCGAAATCTGTTAATTTAACATGTCCCGTTTCAGTCAGCAAAATATTTTCTGGTTTTAAATCCCTGTATATCACCTTAAGTTTTGTATTCAAATATTCAAGGGCTAATACTACTTCTGCTGCAACGAATCTTACAACATTTTCTGGTAATCCATTTTTTTTACATTTGAGAACATTGTAAAACTACCCTCCATTTATGCATTCCATTACAAAGAATATATACTTTGGATTTTGAAATGCAAATTTCAATTTTACTATAAAAGGATGTTTGCTTTATTTTAATACATTTCTTTCCAAAACTGTGTTTGTTTCTAAATTGCATTCTCTGATTTTCTTAATCTAAATTTATTTCATTGCATATATTTTATTAGTGTCCTTCTTTCTCACCTGATAAACCTTGCCGAAAGCCCCCTTTTATAATTATTTATCATACTTGTCCAAGCATTCCTATCTTAATAAAATCATCTTGGCTGATTTGTTATTTTAATGAAGGTGGTGGGATAACTACTAAGACAGGTTGCTTAGTTGCACTATTGGTTGCCAATTTAGCTACCATTATATACAAAAATTACTTTTGTCCTCACTTATTGAACTAATAAAGGATGTTTTTAGATCGTGATTTGGGCAACAATTTCCCATTACTATTATATTAATAATTCATAAAAATTTACTTCTTTATTTGATTGATCGCTATTTCCTATTCTCGAAACACGAAAAGAATTCAAATAATTGAACTATTTTTAATTAGAGTATTTAAGGTTAAAAGAAATACCATTTAAAGTGATCTATGAAATGTAATTACAATTAATTTGAATGTTTTCAATGCTTAATAGTATATATTTGATATTTCATAAATATGAACTTAATTTTTTAGAGTTATTAGAGTCTAAAGATTTCCAATATTTTTAATTAAATAATGTATTTACCAACATTTTACAAATTAGGATACCGAAGCTTGGAGTGCCAAGGGCAAGAGATTCTTGGGAATTATGCCAGCTGTTGGCTGCTGGGGTATGCTTTATTATTTAATAAAATTCTAGCTGTCTGGGCACTCTACCCAAATCTTTACAACACAGTATACACTGATTTCATCCCCCCTCCCAAAGGTAATTGTATGTCCTAAATGAAGGTGTCTAAAGAAGAGTACAAGAAGTCTGAGACATTGATATATCATTATTTGAAAATTACGATCACAAAATACTTCTTAGCATTCTGACTTATCGAAAAATAAGTCAATTATTAAATATATTTCCACAGTTTTTATTCAATATATTATATATATATATATTCTAACACACTATCAACATTTCACTTATTTCTCCAAAAGACTGCAAATTCGTTAGCCTATTTGAATTTCAATTAAAATTACCGTGCAAAGTGGTTTTCAGAGCTTAATACTCCTACTGATTCTTTATTAAGTAGTTTAAAATGGATTGCTACATTTATTGATCGATTAAGATCAAAAATTTCTTGATCACATAATTTGCAAATTAGTGATTTGCTAATTGCACAAAGTTTGTAGCTACATAGGAGAACTATTGCTAAGTTTAGTTTCTAAATAGCAGCCAATTTAGAACAGTTATCAATTCAGATTTACTCAATGTCTCTAAGGCTCTTTCAACAGTATTACTAATATATAGAGTAAGATTGCTCACCTTGCATATTTGTTAATGCTTAATTGATAAAACTGTTAGATTACAAGTTAGATTAGTCGAGTTTTCTCTGGAGAGGGAATCCAAAATTACAATATGTGTTAAAGTATATAGTTTCCAAATTCGGTTTAACTTAAGCCTGAATAATTAGCGATAGATTGTTTGACTAGGTTGGCAATGAAATTGGGAGGGTATTATTGGATGATTTTGTGAATGATTTTGCATCCATATATTTACTGGGCCATGTAATGAAACTAGAATAGATTGATGAGATACAGATTCTTCAACGATGGGAATGAGAAATTCCATTTTAGATTTGTCATAGGATTCAAGCATCTTGAAAATGACATAGTTGCCATTGGAATCGTAAATCAAAGATCTCATATTCTAAACCAATTAAGAAAGTATAGAATTCTAGATATCCTCTTTGCCTTACGAATACTCAATCAACTTCTGCATGACTCTGCAACCAAAGGGATTCTTGGACAAATCGTAAAAGTGAGTCTTCAACTTGTTGAACATTCTGGTCTTGAGTTTGACATCTCCACAACTATCAAAGATCTTTTGAACAACGTAGTTCCCAAAGACGTCCTTCTGTATTTAGGGACTGATTCTTTCTAGCTTTTGGACTATCAATAATTGCTATTCCGGGGTTCCAGATTCAATTAGCTTCTGCAATTTTCGAGAGACAATTTAGTTTCCCCAAAGTGAATCCTATTGAAAATTTAATTTAGTCATTTACTATCAAACTTGAAATGTAGATGTCAGTCTCGATATCGGGTTCGAAGTACATTTGAGGACTGGCTTCATTTGAGTGATAGACCCCCATTCCGATAACGTTGTCACTCTGAAGATCTTTGAAATATTGTTCTTCGTTGATTGAAATCACTCTCTAAGATAGAACTTGTTTGTTTATTTCTTATATGGGCGATTCCTATAGCCAAAGTTCTTTGATGTATTTAAACTTCTGATCATTCAAAGATTGATTGGAGTGTGGAGACGATTGCCCTTCGTTGGACTTGTTTTTATTATTTCTTCGTATGAGGTCTTTCTACAAACTCAAACTCTGATGTTTCTTAAACTTCTCTTCTTGATCTATTTCATCGATGAAGTCTAGAATGCCACTGTGCTGATTGGTGAGTGGATCTAATTTGGGAGAAGTATCCAATGTTAACTGCTCGAATTCAGATTGAAGGGAAATCGTAACCGGAGAGCCAATCTCTTCTT